GTTTACAATCAAATATTAATATTGGACAAATAAAACATTTTGTGCATATTTTGACCTAATACAAAGGAAATTGACAAAATAAATAAAACATCATGTATTTTATACATTTATACTGAAATACAACGATATATTATGTAATTCACCCAAACCTTTTTTTTTTTTTTCGCTTTTATGATGAAATTCTTGCACATGTTACAAAAATATTTTATTTAATTTTGTTGATCAAAATAATGAAACCACGTACCAAATCTAAACATACAATTGTACTCCCTCCGTCTCATATAATATAGGTGTATTACTGTAGACACGAGAATTTAGATAAAGTATAATTAGTAAGTAATTAAGAAGTGTATTAGTAAAAATAATTATAGATTAAGATTAAGATAAGTAAATAGTTTAATTAAAATTAAAAAAATTATAAATTTAAAATTTAAAATACAATTAAAGTGCATAATTATATTTCCAAAAATAGAAAGGACAAATTATGTGGAACGGACGAAAATAGAAAATATGGACAAATTATGTGAGACGGAGGGAATAATAAGGACAAAATTTATATAACCAACCACAAAGAATTAAAGCACCACCTTCTATACAACATATTAGAAACAAATACTCTCTCAGTTCACTTGCCATGTATACATTTACTTTTGACGCAGTGTTTAAAATATAATAATATTTTAATTATAGTGGGTAGTTAAAAGTACTGTAGTGACATTTTTGTCCTTACTTTTTGGTGTAAAAGTAATGATGTGATGTAAAGTAAGAATATTTGTGGAAAAAAAATAAGGTATTTAATGAAATGTTTACTTTGTAATTAAACGTTTTAAAGTAGAAATATGTATACTTTTTAACTGGACATAGAGAGTATTAAAAATAATGATAATAAAAATATCGTGCACCAGCGTTACATAATCTTCAGTACAATAAACTAATATAAAATAGTAAAAAAAAAAAAAAAACAAAAACATTGAAAATAATCACATTAAAACAATTATTTGAAGTAATTACTTTTTAAATAATTCAGTTTATCAAATACTAAAATTAGTTATTTAATTGATTAAATAATTAAAAAAAAAAATTATTTTTCAAATAAACCTCAATATATATATATGCGCAGGCAAGAGCATTATTTAGAAAAAGACCTAACTCAAAAAATAATTGATACATTTCTATATATTGCAACTTATCTATATATCAGACTACAGCTGGACATAATAATAATAATAATAATAATAATAATAATAATAATATTTTCTTCGTCCACAAACTGTCCTACTTTCCTATTTAGAATGTCCAATAATTATTGTTATATTTTTATTTTTATACACAATTTACTCTTTTACCTTTATTTTATTTACTCTTTTATTTTCTATACATAAGATTAAGGACAAATTTATCATTTTATAATAAAATTCTAATTGCCTAAAAATATGTATAAATATAAAATAAAATATTAGAAAATAGACTGAGGGAGTAATATACAAACACTTGGATACGTTTCTTTTTTAGAAAAATAAAATAAAATAAAATTATGGACATCACAAGACTTTCATTCAATACACACATTTATCATTAAAATAATTCGTTGCAAGAAAAATTGTGACGGTGTATTTAGTTGTCAGTTGAGCTTTGAGTTGATAGTTGATATTATTTAATCTCAAATCAATTTAAAATACTCCATTCCTCATTCAATTCAATCGTGTACTTATTTGATCAGACACATATTTTAAGAAAAATAAATAAAAATAATTTTTTTTTTATTTTTTAAGGTAAAAAAAAAAGTAGAAAAATTGATACTCCCTCCGTCCCGTGAGGGATGAACCCTTTTATTATCGAGACGGTTTTTTAAATAGTGTAGATTAGTAAGTTATTAATAATAAGTTATGATATTAGTTATTATTTTTTATATAAATAATATTATTGGTATTTTAAAATTTTTTAAGATTATATCTCGAAAAAATATATGCAATATGGATATCATTTTGTAGATAATAAAATTTTAATAATACAAATATTATTACCATAAATTAGTTTTATTAAAAATGAGAAGTTTTAAATATATATATATAAAATTATGTTAATTAAGGAGAGAGATATAAATAAAAGGGTTTTGAGTGAGTCTTACGTATAAAATATTAGAAGTTTAATTAAATTGATTTATATTTGTTAAGTATGTTTAAAATTAATAAAGTTACAAAAAATGAAAAGAGGTCATCTTTTTGTGGAATATAAATGAATAATCTTTTGTGAGTCATCTGTGACGAAATAAAAGGAATATTTTTTTACTAAAAAAAAAATAAAATAAAATGACAGATAAAGTAATTAAAATAAAATTCACTTATAATTTATTTTAAATCTAACAAATATATTTATATATATATATTTAAAGAAAACATTATTATATAATTATTAATCAAACAAAATTTCATTGCAATGTGCAAATAATAAATGGAAATTTCAACCAAAAATATGAGAATGATAATCAAACAGACGTACATGTTTGTGTATGGTCGTGTTCTTTCATAATTAAATTTCACACTGCCAAATCAATCCTACGTGTTGTTTTGGATTTGTTTCTTTCAGGGAAGATTCCAAACTCTATTATTTATTTATTTATTTTATTTTTAAAAAATCATTATTCTCCATCTTTTTACCGCTGCAATGTGTCAGGTGTAAAATCCTGCCCTCTAAAATCTAATTATTAATAATAATAATAATAAATATAATATTAATATGATTTAATTTAATTTGATTTATTTTATTTAATTTAAATCAAACTCCATGGTAGTTTCATAAACTTTACGTCTAACTTCATCGGTTGTTCACGGTGTTTGACCTATACGCAGCGAATGAATTTCAGATTACTAATTTCCAAATTACTAAAATTATAAATATATTCATTTATCTTATATTTAACCTAAAAAAATATTATAAAAAAATTTTAAATCAAAGAAAAACAACTATTTCGGAATATATTTACTGTTTTTTTAATTAAATAATAAGAATGATGAATATATTTGTAATTTTAAGGGTTTAAAAATAAAAAATTATAAAATTTATTGGTATTTTGGGCGCGTGAAGGTCAAATACCATTGCATAAGGACGAACGAAGGAGTTATATGCAAAGTTTATGAAATTATAAGAGAATTTGAACCCAATTTTCAAATTATAAAATTTTTTGCACGATTTCATAAAATTACGTGTGAGTTTTGTATAATTTAATACTCCTTCCGTCCCAGATACCGTGTCTGTTACACTGTAGACACGGTATTTTAGGAGGGGTGTAAATAGTAGATAATTAAAAATGTATTAGTGAAAATAATTATCCTATAATATAAATAATTATAAATTAAGATTAAGATAACTAATTAGTTTAATTAAAATTAAAAAAAATAAAATTTAAAAATTTAAAATGAGATTAAAATGTATAATTATTTTTCAAAAAAAAAAATTGACATAGTACGTGGGACGGACAGAAACGACAATGTGGATATGATATTTGGGACGAAGGGAGTATTTTATTTAATACTCAATCATGCATGAGTAGGTATTTATGATAATTCATGCCTACTTTTGTCTTTTTCCCATAATTAAATTAATCAGCCAAACTCACAATTCAAAATCGAATATTATAACTTCAAAAAAACGAAAAGAAAAAAAGAGCCATCGAGAATCCCTTATTGGGTGAATCCTGGCCGTCCATCTCATCTATGGATGTTGCCACGTAATCTCCACGGGCAATTATTGGGTGCTTCGCTGGGCGAATCTCCACGCCGCACGTGTACCGTCGAGATCGCACGATCGGCAGCTGTGGAATATAATCTGCCCGCGGGCAGCGGGCAGCGGGGGAGACAATGGCCTTGATTTCCGAGCCCCAATGATCTAGTTCTTTCCCCTCAGGTGGGCTCCACCGTTGGGACCCACTTCTTTAATGGAGCATATGGTCCGTGGGACCCATGTACACGGAGATCCAAGGTGGTCTGATGGGGAAAGGACAAAAAGCTGTGGGGACTTCTTTGCAATTATGTATGTTTTCAGGGGGTGATGACCTGGCTTTTTCTGTTCTTCATTTCCCACTTTATTTATACACAACACACCTTCGCCCGTATTATTCATTTTTTTCAAAAAATATCATATCAAATACATTTTTTCTCTCATAAAATATTAAATAAAATATAATTTTTTATATTTTCCAAACTTCTAAATTTTCAAAACTTTACATCTAAACAAACCCTTAGTTTTTGTAATTAAATGGAGTTGAATATTCCATACCTCATGTAAATTAATCATCATTTGATGGGGTATGTAATTTTTTTTTAAAAAATAATAAATATAGAAATTTTTTATGGTAAAAATATATAAAAAATATGGCTTTTGTTTTACTATAAAGAAAAAAAAAATTGAATGACAACAAAAAAAAATGATTAAGAATAAGTTTGGATAACTGGAAGAGTATAATAAATTATTTTATTCGTTCCAAAACAATAGTTTTATTTTTTATTTTTTTGTCTCAAAATAATAATTTTATTTTCATTTTTTAACTAACTTCTCATATTTTTGCAAAATTATTCCAAATTTTTTACCATAATTATATAAAATAAAAATATTTTTACATCAACTATTAATATAATAATATTATTTAATAATTCTCATTTTCATCTCAAATGTTGGTATTATTTTGAGCAGGAGGATGTATTTGTTTAACTTGTATTTGAATTAAAATTATATTTAAATAATATTTTAATATAATATTAAAAAATAATTTTTTTATATAAATTTCATCTAAATTTAAGAATAAAAAATTATAAAAAGTGCGACCCACCTCCAAATTTTCTTAAAATTTCATTATAAATAAAATATAAAAAGAAAAAGGCAATTTTCTATTAGAAACATGCGTCAGCCGCCACGTCATCTAACTGTAATTGGTCAGTTCCTTCGATGTATGTGCACCGCGTAGCACAAAATCACATTCCTTCATCTATATAAGACGACCGCCTCGCATTTTAGTACTCCCCTTTTCCCAAATCACCGGTTTTTGAGCCCTAATTTTTGCTCCACCGCCAAAAACACTCTTTCCGGCGCCAACGCCGCCTCCGCCTCCGCCGCCAGCTCGCAAACATGAGGTCATCTCCGGCGTACTACAACGGATGCGAGCACGAGAGCTTCCAGCCTCATTTCCTCGATTCCTGCTTCCTCTGCAACAGAGCTCTCAACCACAACAGCGACATCTTCATGTACAGGTTAGGTCAAAAACTGACTATATTTCTTCAAATTTTCATTTTCGTTCTCAAATTTCTAGGCTGCGTTTGGCTTCCAAAATTCCTGAAATTAAATTACCGGTGGTGCAGAGGAAACACACCGTTCTGCAGCCAGGAGTGCAGGCAGGAACAGATCGAAATGGACGAAGCGTCGGAGAAACGATGGGAAGTTCCGGCGACGAAGAGATCGAGAACAGTCAGGCAGAACGGAGATGGAGCTAAGAAATCCGTACGGACGGGCACCGTTGCCGTGTCGTGAAAGTCATTAAAGATAAGAGTAATTCAGATTGATAGAATAATTTTTTAAATTATAAAAAATAAAAAAGAAAATTAGAAAGAAATTCTGATAAGTTTCTTTGGAATTGGATCGATCATCATCATGAGATTGATGAATTTGGAAGAGAAGAGAGATTGAGATTAATTAGTGAGTCCATCCAACAATTTTGGGTGTTTTTGTGTATTAATTTGTGAGTATTCCTCTTATGATTGGGACAATTGAGAGGACTTAATCGACAAGAATTCTTCCATTTATGTACATACAAGAACTACCCCTCTGGTTTTCATTGTTAATTTTGACTGTCAGGTCAATATTTTGTACTTTTTTTCGATATAATTTACATTCCATACGAATTTTAGGGTATGTTTTCTTTGGCTAGTTTCTAATATTTTACTATTTGAACTCTGCGTCTAGATATATTTGAAACGAGATTTAAGGAATATTGATATAATATATTTTTTGTCTTTACGAGTGTATTAGTGTAAAAAGTAGTAATAATTGTATAATAATAATAAAAAAGTAATGATATTTTTATAGTGATATGGTTATTTATGAAATGAAACTATTGTTTTGGGACGGACAAAAATGATAAATGATAAATAAGACTATTGAATTGGGGGACTGAGGGAGTACAATTTTTTTTTCTCATACAAAACATCCTATCAAATATTATTTTCGTACTAAATTTAAACCAATTTTTTTTCAAATTTATCAAAAGAAACATACTCTTAATAAATACTTCATCCATCTCATATATTTTATTGTAGATACGAGAATTTAGGTAAAATATAATTAATTAGTAATTTAAAAGTGTATTATTAAATATTTAGTAAAAATAATTATAGATTAAAATTAAAATAAGTAAATAGTTTAATTAAGATTTAAAAAACTGTAAAATTTTAAATGTAATTAGAATGGATAATCATATTTTTCAAAAAAGAAAATGACAAGTTATGTGAGAAAGACGAAAATATAAAATAGAGATAAATTATGTGCGATAAAATAGAGTATAATACTATGCTTTTTCTTGTTTAAATCAAATGGGTCTTATGTGAGATTTTATAATAAATTAATAAATAATACTAGTATTTTATTGGTGAAATGTGTAAAAATATTTGATATTTTTATTTTGATTTTATATACTCTATCGGTTCCATAAATATAGTTTTAATTGAGTTGAATACATATTTAAGAAATATTGATATTATATTAATAGTCGGTAAAAAAGTATGAATAAAAGACTTTTTTGTCCTTGTAAGTGTATTAGTGTAAAAAGTAGTGGCAATTGTGTAATAAAAATGAAAAAGTATAGATAGTTTTATTGTGATATGGTTATTTATGGAAATAAGACTATTATTTTGGAACGGACAAAAATGATAAATAAGACTATTGTATTGGGACAGATGAAATATAAAGTAATTTTACGTCTAATGTATATTTGTAGTTTAAGTAAAATTAAGAGTACTTTGATATTAGTGTATTATTATTATTTTTTTAAAATAAGAAAGGGATATTTTGAGGTCGGAGATACGAAAATAGTAAAAAGTATTATCCACTTTTTGTGTTCGATATATTGTAAATCCGAGAAGTTAAGTAAAATATAATTAATAAATAATTAAGAAATGTATTAATAAAAATAATATTATATAATAAAATTAATTATAGATTAATATTAAAATAACTTAATAATTTAATTAAAATTAAAAAAATTATAAATTATGAAATATAAAATATAATTAAAGTGTATAATTATATTTACTAAAAAAATAATAATAAATAAGGTGTGATGGACCATAATAGAAATAGTACAAAAAAAATTTGACGAAGAAAGTATTCAGTGAAAATAATTTATACTTTGAACATAATTTTTACTAATAAACATAATAATATTCCATTATATTAGTTAATTGTGATGAAAAAATATAAATATTTTTAAAATATATAAATAAGATAATAAACGAGAAAAAAGAAATTCTTTTTGAGAACTTGAATTTGAAAATACCAACAGTGACACATTTATAAATAAATATTCCCTCGTGCATAAAGGACTTTTTGGGGTTTTGTATTAAAATAAAAATAATAATAGTATTTTATTAATTAATAAAAGTGTGTAAGAGATTTTGACGTTTTTATCCGCTAGACTTTTTGTATAAAATAATTGTATGTGTAATGGTATATTTATAATTTAAGAAAAGATAAGGATATTTTGGTATTAATGTATTATTATTTTATCTAAAATAAAAAATAAATACTTTGAAATAAGACATACAAAAATGGTAAAAAAAATACTTTGAATTGAAACGAAGGGAATATAATATTAAATGTAGTACAAAATAAAAGGCAAGTATAAATTATTTGTTGTAACAAAGAATATACTCCCTCCGTCCCGCAAGAAGGTTGTTATTTGGTTTTTGCGTCATTGTACTTAACATTACAAATATTTTTATATTTGAATAATTTACTCGACAAATATTATTGTATATATATTATAAAAGACTAATAAATATATTTTTGTTTTCTTTTCTTCATTTGTACTATATATTGATATCATAATTAATATTTAAAAATCAACACGCAAAAAGTCAAATAAAAAATAAAAAAATAAAAGTAATTTTCACAATAATTTTTATGAGTATCGTAACACAAAAATAAATAAATAAATAAAATCAAGTGAATAGGTCAAGGTGTGTTTGTTTGGGGGATTGGATTTTAAATATACTATTCATTCTATTTTTTCTCTCAAAAATATCAAATCAAATACCTATTTTTTATTTTTTATATTATACTAAAAATCAATTTTATATTCAAAATATCACATCAACACCTATTTATATCACATCATACAACTATTCAAATTCAAGAGTTTTACTATTTAAATCTCAACTCAAAATTCAAACCCCCAAATAAACACATCCTCGTGTATTTTTGTTGAAATTGTTGGTAAAGAAATTTCTAATGAAAATGTAACTGTTTTAGAAGAATATTTGTAGTGTTTAATTTATTGAAATTTTTTATGTTATTCATTAAAATTGAAAATATTTTGGAGAATTGTGATTTTATTTGGGTGAAATAGTTTTCTTAATTTTTTGAATAATTTATTTAAAAAATAGTGTATTTTACTGAAAATGTGATTTTCTTTTTCTGAATAACGTAATTGTGAAAGAACAATTGTTTTGATTTCTTACTTTTTTATTTTATTTTTTATGAGAATTTTGTTTAGTTAAAATTTTAGTATTTTTGTGTGTTGCTGGGATACTTTTTCTGAAAAAAATAAAAATAATTATAAGATAAATAAGTGTGTTTGTTTGAGGGATTGGATTTTAAATTCACTATTCATCCAATTTTTTTTCCCCAAAAACATCAAATCAAACATCTATTTTGCATTTTTTATATTATACTAAAAATCAATTTTACATTCAAAGTATTACATCGAACACCTATTTATATCACATCATACAACTATTCAAATTCAAAATTTGTACTATTCAAATCCCAACTCAAAATCCAAACCCCAAACAAACACACACTAAATTGAATAAGAAAATTATACAATGAAAATAACGTTAAAATTACGGCATACAATGTGTTACTAATAATAATAATAATTACTATTATTATAATAGTAATACGTGCATAGGAAAATGTTTGTAACAACGTTACAGTCTGTATATTTTGTTGGCCAACTCAATTTTTTACACTAAATTTATTTATCGCAATACCCCTCCGTTCCATAATAAATTATTATTATTTTTTATTTTAATCTGTTCCATAACAAAGTATTCATATATTTTTTTAGTAACGGTACTATCTATCTAACATTACAAATACTCTTACAACTTATAATATATTACACAAATGTCATTGCTTTTATATTACACAATACTAATAAGGTTATTTAGTAATTTTTAATTTATTCCTACTAAATCTCAATATAATACTAATATTTTTAAAATTTTGTACAAAAAAGAAAACGGATACCTAGTTATGTGACAGAATAGTATTATATTTATAACAATCAAAGGCCTCTTGTAAGTCTCATGAATAGGACACGAACAGTTATAAAGTCATGAATTCTTACTATATATCTATGAATGTTAAACATATAATAAAATTTACTACCTTCGTGCAGCTCTAAGAGTCTCATTTACTTTTTGCACATTGATATTTAAATATTAATTATTATATCAAAATGTAGTACAAATTAAGAAAAAATTATAAGAATACTTTAATTAGTTTATTATAATACTAATAGAAGGACATTTGTACAAAAGATTATACAAATATAAATATATTTTTAATTTTAAATACAATCACGCAAAAGGTAAATGTGATCCTAAAGACGGACGAAGTGAGTATTTATTATACAAAATGGATAGTAGTAATAAAAATGCTATTTATATTGTTGTTGCGTTCTTAAGAAAATAAAATAAAAATAAATAATTTGTAAATATTTATAATTTAGATTATGCATGGTCTTTAATTTATGCTGCTAATTTTTTTTAATAGTTGGTAGTTTGAAATAATAATAATAATAATAATAATAATAATAATAATAAAAATATAGTGAATGTGATACGGGGATTCAAACCCAAAACCATTGGTAATATCTTTAAGCCAATAATTTACTTTTTTAGGCCCAATAGGCTCACAGGCGTCGGCCCATTAACTATATGGAAACGAATTTTATATAAACTGAAGGGCCTCTCTGCAATTTTTGTAGCTATTAGCGGTTTTGAAGGATCATTCAGTTTTATAGAGCGAGTCTCTCTGTGCCTTACCCTCTCATGTCTCAACCAACCACTGCTCCAACCGCCGTCGCAGCTGCGTAGAATTCGCCTCTCTCTAGTAAGTTTCGATGTTTTCTTTTCCGTTTAGGTTCCCTGAGAATGCAATCGGAGTTGCAGAAATATCGAAATGTTGTGAATTTGATGGTTTCGTTGCTTTATTATTATTGTTGTTGTTTATGATTTAGTTTTCGTTTTCGTTTTGTTAACTGGATTGCTGAGAATTTTTCTGAAACTGTTTCCTGAATTATGAAATTGAGTCACATTTGCTGTTGAAATGATTTTGTCGAGGTTTATTATACTGAAGATTGTTGGCTGGAGTAACTGTGGCCTTAATGCGTTTTTTTTGGTTTTTTTGATGAACTGTTATTTCGTGATTGATGTGCAGTGAATTACTGTTGTTTTATCGTTGAGACGATGTCAAGTAGAGCCGTAAAAATTGGTTAAGTCCGTCGGGATGGCTCGCCCCACCCAAGGAGGGTTGTATTGTAATTTTTTAAACCCATTAAAATGCGGACGGACAGTGGGTAATACACTTTATTTAATAAATAACATATTATTATTTTTAATTAAGACGAATAAAATAAAATTTATATTATTATTAGATTAAATAAATTAATGAATATTGTCTACATGTTGTTTTTTTTTCTCTATCTTATTTATTTTGAGATTTTATTATTTGTTTTTGTTCCTCTTTCATTTTATTATTTTATAATATATATTTTTTTTATTTTACACTAAAATATTTTTTATTATTAATTTTTTTAAATACATTAACTAATAATAAGATTTAGAATTGAGAATTTTTATATTTGTTATTTATTTTAAAATATTTATTATTTAAATTCTACAAAAACTATTTTTTAGCTATTTTTAAAATTAATTACAAAAATTTTATAATATTAATATTTTTAAAAGCTCGTGGGCTAGCCTGCTTAACTCGCCACCCGCGGTAGGTTGGGTTAGGATGATGAAATTTTGATCCGTTACCCGCAAAACATAATTTATAATTATGATTTAGTAATTTTAAGAAGTTGATTGAGAGTACGTTAGTATTTTTTTATTTTTTTAAAATCTTGAATTACATAATTATTCAGCTCATATGGTGACCTGAATAAAAGTTTGATGAGCTCTAGTACTTGATGCAACAAAACACCATTAAAATGTCTTCTTTGTCAAACTCTTGAATAGGTAGGTTTAGTTGTCTTTCAGTTGTGAAACATGAATGGAATCAATTTCTTTTCTGTTCTTTTATGTTTGCACACTCCCACCATTATGGTTTTCATTATAAAGGGGTCGAGAAAAGAATATAAAGGGGTCGACAAAAGAATAGAAAGGGCGTGTTTGACAATTAGCTGATTAACTGTTAGCGGTTAGCTGATTTAATTGTTTGATATTAGTGGTTTATATATTATTTTTTGAGTTTAGAATGTTCGAAATTTTGTTATTAGTTATTGAATGTTGCAAAAGTGTTATAAAATAGTATTTATTTTTATTATAGTTAGATTTTTTTAAAAAAAAATATTTTTATTGAAAAATATAAATAATTTTTTTCTATAAAATATAAAATAATAAATAATAAATTTTTTTGTGTATATATTTATTATGTTAAATATCGATTAGTTCATTATATTTATAATTTTCAATTTATTTAATTTAATTTTAGTATAAAATTTATATAATATAATTTTAATATAAAAATAAATTATGAATTTTTATATTTCCTATTTTGTGTTAATTTTAATAAATTTATATGTTTTACAATTAAAATAAATTTATAAAAGTAAATATATAATATAATAAAATATTATAATATAATTAATAAATAATCCAAATATATTTATTTGGATAAAATTCATAATAAATTTTTAAGGGCAAATAAAAAATAAAAAATATTAATTAAAAAACTATTCTAAAACACCCGATAAATTAGTTTTTTAAGTCTAAATAATTATTTAAAAAAATTAATTTACCAAACAAATTAAAAACTGTTCAATAACGTAAAAATTCTTCAAAAAAAAAAAAAACTCTTTCCAAACACTCTCAAAATATTTCCATAATGAACATATCTGCAGGTTTGCCTGCCCGAAGCCATGGAGAAAGCACTTGTACAAGAGCAAATGAGTGCTGCAAATACAAATTCAAATTCAAACTCAAATGCAAATGCAAATGCAGAAGCTAAAAAAAAGAACGACGACAAGAAGCTTAGAAGAATGCCGAGCCCGCGTGAAATGGTGTCTCACTACGAAAAACAGGGGATGGAAACTCAAGAAGCCTCCCTCAAAGTGATCAAGAACCTACAGGGAGCAGTATTCAAGTTATTGACAGATAGTCGAAAGACCGACTCTCAGAACACAACCTCCAACCAGCTGGACACTCTCCATTCTCGTCTCCTCCACCTCGAATCCAAGCTCGACTCCAAGCCCGGCTACCCACAGGCATTGGCGCTCGGCGTCGCCTCTTCTGGCATTTGCAATGCAGCGTGCCAAATCTGGGATTCGGTTCGCAGGGCCGGCTCTTAGCTGTTACAGGTACCTATGCTTTAACTGCCTTAAATCTTCAATGCATGCATTTTCACATCTTAGGATATAATGTGGGAAAGCATAATAATGCTAAGTTAAAAAAATAAATAGATTGATTTGCGATTGAAATAATACTCCCTTCGTCTTTTAATAATATATTCATTTATTTTTTGTGTAGTTGTATTCAATATTTAAAATATTTTTATCCATTGACTTGAGAATCCACCACCACTATCTGAAAGTGCTCACTAAATAAATTTTGGCCGAACCTTATACCATATAAACTATGCCCGACAGGTAAGTCACACTAGGCGAACTATGTGTGACAGGTGACCTCACGGTTATAAGTCCAACTCCCACACAAATATCGTTATATTTGTATTGTACTAATAGATAATTTTATTTTAATTTATACTACACACGAAAAAAAAAAAAAATAAATACTTAATTAAGAGACAGAGTTAGTATAATTTTGACTATGAATGGATTTATTCTACGAGCTATGAATAGTTAAATATATTCATTTTTTAATTTAATAAATATAATTTAATATACTAATAGAATATTGTTATATACCAATATATATATATTTAAAAAAATTAATATTTAATATAAAATATTAATATTTTTTTTATATTATCGATATAATTTTAAATTACATTGAAATAGAGCATTTTTTATTTTGTATTCTTCTAGATATTTGATAAACAGAGCATTTTCTATTTTAAACAATTTTAAATTACATTGAAATAGAGCATTTTTTTATTTTGTATTCTTCTAGACATTTGATAAACACAGCATTTTTTATTTTAAACAATTTTAAATTACATTGAAATAGTAAATATATATAGTTATAAAAACTTATTCTTTATGGCCTCTATCATCCCATTTAAGAGATAAAATTTTGTTTTTTTTTTATTATGAATTCCTTCTTTTTTTTCTAATAAAACATATTATTCTTTTTTTAAGATATCCCTCAAAATTATATTAAAATAATAATACATGATCAAATATAAATACAAACCATAAAAACAAAAATTTTGTTGAAGGCAAGGTGATTTATATTATGGAATATCATAATAGTACTATATTGGGTGTGTTCTTTTGACCTTTTTTTTAAATTTTTTTTAAAATTTATATATTTATTATAAAAAAACGGTTTTCTGCAAGAAATTGTAAAAATATATTTTAAAATAAACTATTAACTAAGAGAAAACAAGAAATAAATAAATAAATAAAATTAAATTGTTAAAATACATTTCTACTAGCATATATAGTCCTATTAAAAAAAAAATGGTGTACTAATTTAGAGAGATTTTTCAATCAATGAAAATATAAAAATATTAGTGAGAATAAATAAATATATCTATTTTGTTATTTAAATGCATTTCGTGACCCTTTACTAAAAAATCCCACCTCATAGACAAAATTTTAATTAGAAGAAATATTCATGGGATATTGAAAAAATAAATTATATAATATCATTTGTATTTTAGTAAAAATGTATGAAATATTACGTATTTTATTTATAGTGTAAATTATACTTTAAATTAAAATATACATAAAATATTCTGTTCATTCAAAACTGATATTTGATTATAAATGTATAATTAAATTATACAAGTTCATACATAAACAAAAATAGTAGAATATGGTCATAAAAAAATATATAGTAGAATATATTAAATAATATTTTTGTAATAAAATAAATAAATAAATAATTGTCAACTCTTTAATTGATTCGCTGTTCAAAATCCAGTCAGCCATCAAATTTTAGCGGTGGCCTCATGCACGGGAAGAATTCGATACACTTTAGGTTGTGTTTGAACAGCGCTAATACTATAATTTTGAATTTGGATTGAGATTTGAATAGTAAAAATTTTGAATTTGAATAATTGTATGATATGATATAAATAGGTGTTGATGTGATATTTTGAATGTAAAATTGATTTTTAGTACTCCCTCCGTCCCAAACACTCTGCAACATTTTATTTTTTGTTTGTCCCAAACTCATTGCAACATTTCAAAATTTAGAAATAATTAATAATATTTATATACATATTCACTTTATTCTATCACATCACTCAAATAAAAAAATAAATAATCATTTTTCTCTCCAATCACATCACTTAATATCCAAATTATCTTAAATTATCATACTTAATACTCTCCACCTAAAATACCATGCAAAATACAAATGTTGCACGGTGTTTGGGACGGAGGGAGTATAATATGAAAAATGAAAAAATAGGTGTTTGATTTGATATTTTTTGGAGAAAAAAATTGGATGAATAGTTGATTTAAAATTCAATCCTCCAAACAAACACAAAATCTAATTTAGATTAAATTAAATTTTGTGTTTTTGTTAATTTTAAAATATTTTATCAAAAAAATAATTAAGTTTGTTCACTTTGTTTTTGAATAGATCTGTTATTCAACATTCTTATCAAACTCAAGTGGTATAATAAAACATACAGAAATATCAAATCCAAATTTTTTAAAAAGTTTTTCTACTTAAATAGAATAAACTTAGACTTAAAAAAAATCTTTTTAATTAACCGACCGACCGATTTATTATTATTTTTTTTTTATAAAAATATTATTTTATTATTATATATTAAGAATAACTTTCGACTTAACAATAATATTTATCTAAGTAATTTTAATTATAAATTTATTATAAAAAATATATTTTTTTAATTTATATATATTAAATAATTATATATACTTTATTTTTTTATTTCTAATACTACATTTGTAAATAAATAAAAATATTATGTAGTCTTTTAAATAAGTTTGTAAACTATGCCAGATTTTTAAAAATGGTTTTTAGAGTTTTTACAGCCAAATTTAAACCAAATATTTTTAAAATATGTCAGACCTATTTAGCCAAAGTCCCACTGCAACTTATATCATCAACTAATGTCCATATCTGTACTTGATTGGAAAATTTATATGGAAATGATCGTTCTATTGGCCATCTCTGTTGGATAATCAGTTATTTAATCAGTGAAATTTAATGTTAGCAAATTAAATTTGAAATCTACCGAACGCATTAATCGGTAAGTGAAATTGCGACGAGCCGATAAACCAAGTTAATTATATTAATTTGGATGAAATAAATAAAAATTATTTATTTACTGGATATGAGGTTTTTTAATATTTTGACTATTTTGTCTGTTTTAAAACAAATCAAATTGTACAGCTTTAAGTTAAACTCAGGTATATAGCTTAAGTAGCAGGATTATCTGGATGAAATTTTATCCTATCGATAGATTTATTATAATCTCAAATTGAAGGTTTGAAGTTAGAATAAATTACAATCGTTTCAAATAGAAAGTTTGAAATTAGAATAAATTACGATTGTTTAAAATGATAATTTAAAATTAGAATAAATTACAATCGTTTCAAACGAAATCTTTAAAATTAGAATAAATTACGACCAGCTTAAACGGAAGTTTGAAATTAGAATAAAATTACATCGATAATTAAGATCGTAATTGATTCATTGTCATTTTGGCACAGTGAAAATGCAGGTCCTCTCCGCTAAAAACACCAACAAACATTTTCTCAAGTTCAGTTCTTCTCTCATTTGAATAAGAACGCCGACCATCGGAAGCATTATCGGAGGTATCTAATTTTCGAAAAAAAAAAAAAAAAAAATCATTCTTGACTCAATTTTACGTTACATTTATTTATAGCACTATTTATTTAAATTAACAAAACAATGCTTTAGTGGGTTGGATTAGAATTGCTACTAAATTCTAGTTATATAACTATGAATGTTAAATATATATTCTATGTCCCACTTAATTTATCTATTATTCTAATTTTTATTTGTTCCATATAATTTATCTTTTTCATTTGAAATACAATTATAAACTTTAATTATATTTAAAGTTCATAATTTATATATATATTTTTATTTTAATGAAACTATTTAGTTATTTTAATCTTAATTTCAAATTATTTTTATAAAATCATAATTTTTTTTACTAATATACTTTTTAATTACTCACTAATTACAAAATATTTAAAATTCCGTTCCTAATCTAAATTGGACAAATTAGCAAGGACGGAAGGAGTAATAAGCTTAATTATAAAATTTAGGCTAGTATTTTATTTATTATACAAAATAGATAGTAGTAATAAAAATGCTAATTATACTGTGTGTTTAGTTGTGAGATTTTGGTTTTGGATTTTAATTTTGAATAGTAAAATTTTGAATTGAAATAGTTGTTTGATGTGATATAAATATGTGTTAATGTGATGATTAAATTGCAAAATTAGATTTTAGTGTAATAAAATAAATAAAAATTGGGTATTTAATTTGATTTTTTTTTAGGAAAAAAAATTAAAATAGTAAAATTATGGATAAAATCTTACCGGTAAACAAAGCGCATTGTTGTTGTGATCTTAAAAAAATGATAATAATAATAACAATAATTTTTAAATATTAATAAGTTAGATTATGCATGGTCTTTAATTTATGCTGCTAAAATTTGAACCCAAATCCATTACAATATCTTTAAGCCGATAATCTATTTCCTTAGGCCCAATGGGCTCAAAAGTGTCGGTCCATTAACTAAATGGAAACGAATTTTATATAAACTGAAGGGCCTCTCTGCAATTTTTGTAGATATTAGCGGTTTTGAAGCATCGTTCAGTTTTATTGAGCGAGTCTCTCCGTGCCTTACCCTCTCAAGTCTCAACCAACCACTGCTCCAACCGCCGTCGCCGCTGCCTAGAATTCGTCTCTCTCTAGTAAGTTTCGACGTTTTTTTTTTCCGTTTAGAAGCCCTGAGAATGCGAGCGGAGTTTCAGAAATATCGAAATGTTGTGAATATGATGGTTTCGTTGCTTTATTATTATTATTGTTGTTGTTGTTTTACGAGTTAGTTTTCGTTTAGTTAACTGGATTGCTGAGAATTTTTCTGAAAAAGTTTCCTGAATTATGAAATTGAATTGGAGCTACATCACATTTGTTGTTGAAATGATTTTGTCATGGTTTATTATAGGGAAGATTGTTCACTGGAGTAACTGTGGCCTTAATGCGTTTTTTGTGTTTCTGTTTTTGTTGATTAACTGTTATTTCGTAATTGATGTGCAGTGAATTGCTGTTGTTTTATTGTTGAGAGGATGTCAAGCGTGTTTATGGCATTGAGGGCTACTTCTTGTTTCTTTGTTACTTGTTTCTTCTTTGAGTAGTCGAAATGATAATAGATGACCATATGCTCTAGTGATGGGGATGCTAAAATAACTTGAGAGAAGATGTTTCATTAGAATCCATGGATATGTTCTTAGTTAAAAGGATATGTGTATGATTTGTTTTTTTCCTCCAGCATAGGTTTTACATAGAAGCAGTGATTGAGAGCGGAACACTAAAAGAAAAGTTTTAGGGTGGAAACGGCTTAATTTGGGGAGTGAAAGCATCTTTCAATTACAAAGAAAGAACGTAAGATTACTGTAGATTCCTTTCATATACAGAGTGAACAAAACTTCAATGTTGAGGTCAGGACGAAAATCTTTTTTTGGTTCTTTAACCATTCGTCTGCCTGTTTATTATAGTTTGTGACTGTTTGTTTGCCATGTTTGGGATATGAATCATATTAAAATGTAATTATATTATTATTCACAGCATTCAAGTATGTCTTCTTTCTCAAACTCTTGAATTAGTAGGTTATCTTTCATTTGTGAAACATGAATGGAATCAATTTGTTTTCTGTTCTTTTTTATTACCTGAAATGCGACAAATATAAAAGCTTTTTATTTTTTCCGCTATTAATCACTCATGTCTTCTTTTTTGTTCATTCATCAACTCGCCACTTACTTCATCCAGTGATTTTCAACACCGGCTATCCACTCTGTAAGGCAATAAGATACTAAGATCCTTGATGAACCTGTCTTAATCTTGTATTTAAGTATGTCATTAGAGCTTAATCGGGCCTAGTGGAGTTGCTTAGGGGTGATAATTTGCTTGCTATCTTTTAATCAACACCTGAATTTACTGCCTCGTATCAAATTACTATTGAAATTCCGAGTTAGGAATTTGTAATGTTATAGCTCCATAGATTGTTGCTTATTACTTGTTTGTTAAGTGCAAGACGTATTTCGAGGTGAAAATATTTTCTGCATAGCTTTTCAACTCACATATCTTAGGATGAATACAAGTTCATTTTACATGACCCTTTCAGACCGTACACGGCATTTGCACACTCTATCATTATGGTTTTCATTCTTGTGTCTGAGTCTAAAATCCATATTAGAATTTGGGAGTCGAAAATAGAATATAAAGTAATTGCGTAGTGGACATATCTGCAGGTTAGCCTGCCCGAAGCCATGGAGAAAACACTTGTAGCAGAGCAAATGAGTGCTGCGCAGTCAAATGCAAATGCAAATTCAAATGCAAATGTAAATGCAAATGCAGAAGCTAAGAAAAATAATGATAACAAGAAGCAGCGTAGAAGAATGCCGAGCCCGCGTGAAATGGTGTCTCACTACGAGAAACAGGGGATGGAAACTCAAGAAGCCTCCCTCAAAGTGATTCAGGACCTACAGGGAGCACTATTCAAGTTAGTGACAGATAGCCGAAAGACCAACTCCCAAAACACCACCAAGGGCGCCCCCGCCTCAACCAAGCTGGACACACTCCATTCTCGTCTCCTCCACATCGAATCCAAGCTCGACTCCAAGCCCAGTTACCCACAGGCCTTGGCACTCGGCGTCGCCTCCTCTGGCATTTGGAATGCAGCGTGCCAAATCTGGGATTCAGTTCGCCGAGCCGGCTCTTAGCTCTGTCACAGGTACCTCTGCTTTAACTGCCTTAAAATCTTCAATGCATTTCGTATCTTAGGATATAATGTGGAAACATAATAATGCATGCTTAAAACACATGGAATCAGCTCAAACCCGACGGGATATCGGCACTCGATTTTCGCTGCTTTTTTTACCATCTTCTAAATAATCTTGCCATTGGGTGTTTGTTGCCTTGCTGCTTTATCTTCAACTTGGTTTTATTCAACTGCTTTTTTAAGCTTTTACTCTTTTAGATGATACTTTAACTTCAGGTTTTAGCTATTAAACTTTTAACATGTTGGTTACGGACGGGTGGGGTGGGGTGGGGTGGGGTGGGTGTGTTGGTATTTGAAATATTATGCATTTGAATGGTGTTTTTTTTTCTTTTTTGAAGGTTTATAATAGTGCAACATGTCGTAAAATACAAGCAAAAGTTCACTAATTTTTCGATTGCATGTAATACTTATTCTCATTTTTATTTATTTATTTATTTTTTATTTTTTTTCCGTTAGTTAAATTTATTTTATGACTACTTTTAATAAATTAAAAAATTTAATATTTAATTTGTATTCTTTATTCAATATTATTTATTATAATTATTTTTTTTATTTTCTTTAATTAATTACTAAATCTACGAAAGTACCTCAAATTAATTTTTTTTTTTTTTTACTTTTTAATAAAATAGTTTTTTTTTTTTTAAAAAAAAAAAAAATTGTATCCATTATAATGGGGTTACTTTTATAGAACGATGGATATATTATTTAGACTGTTTTATAAATTATACGATAGTATAATTTATAGTGCACTTCATATACTGAGCTGTTTTGGGCTTTTCGCATAGCTTATAAGGCTTTCCAATAGGAAACAAATGAGTGGTTTTGATTTGTTTGCCTTTAAAAAAAAAAAAAAAAAAGAAAAAAAAAAAGGAAAAAAATCGTTTGTAGGATTTTGTCAAAATCCTACTATTCATCCAAAATTTTCTCTCAAAAATATCAAATCAAACACTTATTTTTTATTTTTGATATTATACCAAAAATTAATTTTACATTCAAAATTTTTACTATTCAAGTCCAAATCCAAAATCTAAACCCCCAAACAAACACACACAGTGATATTTCAAATAATTTGGGTGTTTTCTTTATCAAATCCTTTTATTCTAGAAATATCAAATTAAATATCTATTTTTTTTATTTTTTTAACTATAAAATAATTTTTATATTTAAAGTATCATATTATATCACTATTTTAATTCAGAAATTTTATTATCCAAATTCTAAACAAGCACACCCTTAATATTCTCTCTGTAGGGATTTTTGTGCTTGTATGACATGAAAATTAAAACAAATAATGATATAATTATGTCCGATGAACGTATATGTTAACTATATATGCATATGTATTTACTTGTAATATTTTGATTTTGTTTTTTTGTTTTAAATAATAAAATTTTAAATTGAAATAATTGTTAACATGATACATGTTTGATGTAAAAATAAATTATAGTGTAATATAATAAATAAAAAATAAAAGTTTGATTTGATATATTTAGAAAAATAATAATAATAAAAATAATAAAATCTTTAAAAGTAAACCCATAGGTTTGAATGTTATGGCTTGAAAATGCAAAAAAATTGTAATGAATAGTGTTTGATATAACCAAATGTTTAATTTAATATTTGGAACATAAACTTATTATTATTATTATTATTATTATTATTATTATTTGGTAATATATTAAATAAAAAAATATTTAATATGATTATTTATTATAATAATAATAATAATAATTATTATTATTATTATTTAATGGATAATACTTGATCTAAATGGACATTAGAAAATCCCGCGTTGGTGTTGGTTCAAGAGTCGTATGATATTAGAAATTTTTATTTATATATGTCCCTAATTACAATTACGATATCCAAAAGAATTTATGGGAAATATAATTAATAAATAATTAAAAATATACTTAATAAAATTAATTACAATATAATATAAAATAAATATATGTTAAAATTAAAATAATTAATTAATCTAATTAAAATTAGATAAATTATAAAATTTAAAATATATAATTTTTTTTTTTAAAAAAAAGGTAACATGATGTGAAACGTACATAAAATAAAAATTGTAAGAATTTGTTTTTTACTTTTCAAATTTACTATTTAGATTTTGCATATTTCTCGAAAAAAAAATAATTTTTCTTCCTACAAAATATTCCATGGTACAATATTTTAGTACTAAAATCAAACCAATTTTTTCTTAAACTAAACATGCTCTAAGATAATAGGTGGGATAGAAAAGTAAATAATAAACCGAGTTTGCTCAACTTATTATTGAGTCCTTAATGTAATAGTACTTGTTGATTCAATTGATGGATAAGAAATGCATTAAATATGGAAAGTAGATACATGATCATCATACTTGATTCATTTCAACCCCACCCCACCCCACCCACCCCACACCCAAGTTCCAATGCTGCTGTGTTCTACATTACAGTGAAATTGCAGCAGCCATCACCAATCCAATCCAATCCTATCCATTTCTAATATCAAACACCAATCAATATCTATCATCCATCACTATAATACTAAATCAAATCATAAATAAAAACACTTCTACTTCTATCCATCACTCTCTCTCTCCCAATCCAACACAATAATAATCCCATCATTCATCAATCAATTAATCTTAACTAAACTCTCTCACTCTCACTCTCTCTCCACACCAAAACATATATATATATATATATATCTCTGCACATTCAATACAATACATACCCAGAGAGAGAGAGACAGATAGATGATTCAGAATGAGCAGCAGGCAGGCAATTAAGTAAGTAAAAGAAAGAAGCCCCTAATAAAGTAGTAGAAGTTAAGTTGAAAATATTACACCTCTCTATTAAGAAGCAGTTTCTTGATTAGCAGTGTGTGTCTTTCTGTCTGTCTGTCAGTCATATGCTCTCCTCCCTCCTTCCCAACCCTCACATTCTAGACAGAGACAGAGAAATCTAGAGAGAGAGAGAGAGCAGTGGTGTGGTGATTAGTAAGCAAGTATGTGGCAAGGGGTTTCCCTCACCACCACAGCACCACTCAAACTTAACATTTCCTATACTATACTATACTATACATACACAAAACACGCCAACCATATACCAAAATACCAAAAACACAATAACAAAGAGAGACAGAGACAGAGACTGTGAGAGAGAGAGAGAGAGAGAGAGAGAGAGAGAGAGAGAGATCATCTTCATGTCTCTCTCCTCCCAACACTCTGATGCTTACTATCGAAACACCGGCTGCTGACGAAAATTCAGCTTGCGTTGTAGTGCAAGGAAACCAGAGAAGATCTTGCCTGCCATGTTCGGACAAACCCCAGTTCGCGTACTAATTATTGGCGGTGTGTGTCATCGTCGTCATCAGCAAGAAGACTGCCCCATAAGGCTCGCAGTTTGTATTATGCAATGGGTATCGGATTCTCGTCACTCCCGCTTCTGCGGTGCATTTGTTTCTGCACAGCCTTCACTGCAGCCACTCGAGCAGCATTGGCCGCCTTATTGGCTGCAGTAACTGCTCGGTTCACTCTCTCGTCAACCTTACTCACTTCATAGGCTTTCTCAGCAGCTCGTCGAGCTTCCTAATAAGATCAAAACATAAGCTCATTAGAGATTCTTCGAGATTATAACCAACATTTCCATTTTCTGTTCTGCATCATTACATTACACTGCCAAATTGTTTTATCAGAGTTTCGGAAAAGGGCTCAGCTTTAAACTTCCCGGGATAATTCAAGAAAGCATCAGTGTTATCATCAAAGCGAGAATAATGTCGGGTAAATGTGAAGAACAATAAGGGAAACTTATTACCTGAACAGCATTAAGAACTTTGGAGTGGTTTACGGCAACAGGAGAAACGGGATAGCTAGCACTCTGCGTGCTTGGGACATCAAGAATTCCATTCTGCCAATGGCCAGACTGAGTTTCGCCATTTCTGAAAGTGTACATTCCAAGCCCCTGCCTTCTACCCTCGTGCCAAGCACCCTCATAGCGGTGCCCATTCGCAAAGAAATACACTCCGAATCCGTGCATCTTATCAGCAAAATATTCTCCAGCATACCTGTCCCCATTCCTGGACTCAACAACACCAGAATATCGCATCTTCATCAACCCAATAGATTTTATTAAGTATGCAGATGCATAAACAAGAAAAATCAACACCATTTATTCGTCTAAAACCATCTTCTTGCTCGTAGATTCTGCTTGGCTTGCTATAAACCAACCATTAAGCATCACACAGCATCAGAAAAATCTACTAAAAGTTGAAGAGAATTATATTGCTAGCAACAAGAATAACAAGATAATAACAGACAATATCAAACACCACAAGACCTTCGTTTTGAGCAAGTTTCTAATAAGATAACCTAATATATCCCCAAATTCCAGCAGCTAGAAGCACATGTCATTCGAAACCCTATTTCATACCATGCTTAGAATAATTTTTTTGCACAAACAACTAAATGGTTCTTAAGAGTATCAATACTCAAAGCTGCACAAATAATAGTCAAAAGAATACATTCAACCTATTCGAAAAGCTAGTCCATTGGGGTATGCTTATATAGCTAACATCAAAAAACCAAAATGCAAAATGCAACACATAAGAAACCAATTATCAGCAGCTATACCTGAAATGGTAATGTCCAAGGCCATGCTTAACACCCCACTTAAATTCTCCAACATATCGACTCCCATCCTCACAGGTATGAATCCCACATCCATGGCTCTGCCCATTAGACCATTCCCCGGCGTACACATCCCCCGTGTAAAACCTATACACTCCGAAACCATGCCTAAGACCTTGTCGATACTGCCCTCTATATCGGCTCCCTCTCGCCCATGTCTCCACCCCATAACCATCATACTTGCCGTCGATCCAATCCCCTTCGTATCTTCCACTCATGTAATAGTAATACACTCCACTCCCCGAACACTTGCCCTTGTGAAACTCTCCCTCGAACACATCCCCATTGCTGTAGGCTTGCACGTAGCATCCTGTGATCGCCTTCTTGTCTGGTTTTGCTCGAGACCCTATCGACCAAAAGACAGGCAAATGTGGGCGGGAGATTCGGTCCTTCGCAGATATCTTGAGCGGGAGTGATCTGGACAGGAAGAGTCTTATGGTGGGGAGCCTTGGGATGGCTAAGTTAAGGGAGAAAAGGAGGGCAGCGGAGAAGGCGAAAGCCGATAGGAAATCGAGGATAAAAGAGCTGGAAGGATGGGATACTAAAAAGTAGAAGAAAGGGAGGCTGAGGAGGAGAATCAGGCGGACGTGGAGGCGCAGCCGGCGGCGCAGGTGGCGGAACTGGTGGTGGAAGTGTGTCAGGAAGTTGTGAGACCTGTTGTAGAAGAGATTGAAATTCGCCGGGCGGTGGTGGTGATGGTGATGGTGGTCCGGCGGCGGAGAGACGGCGCGGCCGTAGTTGTGCAGAGCGTTGGAGAGGGTGGGGGTCTTGGCAAAGCGCTGTTGCCTCTGCTGCTGCTGAGGAGACCTCTTGAAGGGGGCGCGCTTGAGGGCAAAACCGTCATTCTGCTCATTCTCGGCGTCGATTAGGATCTGCAGCGTCGTATGGGCGGCGGAGGACGGCGGATGGACGGCCGGCGGATTGGAAGGGTGGGGATGCTTCTGCGTGAGGGACGCCGGCGGTAGCGGCGGAGTGGGATTGAAATCGGAAGAGACGCCGCTGCTGTCTTTTCCGATCTGTACTTCCGATTTCTTCTGATGCATCACATAGCCAACAAATCCAAATCCAAATCCAAATCCCTAATTGAACACCACTGGGCAAATCAATCAATCGAAAATCGGCGATTTCTTCCTCCAATCGTATCCTATCCTCGGGATTGCAGCCCTAAGCCAAACGCAAGCAAACTTTTCCCCAATTTCTACCCCACACACAGACACGAACACAGAGGTATGTTTATATATAGCGCGTGCAGGCGATGGCGAATCTGTCTATGTCTAAAAATGGAAAAGATAAGAGCAGAGTGATGGCGTGCAGGAGGAAGATGGAGGAGCGTAGAGTAGGAGGTGAGGAGTGGTTATTAATGGCAGTGGTGCGGCGGCGGCGGCGGCGGCGGTGGTGGCGGTCGGAAGGAAGGAGGAGAGATTGAATTCAAAAACAATTAAAAGCAGGAGCAGCAAAAAGGGAAAAGGAAAGGGGGGCTTGGTATTACCCTTTTCCTATATATCCATAAATCGATTGTTTTTCTTTCTATTTTCGGTTGTACCCCTCTATTTCTACTTTATTACTTCTTCGCCCCATTTTTTTTCTTTTCATTATATTATAAATAAATTATATATTCATTTAAAAGACAAAAAAAAAAAAAAAATTTCCATCCCGCGTATATTTAATATCGGTTTTATCCGTCTCACATGTCATCAATTTTATTTTTTTTTATATAAATTTTAATCTCATTTTAAATTTTTTAATTTATAATTTTTTAAATTTTAATTAGATTAATTAACTATTTTATTCTTAATTTATAATTATTTATATTTAAAATAATTATTTTTACTAATTATATTTATTATAAATTCTTTTATTTACAATAATCCAAACAGGCTAAGTGGAACGAAGAAAATAACATAATTACTTAGGAGTGACGGGTGGAGACAATTTGAATTTAGCTGCCAATCCAAAGCCAAAACATCACCAACAAATGTGTTTGATTTGAATTTTTATGTAATATTTTATTATAAAAAATAATAATAACACTTCCCCGTGAGAGTTGGCACTGAAATTAAAAAGTAATAGTATTTAATTAAAAAGGGTATAAAATAATATAAAAGACTAAAATACTCATATTTTTGAAAAATTTTTAAAAAATAGAATAGAATAATGATTATGAGTAATTTGAAAAAATACGAATAATTTTGTTATAAATTAGTAATCTCAATTACTAAATAAGAAAACGTGGCAATTATTTTTGAAACAAACGAAAAAAAAAATTATTTTTGGACGAAGAGAGTATATTTTTATGTTAAAGAAAACAGATGAATAGACATATTAAAAAAAAAAGTATCTGTAATGCTAAGTAGATAGTATAATTATTAGAAAAAAAATGAATATTTTGTTAAAAAAAATAAAAAAGTTAATACATTGTTAAGAGAGGGAGAGTATAATAGTCAATTCTGTTTTATATTAAAATAATGAAATAACTTGATTGTAAGTTAAATTAGTATATAATATAATATTTAATTTATATGAATATTGTTTTATATCAAATAAACTTGTATATAATATAAAGACATAAAAAATGTTTGTATATTTAAATATGATTTATATAAATTAATTTATAAAAAATATATTTGTTTATTTATTTTTAAAAAATATAAATTTATACCGTAATAGTATATTTTTTACTTCAATGCTTAATAACACCTTTGTTAGTATTATATACTTCCTCGATCTCATAACTAAGTACTCGTTTGCTTTTTACACGTAGTTTTAGAAATATTAGTATTATATTGGAATATAATATGAATAAAATAGAAATGACTAAAATAACCTTATTAGTATGTGTGATATAAAGATAATAACATTTGTTTATATATTGTAAATTGTAAAAGTATTTATAATATTAGGTAGATAATACAATTACTAAAAAAATGAATATTTTATTACGGAATGTACTAAAATTTCAAAATATATTCCTTAATCAAAAGTTCAATAGCATTAATAGGTTTGAAGTAGGGTGAATAATGATAGAATAAAAACGGAAAAAAAAAAAAATAGTGAAAATATTGTAAATTAATCTGATTGACAATTAATCACCATAATAATTTTGGATTCGAAATCCTAATCAAAAAGATAAATCACCAACAATTTCAATGCAAAAAGTTACTCCCTCCGTCCCAAAATTATAGTCTAGGTTGTGTTTGGCACGAGTAGGTAAAAAGTATGGGTAAAAGACTTTTTTGTCCTAATGAGTGTATTAGTGTAAAAAATAATGGCAATTGTGTAATAATAATGAAAAGATAAGCGTAGTTGTGTAGTCATATGATTATTTATGAAAATGAGACTATTGTTTTGGAACGGACAAAAAATATGAACATTGTATTGGGAGAGAATGAGTAAAAGTTATGAATCAATGAAATTACTCAAGAACCTAAGTATGAAGAAATCACTTCTAAAATACTAAAAATATATTGAGAAAAAATAATAGAAAATTTTGATTTAAGATTCCTCTGGTGAATTTAGAATAAAAAGGAATGTGGTTAAATTTACTGAAGTTAATTTTTTACAAAGGCACTTAAGGAGAAAAACAACAGTAAATAATTTTATTTTTTATTTTTTAAAAAAAAGTGCTAGAAAACCAAGTCCATAATAACAATCATTTGAATTTTTAGTTTTGGATTTAAATTTTTTAATAGTAAAATGTTCAATTTGAATAGTTGTTTGATGTTATATAAATAAATATTGATATGATCTTTTAATGTAAAATAAAGTTATAGTACTCCCTCCGTCCCAAACATCCTGCAATATTTCCTTTTCGGTACGTCAACATTTCCAAAATAGGAAATAATTAATTATACTTAATCTCTGTCCTCTTACATCATCCAAATAAAAAAATAAAATATATATTTTTCTCTCCATCACATCACCTAATTTCTAAATTATCCTACTTAATACTATCTACCTAAAAACCCGTGCCAAAATTAAATATTTGGGACGGAGGCAGTATAATATAAAAAATAATAATAATAATTGTGTGATGTAATATTTTTTGAAAAAAAAATTAGTAAGTAAAAACTTATGATAAAACCGCAAGAGAAGACAAACTTAAAGTATTTTGTTTGGTTGTGTTTTCTTCTTCCCACTGTCACTATATGTTCATTTATGATATTTTTTTCTTTTAAAAGATAATATTATACAGATATTTTTTATTTAATATATTATATATAATAATAATTCATTTAAGATATAGTGACATGCAAATGGATATCAATGTTCAAATATTTAATCCATTCCAAAATTGACTTTAAATTATTTTTAAATTAAAATTATAATAAATATTATTTATAAAATAAAATAAAATAAAAAATTGTCATAAAATATTTAGAAATGCATTGCAATTTGCAAGTATACGTAGGTGCCGAGTTGTCATTGTTCATGCTGCAATTATATATTTATTTTATAGTATTATTATCTTTATTTTATTTTATTTTATTTTCTTACTATGTAGTTCTCTGGATGTTATAAAAATATAATTTTCTTTTATAATTATCACTTTCAACTATTATGTAAACACAAAATATTAAAAATTAAAAAATAAAATCAAACACACTATAAAGTTTTTAAAATTAAAATATAATTCCTAAGAATATTGAAATAAAATCATTTTGATATTTTAATAGACTGTTTTTTATAGTTCCGTAACTGGACCCCTTATCATTTTAGTCTTATAAGTGGAGTATGGCGCAAACTAGTTTCATAAGTGAAAAATTTTCGTTGTTTTAGTCCTTCGGCGTCGGAGACACCTTCGTGGCTCGCCGGAAGCCACGTGTCCGCCGGGTGTTCCGCCAGGTCAGCGACACCCGGCGGACGCATGGATTTTAATTTGTTTTTCATTTTTTTTTTCATTTTTTCAATGGGACCAAATAACAAAATTAAAAAAAGACAAATAAAATAAAAATAAATTTTAGAAAATTTAAAAAAATGAAAAAATAAAAATAAAAATCTACGTGTCCATCAAGTGTCGCTGACGTGGAGCCATGCGGACGTCTCCGACGTCGAAAAACTAAAACAGCGAAAATTTTTCAATTATGAAATTATTTTGTTATCATTCTTTAATAATATATAACATATAGTTGTAATTAATATTAATTTACAATAACAAGAAGGGGTTAGTCAACTTCATTGATTGATGCACAAGCACAAAAGATCAGAGATAAGATTTAATTACTATAAAATAAAATTAATTAAAAGTATATATATATATATATATTGGTAATATATTAAATTAAATAATCTTGTTCTTGTCGGATGACAAATTAATTCTTAAAAATATTATCCAGTATCATTAAATAATTGAGTATATTATTAATAAATAAATAAATAAATAAATAAATATATGTATATACTGTAGCTTAATCTGCAAGAATAGTTGACTGATTATTCAATTAATAATTCAAAGCTAATTTTGGGTAATGATCTATTTTCGATTTGACTCATTCTTAATTATGTGACCAATACGCAACTTATTTTAATTATTCATTTATTTATTTTATTATAAAAATTATTTGAGATATTTTATGTGATATTTAGTTAAAACCAAATATATCAATTTTGAACTTTTCGTACAAATTTTACATTACACAAGAAGTTTCACGCAATAAATAAAACATACGATATTTTGTGTATTTTTACTAAAGGATTATATAATTTACCCTATTTGTTTTATGAAAATGTTTTATTATCCTAATTTTCAAAAGGGTAAACTGTTTTTTTAGTCCCGTAACTGGACTCTTTTATCATTTTAGTCTGGAGCCTGTCAGCAAACTAGTCTCATAGGTGAAATTTTTTTGTTGTTTTAGTCCTCCGGCGCCGGAGATGTCCGCGTGGCTCGCCGGAAGCCACGTGTCATGTGGATTTTACTTTATTTTTCATTTTTTTAGTTATTTTTAATTGGATCAAATAAAAAAATTAAAAGAAAAACAATAAATTTAAAAATAAATTTTAAACAAATTTTTTTAAAAAAATAAAAAAATTTAAAAATAAAATAAAATTCACGTGTCCGCTAGGTGTCACTGACCTGGCGGACACGTGGCCTCCGGCGAGCCACGCGGGCCTCTCCGGCGCCGGAGGACTAAAATAGCAAAAAAATTTTACTTATGAGACTAGTTTGTAACAGATTCCACTTATGAGACTAAAATAATAAGGGGTCCAGTTATGGAAAAAAAAAAAAACAATTTACCCTTTTCAAAGTTTAAAACTACAAAAGCATTGTGTATTCTCATTGTTTTTTTTTTAAATATTATTTTAATATTATATTTTTACAAGCAAAAATAATTCTTCCAATTCAACCAGGTTGTCAGAGTAGAATTCCGACGATAACATAATCGACAGGTACATTCCTACAAGTAAAACGAGTTCGAATAGCTATCGGTTTCGCTCAAAAAGTTATGAATCAATTTGTTTGGGGGATTGGATTAGATTTTTACTGTTCATCCCATTTTTTCCCCAAAAATATCAAATCAAACACCTATTTCTTTTTTTATATTATACTAAAAATCAATTTTATATTCAAAACATCACATCAACACTTATTTATATCACATCATACAATTATTCAAATTCAAATTTTTACTATTCAAATCCCAACTCAAAATTCAGACCCATAAACAAACACAACCTAGTGTTTGGTTTTGGCTGAAAATTAAGCTACTTATGTAAAAATAAGTTCTATGTTGATTTGCGCTAATCAACCCATAATAAAATGTAGGGTGAGCACATTATTTAAACTAATACAATATTTACATTATATTAATACAAATATTATGTTGTTATTTTATTTTATTTTTTATGTATGTTTATCAATATTAAAGTGTTGTCAATATTATGTTGAGTGTTTTTTTTTTTTTTTTTTTTTTACGGGAACTATCTTTATAGTTTTTCTATGAGTTTAACTTTTTTTTTGAATTTTAATTTAAATATTATTTTGATATATCGTAATATTTTATAAAAGAAAAAAAAATATTTCTTTTTATTGATAATTAGGATGGTTGAATAGTATTAATTTGGTTTTGCATAAAAATCAAATAAAACACATTATTTTTACCAAAGTTATGAAAATTGAATAGTAGAAATTAAAAAAAAATAAAAACTTGAAGAACAAAACCTAAATACATTCAAATACTAAGATTATGTTTATATTATGACCGGCCAAAGACATCAAATCGATTTTGAAGGAATCGCAAAGGAATTCAGCCGAAGTCTAGTTCGGAGAAAGTCAGATGTTATCTAACACAAATTTTCAAAATTATATTTTTTTAAAAAAAAATTAATATATTCCATAAATTTATTATTTTTATATTACTTACACAATTCTCTATACTTTACATAAAAAAATAAATTAAAAAAAATATATATCTTTCCAAACAATTTCACTAAACAAACTCACTTAGGTTGTACAAAGTCCAAAATCTGATTTTTTGGGTCAAAAAGTTTATTCTTTTGGACCAGGCTTGTTATGTGAGACCTTTTGAAAAATTTATTTGATGAGAGTGGAGAATGCCTCATTACTTGGAGGAATTTAGAGACATGGAGGCATTGTGCAAAATTTTGGTGGAAAAAATTCAAGACTTTGAAAGAAAACACCTAAAAGAAAAAATTAAAAAAATAAAATAAATAAATAAATATATATATATATACATATAATATATTGGAATAAGAAAACATATTTGAAATTGAAGACTTTTTGTCTAAGGAACTAATGAAACTTATTCATGAAAGCTTCATTATTAAGGCTTGAATTGAATAAGAGGGGTTATAACAAGTTATGTAGGAGTTATACAGTAAATAAATTATGAGGGATTTATCATTATTATTTTAATGTTATATATATATATATAACAAATATAGATAACTTATACTTCTTCTGTTTCAAAATTCAAAATAATAGAGACATTTGTGATAGATACGACAATTATAAAATAACATTATTATTTATCTTCGAGTGCACTTTGGAAAAATCTTAAATTTAAACTTATAGTCTGCAAACTAGAAATGATAAGATAAATTATACTAAACGCACAATGTGTGGTACTTCTTTCACCACAATTTTTGAAGTAATATAATTTGACAAATAATTTTATAAATTATATTTAAAAATAGTAAAGGAGAAAAGGTGAAGATAAATAAAAGTTTCAAAATAAAAATTGCTCTTTCTAAGTTTTACTGCACACCACAGTGCCACACCTTACAATATGAACAAAATAGGGATATAAGGAATTCTACATAATAAAATTTACATAGAATATTTCACACATTTAAATTAAGATAAAGATGATGCATATAGAATTTACCTATACCTACATTTTATGACATTCACATCATCACTAAAACCATCAAAACAAATCTCATTTCAAATTAAATCAAATCCATATTTCAAAATTCCAAATGACAACCAAACAAATAAATAGAACTTCAGACAGCCATTCTGGCCACAAAACTCATAAGATGCTACCTAATTTACAAGCTGCCAATAAAGGGGAAACCACTCTTGCCATTTTTCTTAGCTTTTCTTTTTTTTTTTTTTTCATGAATAAATTTACTTTCAATAATAATAATAATAATAATACTTAATTTTTCAACTACAATTCAATATACCTCCAAAAATACCTGAAATTAATACATAAATATGAAAAAAGAAGTAAAATTTTCAGCTTTCATAGTACAAAGAAATGAATAGATTGTTGCCTGCATAAATCTCATCACAATGATCATGATTAGCAGGGGAAAAGAAATATATATATATATATAAATTTACCTACTATTAACACCAAGAAAGTTAGCACGGAATTTATAAGGATAAGTATTGTACGACTATGCTAAAATGTATTGCAACAGTTAAGTCACTTCTCAACAAGGAAACAAATACAAGCTTACATGCTTCCGAATCTGAAGATGAGTTGCTTCATAGATGTGGTAAAAATGCTTTCTCCCTTAAATCACATGTTTTGCACATAATTAAAGCATTTTTACCTGGATAACTTACAACCAGATTTATAATGTTTGTGTGGCCATAGGCTGGAAGAACAATCGACAGCTTCACAGCACGTTTAGTAAATTCATTGGTCAAGGCTTGTGCATCTTGAAACCAAAGACTCTTGGTGTGTAGCTCTGTGTCGGCTTCTGGGGCTTGAGGTGGCCGTAAGTCATCAAGAATAGATGAGGGAATGTGGTCCCGAAGTATGCTCCATCAATGTCTTTGGAAGTCAAGGAAATCATCAAAGTGTAAGTACGAGACTGAATATTTTTAAATGCAGAGTGCAAATCAACAATATGTGAGAGATCAGAGATGCAATATTAAAACCATTGCTTAGCCTCCATGAATTTGAAATTAAGGCTAACATATAGGGTGGGGATTCTTCCAAAATCCTACCATTCATCAAATTTTTTTCCTTAAAAAATCAAATCAAACACCTATTTTTCATTTTTTATATTATATTAAAAATTAATTTTACATTCAAATCATCACATCACACCTATTTATATCACATCATGCAACTACAACTACATAAAGGTAAAAGGAAAGAATCAATCTAGAAATTATACTCCCTCCGTCCCACATATTTTGGGCACATTACTGTAGATACGGAAATTTAGATAAAGTATAATTAATAAATAATTAAAAAATATTCTAATAAAAATAATTATAGATTAAGATAACTAAATAGTTTAATTAAAATTTTAAAAATTATGAATTATAAAATTTAAAAGATAATTAAAATGTATAATCATTTTTCAAAAAAAAGTAAAGGACAAGTTATGTGGACGGACAAAAATAGAAAATAAAGACAAATTATTTGGGACGGAAGGAGAAATAGGGTAACTTTTTCGAAACTGGTTCTCTCTGAGCATTACAACTTTGAGGTGGACTATTACTACAATCCTTAATCCTAGTGTATCGAGCCGTGCATGCATAAGTATGTGTGCACATGTGTTAGAGAGAGAGAGAGAAATCAAGCATGCAAATGGAACACGGAAGGGAACAGATCTTAACACAAAAGCAGAGGGTAAGGATACTGCCTTGATACTTGGATCGGGGGTAGTATATATCTTCACATTTAGGACAGTAAATCTTCACAGTACTCGAGCGCGGGATATCAGATTGTCCAACAGGAAGGCAGGGTTGTCCACAGCAGTAAACTCTTGGGCATCTACCGAAGTCATAGTTTTTGTACTTCTCTAACTGCATTTCAAATCCAGCTCAGCAAGTTAAAAGAGATCATGGTTTAAAACTTTAAAACGGGAGGTATCCAGTATAAATTAGTCAGAATAAGTATATTACCATTGCAGCCAGTCCCTTGCTTGTCAAAATGTATCTAACATGAATAAGTCCATATAGCATTTCAGCGGCTGATTCAACTAGTTCATTCTGTTCCTCGGTGAACATGTCACCTACACATAGAACCACCATAGACAAAATGCTATCAACATGATCATATGGGGAAGAATATGGAGGAAGAAAAAGGTAGCTAAATGGACTTATACAAGTTTATTAAAAATTAATCACACCCATCTAGGTGGGCGTGTTATCCATTATAAATATATATAACCCGTCCACAATACTTCCTAACGAAATCCAACCAACACCTCAAAGTAAGTGGAAATAAAGGGTTTGTTTCTTTTCCAAAAAAAATTCAACACATTTCCCTACAAAAAAATTAATATACTCTACACATTCATCATTTTTATATTATCTACACAATTTCCTATACGTCACATCAAAAAGTTCTTTTCAAACCAAAACCCAAAACAAACACACCCAAAGTGACTTACTACACATGGGGATGTGATCTCAGATGAACAATTTCTGTTATGGACAAACCATAAACAGCTGAAACAAATAGATTACTGCTTTAGTGAAATTTGGTTCATTGGACAGAAAATACAAAAAAAACAAAGAGAGGGGTGGGGGGGGGGGGGGGATCAATAAAAGTAATTTGACTCCTATATCTATAAAAGATGTGTTTAAGATTAAAATATCCAACAAAACCTCAAGAGACATATGGAAATGAAACACTACTTACCATGAGATGATTCTACATCCAGAATTAGATCAAGTGCATAATCGTAGTATGGGACTTGACTGCTCAACCCACAGAGATTAAAATCATCTTGGATATAATCATCATCGACTTCACAAAAGAACTCATTTCCCCTTAAGTTGCAAAACCATGAAATCCAAGATGTATCTTCCCCGTCAGAACCACTAACATCAGACTCTTCACTGTCTGTTTCTGATTCCTCTGTAAAAACAATTGTAGAAACTTCCAATAATTGAGAGGTTCCAATTAATAAAAAATGTAAATATGTATCAGATCTGGATAATTAAAAGCATAGCATAGTTCTGCAGACAACATGAAAATTTGGAATGAATAGCTTTTCTATGCAAGACAGTGCAGTCACTCAAAAACACAAATTTCTATATGCCATCATTATATGAATTGCATTGGTTGATTTTCAAATCTTATAAGCTATTATGGAAATTGATAGTAAATGACCCCACCAAGAATTAATTAATGCCTGCCTTATTCATTAACTTCACAGTAAAAATGTCAATATCAATCCATACAGCTGGTTCCAAGTCTGGACTCCCATTTAAGAATCAAATGCACCCAATCACAAAAATAAAGAGAAATAAATACATATATAAGAAAATTATTTCTAAGGCACTCATAAATTGTATCTTTAAATAGCCCATTGCTGCCCCCAGCAAAATGCACTTCCTTGAGCTCAGGGAAGATCTTTTGCAAATCATTAAAACCCACAAAAGACAGTCATGTTCACAGAAGCACAATTGTGACCTTTTTTCATATCTGGAGTAGTAAATGAGACTTCCACCTGAGACAAGCAGAGACTTGAACCTTCTGAACATTAGTTTCTAGGATTTCAGAGATAACCTTAACAATTCCTAAATGGTATAGGTTGCACCTCCGACAGATCTATGGAGCCACTGAGATAGGTTAAGCCCATTATTTAACACAAAATGCATTCAATTTCAGCTAATAAAGGATATGTTATCCAAACCCACTAAGCAATTTTAAACAATTTCACCAAACCACAAAAGATTAACAACAAAAATTCAAAGAAAACATAACCAAATCGAACAAAACGCAGCAAAGAACCTTCAGACAGCTTGCTTTTGTTGGAAGTGAAGTTGGAAGAAGAGCGATTATCCCGGGGATCGACATGCTTCCCAGCAGCTGAGGTGGAGGGTAAGGCGACGGCGGAACCCTTGTTTCTGGATGCAGAAGGAGAAGACTTCTCCAAGTGCTTGTCCAACGCATCGTTGATTCGCTTCCGATCCAGCATCTCTCCGCCCTCGGATGAGCCCCCTCCCGCCCGATCTCTGCACATGCTCGCTCATATCAGCACACAAACATCATCTATATATATATATATATGGATGAAATTGAGAACCTACAAACAGTTTATCGGAATCCCGAAACTCAATCCGGTGACGAGAGAAGCGAACGAAAATCGGGGACGGACAGATAGAGAGATGGAGACTAGGGTTTGCTTCAATCGGTCCTTGAAGACCAGAAAGAGAGAAATGGTACAGTGCAGTGCTGTGCTGGCGATTCTACCTTGTTTCTGTTCTCATGTAATTATTGCTAAGGTGCCATTTATTACTATAATTTCAAATCAATTTTGCCTCGTTTTAAATTTTAAATATATATATATATATATATATAATATCAAGGATTTGTTTGAAAAAAAAAAAAAAAAAAACATTTTTTCGCCATAATTTTTAAAATAAATATTTTATTTTATTATAAATTACTCTCTCCCCTCCATTGCATATAATTTGTCCATATTTTCTATTTTCGTTTGTCACGTAACTTCTCATTTCTATTTTTGAAAATATAATTATGCACTTTAATCGCATTTTAAATTTTAAATTTTATAATTTTCTTAATTTTAATTAAACTATTTACTTATTTTAATTTTAATCTATAATTATTTTTACTAATACACTTTTATTAATTATTTACTAATTATACTTTACCTAAATTCTCGTATCTACTGTAATACACCCATATTACATGAGACGGAGAAAATAATATTCAACATAAACTGTTCAGAGAATTATACTTTCCTTTTAATCTATTACTAATATATTAATTATATATATATAAATAAATTTTAATTTATTTATTATTTTATTATAATAATTTAGAATAAAATATACAAATTTTAATATTCTCTGTCTGAATTCAATTTTAATTTTAAATTAAATTTTAAAAATTGTAAAAAAATATTTTGAGTCTACCAAGTCTTGTCCGATATAGAGAATGTTTAGTAATAAACTGTTTGACAGTAAAAAAGTTAATGAGAATTTTTAGTAAATAAGTGTTTTTGAAAAAACAAACTAGTTTATGAAAAATTATCTTACTTTAATTATATTAATTACATAATTGTTCTTAAATATTAATTATTTTTCTTGCACAGTTTTTATTTATTATTTTAATATTTATATTTTTTAATTATAATTTTATTTTTAATTTTCAAGTAATTAAAATTATTAATTATTTATATTCTCCCTTTGTCCTATAATTAAGTATTTATTTATTTTTTGTATGTAATTTTAAAAATTTTAGTATTATATTAAAATATAGCAAAAATAAAGTAGAAATGAATAAAATAACTTGTTATATAAAAGTAATGACTAATATATTTTAAATTGTAATGGTAATTGCAACGATAGATAGTACAGTTACTAAGTAAGGGTGTGTTTGTTTGAGGTTTGGATTTTAAGTTGGGATTTGAATAGTAAAAAATTTGAATTTGAATAGTTGTATGATGTGATATAAATAGGTGTTGGTGTAATATTTTAAATGTAAAATTTATTTTTAGTATAATATAAAAAATGAAAAATAGGTGTTTGATTTGATGTTTTTAAAGGGTAAAAAATAAGATGAATAGTGAAAAATCTAATCCAGTCCCCTAAACAAACACATGGATACTTTGTTATGGACAACTAAAATAGAAAAATAGTTTATTATGTGAGGGGGAGTATTTTTTTCTTTGTGAGATTTGTTTTTCTGTTCTACTATTCCAACTTTTTTTCCCCAAAAATATCAAATCAAACATCTATTTTTTATTTATTATATTACACTAAAATTAAATTTTATATTTAAAACATAACATCAATATATATTTATATCACATCAAATAACTATTTTAATTCAAAATATTACTATTCAAAACCAAAACAAAAAATCAAAATCTTACAAGTAAACACACCGAATTATTATCAATTTATTTTTATATATAAATGTTATATTAAATAGATACAATAGATTAAATTTATTAAAAATTGTAATAATAAATTAATTAATAATTAAATTAAAATACATATACTAGGAGAGAGTATTATATTCAATACAAATTTTTTATTTTTTAAAATAAAAATATATTAGTATTTTTTTAACAAGTATTTAAAAATAACAAAATAAATATATTAATACACAAACTCATCAAATACATTGAAAAACAAACACATTATTTGACATAAGCAAGCATTGTAATAATCAATCTATGGCAGATCATCCTTGATCTTGAGGGCTGCTGCGTCGGCAAATGCAGCGACGATCCTCTGCTGGGCAGCGAGGATCATCTCCGTTCTCTTCAGCTCGTTCTCCATTCTCATCTCCTCGATCTTCTGCACCATCTCCATCTTCACCTTCTCCATTCTCATCAACCCTTCCCCTAATGCCTCTATCGCACCCACCAATTTCCTCTTTCTCATTTCTGATTTCGGGAATTTAGGGTTAGGGTTAGGGTTTTGGTTTTGCCCAATTTCTTCTTCCAATTTTGGGTATACCCTCGCCGCCGCGGGGATTTTAATTCGAAATCCAGGCGTACCGCCGCGATTCGGATCCAAAACGCCTCTCTGGTGGTTGTAATTGTACAGATTGTTGATCCGTTTTACGGCGGCGGCGGCGGTGGCGGTGGCGGTCGGATCTTCGTGTTCGGAGGAGGAGGAGGAAGGTGGAGATTGATTGGAGCCTTTTTCCATGGCGTGCATGCTTCGGAAGTGCGTCCACGGCGAGGAGTACCGCCGGACGCCTCCGTGCGCGGCGGCGCGTTGGATCTCGCCGCGGTAGCGCTTCCGGAGTTTCTCCATCTTGTGCCGGCACTGTACGGAGGTCTTCAGGGGGCTGACGGCGGTGCACCGGGACGCCACGGCGTCGGCGACCTCCTGCCAGTGGTTCGCCCGGAGATTCCCCCGGCGGAGGGAGTACCACTTATCCCTGTACGCGTCGATCAGAGCCGCCGTCTCCTCCGCCGTCCAGCACGGCGGCGGAAGCCGCCGCGACGCCGTGGCCATCGCAGGCACCGCTAACGTGACCGTCGGTATCTCATCGTCGTTCAACGGCGGCGCCGGCGACACAATCGTAGCCATTGTCGAGAACAGAGCAGATCTGAGAAGAAAATGATAGAGAGGGAGGGGGAGGGGGAAATGGTGAATTGGGGGTCATAATTGTGGGGTGGTTAAAAGGGGGCGGCGGGCGGTGGCGGCACCGCTTAGGGAGGAAGAGAGGAGGCTAACGTGCGCGAAAGGTGTGGGGGGGGGGGGGGGGTTTGTATTTTAGTGAATATTGTAAATGTGGTGGTTGGAATATCGGGTCCGCCGCGTCAGGCGGGGCGGGGCGGCGCCGACGGTTGTGGCGTCATGGGGCAGGCCGCGGCCTGGGATCAGATTTACAGGTGCGGTGGAAATTCACGTGTTCTAGAAGAATTGTGAAATGGGGGAAACTAAGGCACTTTCTAGAAGTAGAGCGTGGACACGTGGACGGTCGGATGGGTTAGAGATTGGACCTGTGGGTAGATCTGGACCGCAAGTGTTTTAGCTTTGTTTTTTTTTTAAAAAAAGAATTATAGATAAAAGTTTGGAAATATTTAATTTGAATTTATATTAAAATATTATTTGAAATTATATTTATTTGAGAATTTATTATTATTTTTTCTTTGAAAACAATAGTAAAATTTGAGGTTGATTATGCTAAATAAAAAACTCTTGGCTTGTTTGTTTAGTATTTTGGTTGAGGAATACTTTTTTTCTCTTTTTAGTACAAAGTAAAACATTTTGTAGGGAGAAAGTGTGCATTCAGTCCTGGGCAGTGGGAATTTTGGTCGTCTGCTTGACATTTGCTATGGATTATTGCAATGTTATGGGTATTGAGGTCTGGTAATTGGTGCGATTCATTGTGTATTATTATATTCGCATTTATCAGTAATATCAGTGATCTTGTTTTAAAAAAAACATTTTGTAGGTAATATATATACTCTTTCTGTTTCATATTTATTTATTTATTTTCTTTTATGAAATTTTAGAAATATTAGTAATATATTATATTGAGATATAGTAAAAGTAAAAGTAAAAAGATTAAGCTAATTTTATTAGTATTGTATGATATAAAGCTAATCTTATTAGTATATAATACAATTATTGAAAAAAAAAATTGAATATTTTGTTATGAGACGAATTAAAATAAAAAAATAATAAAACTGTTAAGGGATAGAGAAAATATTATATATTTAAAACTAAAAAAATATATATATTGAAATAATGTAATATATGTTAAAATATACGGTGAATTATAATGTAATATACATTAAAATATGTATAAATATATGCTGATCATCCTTGAAATCCGACTTATCCACCAAAAAAATCTTTGTCTAAAAAAAATTAATTGAAAGATCAAACGCTTGGGGTTTTAGTTTGGTTAGTCCTTAGGAGCATAATAAAAAAACAAAGTAAAAATAATAAGAAAAATTTTGATAAAAAAAATAATATACAGTAACTAATACTACTATTAGTTGAAATGTAATAATAATAATAATAATAATAATAATAATAATAATAATAATAATAAAAGTATATATTTATAAGTAAAATGTCGAAAAAAGAAGTATAATATTTATACATGATATAAACATAAATTTGATAATAGACTTAAACAAAAAATAATGGATTTGTTTACCTTTTGTAAGTAATTTGATATAAAAAAAATACAATATATATTCATAATAAAGTAATATATATACTTTTTCGTTCTAATTTTAAATATATATACACGGATATTAAATTATTATTAATTTTTTTAAAATTATAAATATATTATATATATATATATATGATTATTTAATATACATTTTTACTGATTAATAAATATTATTATTTTTTAATTGGTACACAATTCCAAAAAACATTGAGTATAATATATTATATATTTTATTTACTTATAAAAAAAATTAGTAATTTAATAATTTTTTATATTACCAACTCAATACCCGAATTTACTTATGCATGTACCAGGAGTCCCAGGACCGGCCGGGAGCTGTAAAATGAATAATCTAACTACACCTTTCCTTACAGTAAGGGCAGTCTGAGCAGTACAGTACAGATTAATCTGGATTACAGCTCCGGGTTCTCATCATTTACGCAATGCGACCCACCAAATTTCCTGTGTACTACTGTCACTTCAGCTTAAACCCTAAACCCTAATTTCCGCACTACCGCGTGCGCCATGCTCCTCCGATCCATCGCCCCGAATTATTGCCACCAGAATCACGGCGAACTCTGCATTTCGAGTTCGGCTTCATTCCCGTCATGCGGATATCTGCGAAATTCAGCTTCATTTTTAATCAAGCCTGTCGTCTTCACCAGGTATGGAACCCGTAGGAAGTCGGCCTCTGTTACATGCTTGTCGAAGTCGAAATTTCGTAGCTACAGAACGGTTGACTATGAAAGGAGGCCTCCGTCGAATTGGAAAGACCTATGCAAGAGAATTTCCCTGGTGGATTCCCTGAATCGGAGCTCTGCTTCGGTGTTTTTGAGCCAGGCGGAGGGCGAGGGCGAGCTGCTCTCGAAATGGGACCTTTGCAGAGTCGTCAAAGAGCTTCGGAAGTTCCGACGCTACAAATCTGCTCTTGAGGTATATAAATTAACCTTCAAAATTTCCAACAACATTTGATTTAATCAGATAAAAGTCTGCTACTACAATCCTGCTATTCAGAGCCTGTCGGATTCGAGTTTGGTTCATGAGAGTTTCGATGTTTATGAAACAGCACAGATGATGTTACATATCTTAAAGTAGGACTTGAGTGTTGCTGATTATAGGTACTCCTGAGTTGCTATGGGCGATTTTTGTGTTCATTTGTTTATAGGTGGTGATGTCGAAGACTTTATCGTATGGATTTGTGTATGATGGTATATGACTCAATATTCGGTGTCTTAAGAGTGTACGAATAATTGATTACATGCTGCTAGTGCTTCCTACAAATTGATGTGAGATTGTGTAGGTTGTGTTTCATTAGGGATGGGATTGTTGTATTCTAACCATAAATCGAGTTCGCTCGTTGTTGTTAATAGGAATGAATCTTGTTTGTGGTGCAATTGTAATAAAGATCATAAATATCTTGATGATTCATCTGTCCAAAGCTCTCTATTGAGCAAGGGGACATAACCTAACCCGATGAAGTAGTCGGCAGATGTAGAGCAGGGGATGCTTTATTGGTTTCATTTCTGTTCTTCTGGATGTTCTATTTGTTTGGGGGTTTGGATTTTGCGTAAAAATTTTGAATTTGAATAGTTGTGTAATACGATATAAATAAGTATTGATTTGATGTTTTGAATGTAAAATTAATTTTTAGTATAATATAAAAAATAAAAAATAAGTGTTTGATTTGATATTTTTTGGTGGAAAATTATTCGTGAATAGTAAAAATTGGGTGAAGTTTGATAAAAGAACACACCCTATACTGAACTTCTGGATGTGACGATGTGTATGTGAGATTGATGATCTATCAGATCAATAGTTACCTTATTGCAAAACTTTGATATTTTGTACTCCCTCATTTCCAATTCAACGGGGCTTTTTGAAGTTTTGTAGTAAATTAAAAAACAATAGTATTTTATTGGTTAGTGGAAGTGTGTAAGAGTTTTTGCAGTTTTGTCCATTGACATAATTGCATGTGTAATGGCATATTTGTAATTTAAGTAAAATTAAAGATATTTTGGTATTAGTGTATAACTTTTTTGACGGACCAAAATTGTAAAAATGGTACGTTGAATTGAGATGGAGAGAGTATTTCTTGTGTTTAATTAATCATTTTTTTTTTTTTTTTTTTCCGCCTTGCAGGTCTATGAATGGATGAATAGTAGAGACGATAAGTATCTTATAACCTCAAGTGACGCCGCTATTCAACTCGATCTGATTGCTAAAGTGGAAGGGGTTCAATGCGCCGAGCATTATCTCCAGAAACTCTCGAATGGCTTAAAAGACAGGAGAGTTTATGGCTCTCTTTTGAATGTGTATGTCCATGCGGGAATGAGGGAAAGTGCCGAATTCCTAATGAAGGAAATGCGAAAAAGAGGCTACTTTGCTCATACCCTCTCATACAATGTGATGATGACGCTCTACATGAAACTCAAAGATCATAATAAGATCGAGCTATTGGTGTCCGAGATGAAGGAAAAGAATGTTGCGCTTGATGTCTGTACGTACAATATTTGGATGTCATCCTGCGGATATCAAGGATCGATTGCGAAAATGGAACAAGTTTACGAACAAATGAAGGCGGACACCACTGTCAGGCCAATATGGACTACATTTAGCACCATGGCTACAATGTACATTAAATTAGGAGAAATCGAGAAAGCTGCAGGCTATTTGAGGAAGATTGAAAGCATGATGACTGGTCGGGATCGCGAGCCGTATCATTATCTTATCAGTCTTTACGGCAGCTCCGGTAAAAAAGAATCAGTTTATCGGATATGGAATGATTACAAGAATTCATTCAGCAAGATTCCTAATTTCGGCTTCCAAGCCGTTATCTCCACCCTGATTGCTGCCAACGACATTGACGGGGCTGAGAAACTCTACGATGAATGGCTCGGGGTGAAAACAAAATACGACCACAGAATTGGGAATCTTATTCTAGCGCGGTATGTTAAGGAGGGGAAATCCGACAAGGTAAAAGACTTTTTTAACCAAATGATCGAGGCGGGCGGGGAGCCTAATTCGATGGCTTGGGAGATTCTTTCGGAGGACCATATTCGTAATTTGAGGATTTCCGAGGCCGTGTCGTGCTTGAGGAATGCTGCTACGGTTAATGGATCGAAGCGATGGAAGCCTAAACCTGCGAATGTGTCGGCCATTCTCGAGATTTGCGAGGAAGAAGATGATATGGCTAACAAGGATGTTTTAATGGATGTTTTGCAGGAAGTCAGGTGCCTTAGCGACACGAAATACATGGGATATGTTTCTGACTTGCGCGATGGGAAGATTACGAGCTGTGATCAAGCAGACCGTAACGGTGACGGCGATTGCATCGATACCGATGTCTACCAATTCCTGGAAAGCTTGTGAGAACTCATTTATCTCAAGTAAGGTATGTTTCTTACATATAGTTCATTGGGTAAGTTTATAGTTTGAGCATAAGTAAGGTTACTTGAATTTTGGAGAAATATTAGATGAGATATGATATTTTAAATGGGGGAATAGATGTTGTATATGCCTTGTTCTTTCGGTGTTTTATAGTATAAATTATACTCTCCTTTACCCATTTACTTTTTGCACATAATTTTAGAAATATTAGTATTATATTGGAATATAGTAGAAATAAAAGTAAAAAAACTAAACTACCCATTGTATGATATAAAAGTAACGACATGTGTAATATATTGTAAATTAAAAGAGTATTTGTAATGTTAGATAGATAGTACAGTTACTAAAAACGATAATGGATACTTTGTTATGAGACGAATCAAGATAAAAAATAGATAGATTGTTAAGAAATGGGGGAGTACTTCATATTCCGCCCTCGTCTATCCCAATTCAAAGTACTAGTATATTCTCCTCAAAGTATTTGTTTCTTATTTTTAAAAAAATAATTATACATTAATACTAAACTATCTCTAATTTTTATTTAATGAATATAGTATTCCTTCCGTACCATATATAGTGAAATATTTGATTTTCGACACGGGAAATTTAAGTAGACAGTAAACAAAATAAATTGGGAATTAGATTATGTAATTTAAAAATATATATTTTTTTATTTGAATGATGCGATATGATAAAGTGTATTTAATTATTTTATAATTTAAAAATATTGCAAAGTATGTAAAACATACAAGAATGAAAAATATTATATTTTAAAAAGTATACAAATGAGAGAAGACTTTTGATAAATTGAGTGCGTAAATAGTTAAAGTATATTTGTAAACAAATGTAATATGAAACGGTATAAACCAGCCGGGCTCAGACATGAAATGTTCAACTCAGTAGCAACTCGATTATTATTAGCATCAATGCAAAGAAGCACACCAAAATCACAGCGAACTTTCACCAAAAGAAGCCACAACTAACCCAAACCTCTCATCCACAATCTCATCCTCTCCTTTACTCAACTCTGCAAGAAGTCGTAAAACCGGCATCAATGCAGCCAGAGCAACAAAAAGAATCGTCTCACCTTTTGTCAGAACGAGCCCAAGAAGCGTCACTGAACCTACAAGAAACCAGGCCATAATGACGAGAAGCACCCGGGGCCATGTCCCTATTTGCTTGTAGAAAGCTATGAGATCGGGGAGAATGCGAAGCAATCCGACATAAAGTAAAATGACATGTGATGAAGCAAAGAAAGAAATCAACGACAGTTTGTGTTTCTGCAAAAGTGTCATAAATTGTGCAATCCAGATGAACATTGCATAGTATAAACCGAATTTTTCCAGGTACACGATGACTCTAACAGCAGGAGACTTTTGTGAGGACTCGGAAAATACAGTTAAGGGACTTGAAAGGAAGAAGGTACAAAACTTATTTCGGCTTGGAATATTCAGCTCTGTGTCGATTGAGAGGGATGGCTGCGAATCGAAGCTGGCGCAAGATGTGGCAGAGGTAGCCATGTCTGAATTAAAACCTACAAGAATTTATCATTCAAGAAGGAATAGAATACAGAGCAGAGTGAATATAAACAATAATATCTGTCTGCCCCAATCGAATCGAAATTGAAGAAGTCAAAAGTTAAAAAATGAGACTTTCATGAATCTTTGCTGGCAACGAAGAACAAAGTATATGCTTCTATGGAAGTTAATACAAAATTAGGAATTGGAAACAGTCAAAGTAAAGGGTTTGTTCTTTTATACCTTACACCATTCCCGATAAGATTTTTCTATTCATATTTCTGTGTAAAAATACACTATTTAAAATAATAAAAAATCACTTCATCCAAACAAAGTCACAGTTCTTTAAAATACTTTCACAATTTTCAATAACAAAAAAGAAAATCAAATGATGTAATGGAAAGTGATGTTCTTGCATATGGGCTTTGTAAAATTATGATTTGTGAATCAAGTGGTTGAGGTCTCCGATGCAAGTAATTAAGTCAATGCTATTTATTTATTGTGAAAATAAATTATAAAGACTGAAAAATTGCATTGTTAACGAAAATAGAGGCCTATAATAGGCATAATATACAAACTCAATAGACTCAAATCTAAATAAGATAAGGCCAAATCTAAATTTACTAAATCTAAACTGAATATCTAAAATATCTCAACATATATATATATATATAATTTGTATCAATCATTCAACCTTAGCTTTCATGTATAGAGAGGTTGGATACGGATGCACAGAGAATACGTGAGGCCTATGAAGTTGAAGCTTTCTAAAGGTGTAGAATATAACATTCACCAGAGTTGTTTCTATGAGTCTAAACAAGAAATAAGGTCGCGTAAAATACATTTCTTGCCTGGCAACGGTTAAGCACTGCAATTGCTATGATATGTGTTTGTGTGTTGAGGTTGGGTATGGTAAAAAACAAAATAACAATTGATATGTTACAACTACAATGCAAATGGTTCTAGCTAATTTGTGGCATACTTGATTAGAAGATGATGACTTATGCCCAAGTTTACTACGATATATAGGAGAGGATCATTTATTGAATTTTTAAGAAATTATAGGACATGAACGATGGCGCCTCCGCCTGATTTAGTTATTACCAAATGAGTCATGAGTGTTATAATGAAGACACCCTATCTCTACATGGGATCAAGAATCAAATCAGAAGGAGAAAAATGACTATTTCATGCAAAGCCATCCAACCTGTCCAACTGGGCAACCATAGCTGCGTCCATAAGTAGTACACCAATAACTTTTTTACGGGCAACGTGATCCATAAACCACATAATGGCTGTGGATTTTCCAAAAATAAAAAATAAATGAAGGCTTAGATTGATTGGGGGAAACATTTGGACTCATTATTGAAATAGATCTAGTTGTGGATTGTTCGGAAATGAATTTTCATAGTTGAATTAATTGTACATTAGTAAGATTAATAGATTATTGTTAAATTCAAAGTTTAATTATATGGGATATATGATAAAGTTCAAGCACCATCATTTGGAGTCTCACTTTCCATAAGTTGATTTAATGGGAAAAACATTATAGTTTTCATAAAAAAACACTATAATTAAGGTTGTCTTTTTTTTTTTTTTTTTTTTTTTTTTTTTTATCAAATAAAAAACTACATTATTCAGTCCATACAATACAATATTTTATCTCACAAAACATACATCAAAATACTATTTAAACCAACACTCAAATAAAAAGCTCAATTTCAAATCAAAACCAAATAAACCCTAATTTCCCCCATCTTTGTGCTTATTACCCTAGCTTCTTTTATGGTGTTGGCCTATGAATCTTACTTTTATTTACATTTTGCACATTAAACTACATCAGTGCAACATGGTTCATCCTTATTTAATGCACTTTCCCAGCTCTTATATAACTAATGGTTGTTTTCCAACTTCCAAGAATAGTCATAGTCATAATTTGTATGACTATTGTCGCTGAAATGCATTCCCAACTAGTTCTACGAATAATCAATGTAGATATCAGTCTAAGTGATTGTGCCCTAGTGAAACAAGACTATTATAGAAAGAAGACCTATCCATACACTATTTATTTTTATTTTTTTTTACAAAAATTGCATGCAATGATGCTTCCTGAAGTCAGTAAGTAGTAAACAGTTATCCATTTTCAGTTAGAGCAGAGTGAACCTTCAAATGTTCGTAAATTTTTCAGTTTCAAGCTACTAAACTATAGCCAAATGTAAAGAAGCACAAAACATATAAGTTTCAGTTGTTTATCCGTATATATGATCCAGAACCGATAATATTTTCCATGTTATTTATCTCATAGAGAATGCAGTTTCAGTTAAGATCTTACCTCACTCACTGTAGATTAGCACCCCGGCCAGCTTCTATGCATTATATCCTTACTTTTGGAATTTCCATGGACATATACCTTGGGATGTTTGACCTATTGAACATAGAGAAGTAAATGCTATATGCCATGCCAGTATGAAGAAAGGAAAAGGGCGAGAATGTGTTTTGCCCCTTACAAGTGATATGGGAGGAAATCCAACATGAAGACGAGCCCCAGAAAACCCTTTTATGCTAAACAGACACCTATAACCACTTATTAAAGCATGTTCGCTGCAAAACCAGCAAACACAAAAAGCATGGGGTTCACAGTATTTATGACGGAAGAATGAATTTGAATGGAAAGCAGAGCTCAAGCTTCAGTAAGACATGTTAACAGGACCTCAATCACTTCAAAATTAGATAGATTTAGCTAGCTTCAACGCGAGGATCCTTGAATCAGATTGATAAAGAATTGACATAAACACCAAAGAGACTAACCAGTTTAATATCATTCACCAAAGCATATCAATAGTCCACATGATACATGCTGGTCTGGCATACATATATGCATGCAGTGGCATGAAACTCACCTTAAAAGGTATGTAAAATTTCTTTGCTGAAATTCCTCCAGAGGAATATCTTCTTCTTTTGAGTACCTGGGAGAGAAAGAGAGAGCGAAATCAGTTAAATCAAAAAATTCATGAATCTGGTGTTGCATAGTATGCATACAATACTCATTTGAAACTTTCTATTTCAAAAAGTTATTGCAGTATTGCACAAACAATACCCATTTGAAAAGGCCTCAAGATTCTCAAGGTGGTATAGCACTAGTACTAAGTAAATTAAAACATCCGTAATAAAGCAGTTGATTGGACAACTGAAGAGAGCCAAGCTTTGACTCAGGCGGCACTTGAGCTCACTCAATTAGGAAACCAAGATCAAGCCCAGCAAGATGAGTATATATTTTTCACTCGAGTATGAGCTTGTTTAAACCAAATGAGCCTCGAACCGATAATTCCTATGAAATAAGAAATTATTCAACAAAAATCACAAATTAACCCGCGTGTTTGTTCGAATTGAGCGCATTGGCCGGGTTAATTATCAAGCAGTTTTCATGCTCAAGCCCACTTGCCAAGTTCAAGCCTAACAAACCTTCAAGCTATTTGATTCATTTTAAAACACTAAATTATATCAATGAACACAAGAAACAAAGTGAAGTATATTTTATGCCAAGAATCATATGCAAAGGGATGATATTACACATACCAAAGTACACACAATAATCAGAATCATGTGATTTGTTCACTTTGCATTTTTTTTCTGACTTTTTACTATTTCAACATATCAATTCCCTTTGAGAACATTACATCTAACATCCCTTTCCCGTACAAACATCATATCTAAAAATCATTTCACCTCAAACAAAACACACACACACAAAAAGAAACACCAAGTGAACACGCAGTAATATTCTAATTTTAAAACATGGAAGTAGTAGCTCGGAACATATTTGGTTGTGAATATTTTTAGGATTTTTACTATTCCAAAAAAATATCAAATCAAAACACCTATTTATTTATTATATTAAAATTTAATTTTACATTCATAGCATTATATTACATTTATTTCAATTCAAAACCCAAACCCAAAATCCACAACCAAACACACCCATAAGTTTTGTAAAAAGAACCTAGAAAGGAATAGATAGTTTCATATAAAAGTACAGGAAAAGTGAACCTTTCATTCTATCTAAAAAATATTGTTAAGGCAGAGAAATCTAAATCAAATGTACATATCACCAACCCGGGTGGACATTTATAGAAAGCTAATGATGACTTTGTACCAACAATTATCCTTGATTTTGAAAGCCTAAGGAAATTGTGGAAGCACACCAAATATTTTCAAAAAAATCATTAGAATTCGACACATTAAATTATAAACAGAATTTCAACAAAAAGATAATAGGCATACCGCCATGGTTCAGGATTTTCACAGAAGCGGGACACTCCATTAATTGCTGAGAAAGTGTCAATATGAACCCATACTTCCTTTGAATTGTTTTCTAATTGACCTGCTACAAGAAAAATGAATTCAGCGTGTGGGGTGAGTGCAAGGAAAGGGAGCATAGGAAGGGAGATCTCACCCATCTTATGCAATGCTTCGAGGGCATGGCCACTTGGATAGTTCTCATATGATGCCATAAATATCATGAGTGTGCACCCTAGACTACATAAAGTGAAGTCAGCCGAAATATCGTGATTAAATCATAGAATGATATATTGCTTCACTTAACCTGATCAAGAACAATGCCAGCATGCCAACATAAAGAAATTTCCAAACACTCTTCCTCCTATTGTTGTAGCTGGAGAAAATCACGAAAGCAGACCAAATAAAATCATCAGGCACAGACATAAGATACAAAAGCGATGGCTGACTTATACTTGATTTTTTGGCATGTAGCAAAGATGCAGAGAGATAAAATGAAGTACAAGTGTGAAAGTCTGAACAACTTAACAAATAAAAGATCTGATAAAATAATACTTCCAACAAGGGGTAGAAAACTCGAGGATTTTGAGCACACACACCAAAGACACACAAAAGTTGTTCGCAGAAATATACTTTTATTAGAAGACATAAAAGACAGTTTTTTTGTTCTTTCTGAGAAATAATCCACTCTTCCCCAGCTCCTGAATAAGCCTAGGCTAAGGCAGAGTTGTGAAGAATGGATGACTTTCAGAAAATGGGTGAGCAGACAGACATGCTAGAGTAGAGAAAATCTATCTCTCATAGTTCATCTTGACAGTAACAAGTCACAACTATCTTTATCAATTAATTTGCCACATGAGATGCTCAAACAGTAGACTCTTTAGATGGAAAGTGCTGTAAAATTAATGATTAACGCTATTGCTACTTAGATTTTCTTCAGCTGGCATTGTAAATAAATAAACATTAGTAATACAATGCAAACAAATAGAATGCAAACCTAAAGGTTGTTCACCCAGATGTCTTATGACTTTATTACGTTGTGGATCTACTATTTACCAAATTTCAATTTCTGAAGGGGTAGAAACACCCAATTTCTCTGGGTTGAGTATTTTCTCTTGCAAACTAGGGAAAAATAGTCATAGATCTACTTCATATATGTGTATTCTTCTTTTACAATTTAGTAAAAGTTGGTGATGTAGTTTATTCAAGCAGTAGAACTACCTTGCTAAGCCATTTTCTATAGCCGTTAACTTTTTTGCAATTTCTACTTTGTTATGCAAGTAAACAAAAAAATCACAGAATTTTCTAAGCCGCTAACCATCATGGTTCATGCACTCTTTCAGTACTATAAGAAATGAAAATCTATGGGTCTCCCAAGGTAGAAAGAAATCAGCATCAAAATGACTGGCAGATACATTAGGAACAATAGGTTCTAACTTTCTGTAGCAAGTAATTAAACATTAACTAGAGAAGCTACATACATTCTGGTTGCTGCCACTGCTGCTGAAAAGTTGAAAATTGGAAAAGAACTAATAATGAACCGGAGTTCCTGCAGTAGTAAAGTTTTGATAACTAGTTGTGTTTGAAACAGTATTTATGACGTCAAATGCAGCCAAGCACAATGTGTTTGCATTACCTTATGGGGGAGCTTTGAATAAATTAAAACAAATGACAGAGCAGGAACAACATAAAACAAGGCTCTTCTGTCAAATAAAGCACCCAACTGCAATAAAAAAATTAAAAAAAATAAATAAATAAATAAGAAAAAAACTTTATCAGACAAAATGAAATTTTAGTTATTAGTCTCTCAAGAACGTAAAAAACCATTAAACAGGGTGATAATTTGTTCCCATTAGAACTTGCATTTGCAACATCTTCCGTTTCACAGGCTTTCATTAAGTATCAGATCAAAATTTTGAGTGTTTTCATATATTGATGCCAAATAACTTTAACAAATCAAGTAATGAAAATCTACACACATGATATTCATTATGCAATACTAATGAAATAGTTGCACAGAATATTAAGCTATAGGATTGATCAATGGAGAATGATATGATACTGGTGTTAAAGGAAAACTGATTGTATGCATGCAAGGAGAACAAACAAAGAAGTTTAAAGGTAGGTTTCAGGTGCATTGATCAACATTCTACAATTATCATATTTTGTGTCACTCACCACAAAAAGTGGATATGCTGCCAGCAAAGAACGTGGAAGAGCTGATGTGAAGTACCAGTGGAAAGAATGTGTCTGAAGGCAAGATAGCAAGAAACAAAAAGAGAAATTTGAAAATTACATGAAGAAAGAATCAACAGACACAAATATAGCAAGGAAATATTCACTTTTCAGTCAAGCCTAGAGTAGTATTCATGTTAGACGCTTTCAACATCAAAGAAAGAATGCTTGTCCTCTGCTTAGCATATATCTACAAATAGTCATATTCATACAATCGAGCATTTAATAGCCATAGTTAATGTTAGAACAAGATAAAAGAAATTAGAACAATCAAACGAAACCAAGTATTTGCCTAAAAGCCTCCAAACTACTTTATTTCCAAGTTCAATAATGCGTTCGAACCTAGGTATTTGTCATTTAATACTACTACTAAATCCTACTTACTAGAAATAAATAAGTCCACACAATAACCAAATGGCAAGCCCAATTCAAAATATAATATCTTAACGGAAGACAAATATATAAAGTTTAAACCCGCGAACAACAGGCCCAAGCTCGTTCTTGTCATCGATATACAAGTAACCATTTAAACTTACATACTCTGCAACATTATCTGTTCAAAACTAAAATGTGTTATCCCAAATGAATAAGTAACTGTCACTCTATTCAATGAAGGCCATTACAAGGACAAACTTGAAATAAGTTGACATTCCAACATAATTAACAATATTACAAATTTATCCAAGTAGTAAAGACCTACTATATTAAAATAAAAACTAGGATATCGATCATAATTCCATATGGAAATGCAATTCAATATTACCTAACATGATTGACTCATATCCTCACAGATATTACAAGTCAGTACTAACATTATGTAACTTTAAGCAAACAAATAAAGAACCAAGCTCAGAAGCATGAATAATTTCATTCTTGTTTAGACCATAGATGATACAATTTTGCACTTGCTTATATGCTGTGAACCACAAAGATAAGAGAAATTGACATAGAAATGCAAAGAAGATATAGTAAAAGTTTCCCAAAATGAAAGGATACACCCCATTCAGAACTTCGATTCAACACAGAATTGAACCAAAAAACTTCAAACTCAGGCCACAATAACTTCCTCCACAGGAATGAATCAACTATTACAGTTAGACCTGTAATGGATAATATAATGAATATATATTATGATCAACATAATTGTATTTAAATACATAAAGAGATGTAAAAATGGCATAATTTCCTTCACAAACCTATACAAAACATAGCAGCTGCCGTACAGGATAATATAGCTTTTGGCAATGAAACTGATCTTGTCTGCAAATTAAGTCAACAAAGTCAGAAACTAGTAGAACTTCATGCAAACATAGCACAAACAACAGCAGAAAACAGCCATCAATGTGTCATATCTTATTAGAATTGAAAATTTTAAAGGATGGCACACTACCTATGCACCCGTATTTTAGTTATCGCACAAGCTCCGAAATTCAAATCAAGTTTAATATACGAAACGGAATAGTAAAATTCTAAAGAAATATATTTTTTAGAATATGTTGTCTATAAATTTTACTACCAAAAACTAATAAATAAATAAAGCATCTGTCAAGTTGGTTGAGTAAGAATTTTTCTCTGTATAAGTAGACAGCTATAGGATTTTGATAAACATAAGAATGCATTAAAACTGAAGAGAACTTCATGATTGAGCAAACTAATAAACTTAGTAGATCAAAATCAGGAGAGTTAAAAGCATAAATCAAAAGGGACCAGGTAATGATACTAGTTACGGGTCACACAGCATACCAGCAATAGCTCCAGGCCCAGTGGTGCAGCCAGTAATAAAATGTCACATCTGAACATGAGGGTAGCAAAAACCTGCCAATTAAAAAACCAAGCTGTAATGATGTTTATCCCATTAAATTCTCTATTTTTCTACTTATCAAGGGAACTTCCTGGACTGAGGGAAGTGAAGAGAATCATAACTTAAAGAGAAGAATAAGCTATTGCAATATGTGAACAGGGTATATTAGAAAATCTAAATAAATAAATAAATTTCAAATATAATAAGGTTAAAATCAGATGGATGCCAAAATGCCAATCCAGAATAGCCAGAATCAAAAGATAAGATGTATGCATAAGCCTGAAAAGATGATGTTTTTCTGCAAACTGAATATGTGTTGATGATGAGAGACAAATAAGAAAATACCAGTTGACATATTTAAATTTCGGAAAAATTGCAAGATAATTGCTGATCCAATTAATAAAATGGAAATCATAATAGTAAATGAGATAAAGAGAAGGCAACAAAATACAAGCTGTATCTTTGTCAAGTAACAGGAACTAAGATTTACTGGGGCAGTGAAATGAGAAACTAGAACATTATTTATATACACACAAATGAATCATAGGCACAGTATCTGATAGATATTGCGAACTTTCAACAGTTAGAGCAACCATACCAAATAATTAAGTGCTGCATAATAGCTCTTCTTAAACCAACATCCATACGCCAAGTTAACTACACAACAAATTGGCATAACATTAGTGCAAAAAAATGAAATGTCAGCAAGGTTATATGTTGACAATTAAACATTCAAAAGTTCAATTATAAGGAAAGTATATATTGGAGTGGAACAAATCTTCAGTGGGCACACATCAGCAATTTGTTGTATTAACAATGATGTCCTGATTTGAAAATTTAATAGGAGTGTACTCTAGTCAATATCACTGCAGAAAAGAACAATTTTAATGGAAAACTAGGATTCACACTCAAAACACAGCCAAAAAAAATAGTCCTACTGGAAATGAAGCCAACTCAGATATAAGGGTGTGTTTGTTTGGGGGATTTGTCAAGATTTTCACTATTCACAAAAAATTTCTCCCCCTCCTCCAAAAACATCAAATCAAATACCTATTTTTCATTTTTATATTATACTAAAAATTAATTTTACATCCAAAACATCACATCAACACCTATTTAAATCACATTATACAACTATTCCAATTCAAAATTTTTACTATTCAAATCTCAACTCAAAATCCAAACCTCCAAACAAACACACCCTTAATAGTATTCTGACTAACTACATGTAAGGAACTTAGCCAATCCTCAGTTCAATCAAGTTGGAGATTGGTCTAATCATACACGGTACCATGTCTGATTCCTGTCATAACATATTGAGCAGCAAATCTTCATTTCAGGAGGAAACAGACCTTGCCAGCATAAATAAATAAAAGGTTTCAGGTCATCACCGCAGGTGATATTACCTAGACCAAAAGCCAGTATGTTAGGTAGGGGCCGGGTGCAGTAGAACAGCAAATGAAATTGAAGTGCAGTCAATAATACAAAGAAGGCTTCGACTTGAGATCCAAAACTCTTCCTAATCTGCTTAAAATCACAGAACTTTTGAATGAGTGACGATGAGGACTGTATAAACACTATTATAGATCGGAAAATTATTGAGGAAAAAAGAATGTAAAATGGCAACAATAATAATATAACATATCTTTAGGCATAATTCATTATTATGCAGAACTCGTGGAAATAAATAAGAGTGAAAAGGGTGAAGCAAAATGAAATAGCAATCTCAAGGTTATACCTGGATACGAAAGAACCGCAGTGTGGACAAGATGATGCCACCTAACACGAAACGAACTAAACAGAACATATGACAAAGTGAATTGGCATGGACATATGTTATATGTGAGAAATGTGAATTCAGCAGATTTATGATTAACCGAATGCCAATGAATCACAAAGCAGAAGTGAAAAAACAAATAGCATACACCCTGGGAGAAAGAACCACAAAATGGTCAAACAGACATCAAGGATTCTATGATTCTATATACTACTGATCTCACTAGTTTAGACGTGAAAACTAGTGATATTTGCACAAGGCAAAGAATAGTTTCATTAGACCAATCAGTTTCTGTAATTTTCAAGAAGCAATATCATTGTAGATGGAGATTTTGTCTGTAGAAGAACTATGAAGGCCGATGAAAAAGAATAATAAATTGAATGCAAACATCTGACCAAATTGTATAAAAAGTTATTAATATACATTGGTTATAATTCCTAAATTCCTAAACAACACAAAAGAGACCAAAACATATAGCATGCAAATGCACATAATTCTGTCAAAAATTATTACATTTTTGGTAAATATTGGCAAAAGCTTCTTAATATTAATTTAAAACAACTTTCACATGCCACAGAAATAGGTATTACCTGCATAAAGACTGATTAACTTTGGCAGCTGTAGTAAACTAGCAACCAGTACAAACGGAGAAGCTAAAATTGACACGAGTAGGGCACCTGCAAAAAACAAGAATTTTGTGGAAAGAGCACTACACTCTGATTGATTAACCTTCCCTTGATATTGTTTCTCCACGTTTGAAGGTTATATCACTCATACCCAAGAACTTATACATACATAAGGCACCAAGTATGAAACCAGTAGTGATCAATTCTAAGAGGTATAGATCATTCCAATAAATGGTAGAGCCTAATATTATATTGTAACTATGCTCTGAAACAGATGCAATTAACTAAAATTAGACATCTTCTCTGCTAGTATTAATTCGTCACTTTTGTTGGACAGTTGGCTTATCATTTCACTACATATCTTGCAGGAAAATTTTTAAAAAAAAATAAAAAATAAAAAAATTTGCCAAATGTTTGATACATGAAACAGTGCTTATCCATCAATTTAACAATGGCTTCTTCTTAAAAGCACTTCCATGCCCGAATTTCAACTTGTGTCAGAGATCAATAATACCTTCTTAGGTTGTTATTCCTGAAAGAACTAGACAGCAAACAATCTACCAAAAATCAGCTATTATAACTTCAATAGAACAAAGGAAGACCCCAAATTCTTCACAGGTAGTTGTTGCTTCCGCAAATGGTTCATCTAAAATCAAAGCCAATGATAAATGGAAAATCTCATTTCTAATCTAACTTCCATAGATATAAGAAAAACAGCCATTGCAAGAAAAAATTTCAGCAACAAAATGCATAGGTCGCTAAATTACTTGCTATCTAGTCAAATGTCTGATAGCCTGTACATGCTAAAAGTTAGGCATGGCATGAGAAACTATGTATGCATCATGAACACCGGCGCAGCCAACAGGAATTCGCAATAGGCATGAGAGAGTAATCAGCAAAACTATGTCCACCTCGTAGTCCACAAATCAAGCTGACTACAACAGTTCTATTCCTAATAGCCAGTACCACAACTTACTACGGTACTTATTCATCACTATATCTCCAACTATAGCAATTCAATTGATTACTCACAACTTCTACTGTTGCCAATGAACAAAGACTTTAAATTATATAAATGTACATTTAAGTTTGAAGCCTCTAAAGCAATGGCTACAATAGCAGCACAAGAAAAAAACAGCATGAGGAAACCTACCAATAAATGTACGAGGCACTACACCAGGAAACTCCAAGTGGTCATACTGAGACAGATCAGAAAAAACAATATTATTAGTTAAATAAACCAAATGCCAAAATATTCTGATACTCTCCCTATTTCAAGTATACATCGCTGAGAGAAAAACAAGCATATCAAGAAAACCATTTAATTAGGTATATATTTTATAAATATGCCATCAACTACTTTAATACATTATATCCATTAGATGTAGGAGTAAGCAAGGGAATAACAATTTGGTCAACAATAACAAAACATTCTCAGATGAAAATTATTTTGAAATGCATTTATAGCTCTAAAACGACCAAACTATTTTGAAATAGAGAGAATCCAATTCAGGACAACCGTAATTAGAAAATCTAACATTTACCTTCTCTATATGAAGCCCATGGTACAAAATGTCATGCATTGCCTGTACAATAGGACTCACATTAGAGGGCCTGATCTTTCCCCAATATTCATCAGGACCAAGAACTAAAGGAAACATATATTACAAGATAGTAGCGTTCAAAAGTAAAGCTTGTTCACAGCCAAAGTCCAAAACTATATCTCAATGAACACTAGTAGAAATATAACTTGCTAGACACCGAAGGGCTTGTTCATGTATGTGCTTGTGATTGCCAATATTCTATATCGTCCCATACGTTCATGGAAAAACATTTAGGCTCATTTATTCAGTGCTCATAGACAATTAAATGACTTTGTTTGTTTACCTAAATTGATACAGAGTGTGTTCACTTATGCTTTTGTCCCCATTTTGGCACTATACAATCCACTTTGAAATATATTTTAGCAAAAAACACCACATTAAAAACCTATTATCACATTTAATATGTACTTTTCATAGAAAACTCAAATCTAAAATAACTCAAACACCAAAGACAATCCAAAACATAAGTAATCACACCCCTAATAAGTCAATATTGAAACTTATAGTCAAATAATAAATAAAATATACATAAATAAAAGATAAAAACTTATACTAAAGACATATGAAATCAAAATATCACCAGTTGCAACTTGTAAAGCAAAACAATTAACTGCTGAGTAAATAATGCCTAGTCTCATAATTTATGTAAAATTCCGTAGGCAATGTGATCCTGAACTAACTAAAATTCCATTTTTTCCCCTTTCACTTAAACAAGATCAGTTGGAAGAACAAATGAAGGCCAATGTCATTTCTTCTTGACTCAGTTGGAGTTGTTGATTCATAGCCAATATCGATTACGACAATAGCTCTCAAATTTCTTTACAATCCTTGTTCTATTAACAAGTAAAGCATTGATACAAGCACTTTCTAAAATAATTCAAGAAACATTGAATTAAAATGGAAAACCGTTTCCAAATGATGAAATAAAAAAGGAAAAAAAAAAAAAATCTGATCAAGAAAATAAGTCCATCCAAGAAGCAGAGATGCTAAACCCCAGTCATTGGAATCAATTTTACCTGAACATTGAAGCTTTCTTCAACCTTGGTGTAAGGGGCCATGAATAAATAAAAGGCAGCAATGGAACCCAGCAGCAAATCATACCCTTAATCAAATTCCGAAACCACTGCAGTACTCATTAAATTGACACAATTGAAGTAAACAACAACAAAATTGAATCGAATCGTGACTGTTGGTCAAGTTCATCATACCGTACTGCTGCACGAATTTGGAATTGAGAGCCATTCTGATGTTTATCGCAGCTGGCCAATTCAGAGAAAAGCACGTTGGTAATTTTTCTTCCGGAAATATGAAGAAACGATGAAGATTTTGGAGCGAGTTATTATTATTATGTTAGTATTATTATGTCAGTATTTTGGGAGTTAGGGTTTAGGGCATGACATCAAATTCTCTAAAATAAAAAATATAGTTCATATGGTTTGCTTGTTTTGTGTTTTTATGTGAAGGAATATTTTTTCATATATATATATATTTTCTTTTTACATAAAATATATAAAATTATATAAAAAATATATAAATGTATATATATATTGATAAAATAAACGAACCAACAATTATTTAATTTTTTATCATTTTATTTGCACAAATATAGCATTTTATATATATATAAAATATTAGTATTCAAAGTTAAATAAAAAATAAAATACAATCTACCTTCTTCAAATACTAGTATATATTAATATTTAATTTAATACTACAATATTTTTAATAATTTATTTTTATAATGTTATGTTTTAGTACTTTTCATCTGAAATGTAATTGAATATGGGATGCATTTGTTTAGGGCAGTAATTTTTTTTTTTTTTTTTATATATGAAATAATAAAAGAATTGTATAGGAAATATAAAATTAATGAAATATTATATTTTAAAAAATATATATAAAAAAAATAATAGAAAAAACAAAACCTTGATATTTATGAAATAAATACTTTTCATCCCCTTAAATGTAAACAGTAGAAATAGTAAAATAAACAGAAAAAATTAAATAATATTATTTACCATAAATATATTAAATATAAATTTAACCAACAACTAAAAATAATTACAACTAAAATCACATAATTTTTATTTAAATTATTATATAATTAAAATCAAAATTAATATTTCTTCTGTCCCTTAACAATTTATAAATTTTTCTATTTTGATCGTACTTTATACTAATATTAAAAATACACTTACATAATATATTACACAAATACAATTATTTTTATATCATATAATACAAATTTTTTCTACTTTATTCATATCACAATACGATAAATAAATAGGAGACTGACGGGGGTATTATTCAAAATATTATGTTAAAATAATACTCCCTTCGTCCACAAAAAAAAAAAATATAATTACTTTTGACGCAGTGTTTAAGAAATAATAGTATTTTAATTATAATGGATAGTTTGTAAAGTAGGGGTATTTGTTAAAAAAAAGTAAAATATTTATTGTAATTGGACGTAGAAACATATATACTTTCTAGCTGCTGGAGGGAGTATTTAAACAAAGAAATCAAATCAATATTTTCATTTCAAATTAATTTGAAACTACAACCAAATGAATTTTCTCAAAAAAATAAAAAAAAATAAAAAATAATAACATCAAAACTATTATTTGAACTAAAAACTCAAATCCACAAAAATCGATCCCATTATTAAAAAAAAAAAAAAAAAACTGTTATAGTTTTAATACAAATAATTTCAATCTATTTTTGTCTCATCATAACAAAACTATTGACCTAGACTGATGTGACATCTAAATTGGGATCTAGACCAGCACAGCCATATTCAACAAAAATAAAGGCATACATATATATTATATATGTAATCCGAAACAAACACGGCCGTATTTAATTGCCAAACGGCCGTGTTTTGTTTTGTAATTGCAGTTCATGTCTGCCAAATCAAATCAAGATTCATTCATCCATTCAATCCTGCTCATTGTATATGTCTATGGTGCTACTTCTGCAACAACAATCCAATGGAGAATCCGAGCAGAAACCGAACCGAAGCAGCTGCAATGAATTTGATAAGAAAGTGTATGTAGCCATTGGAAAAGACTTCGACTCGTCCATGGACACTCAACAAATGGTCCTCAATCTCCATAATTTTTTCTAAAAAAAAAATTGTTGCACACAAATTGGAAAAATCACATCACCGTCAAGCTTATCTTGATGGCAGAAATCCTGTAATGCATTCGCTTATGATCTACGCCTCCAAACGCTTATTCCCATCCATCACACAACCATATCTTCGAAAGAAATCACCAGCTAACCTATCTGCAATTAGACGAGGTATATTAGTCGAATTGACTCAAGAATGTATCACCAAAGATGCAAATTTTTTCATTAGAGGCTGCTCACATTTCACTTACCGTCAACAGAGCTCTTGTAAAACCAGGTGGAGATTACAAGAAGTGAGCCTGTGACAAAGAAAGCCATGTCCCCTCGAGGACAGACTTATCAGTTAGCTTATGGCATTCAAAACAACATACGGGTTCTATTTAAACAATGAAGCCGCACAATGTAAACTATTACATGAAGTGGAAGAGAAAATACTTCACAATGGACAGCTCCCAAACCGAATTAGATATTACATTGTTCAAATACTGCATAGATAGGAAGGTTTGTCGCACTTTGTTTGTGCATTTAAAGAATGCAAACCACATAGTTAATGAAATCCAACTAGAAGGTTCAGAGGAAACTTATATTCGAACAACACTCGGTTTTGTTATTATTTTCTCGTCTTCACTATCTATCTACAATGACTTATTTTATTTTCCTACCAAAATATCAATTCTTCATTTCATATATTAAATACAAAATTCTTTTTCTATTTAAAAACATCACATTAAATGTTTACTTATATCATTACATTTGAAAATTTTAATTTTATAAAACACGCCAAAATACAACCACCAACCCCAAGTTCTCTTTCAATTTAATTTTCACCTTGCAGCCCTTTTTCCATACCTCAATCCAGCATTTGTTTTTCACCTAAATCAAGAGAGAGCTGCGAAGTTGGAGGGAGAGAGAAGGAAGAAACTGAAGATTAGAGAGGGTGAGTGAGTTTGCAAGATGGTGAGAGTGGGGGAAAGGCTTATATCATATATATATATATAGTACTTTTACCCACACACTCGCGCAATTTACAGGGATTGAACCCCCATCACCTCCATATGCAAATGAGAGTACTAAACCGCTTGAGCTACAATTCCTCGGCATATATATATATATGTGTGTGTGTGTGTGTGTGTGAGAGCTAGGTGAAGATATTTCTTCCGATCAAGTATCCAATCGGGTATCATGTTCTCAACCTAAGATCCGACACCAGCTTGACTCAAATTCGTTAACAAAAAAACTACCAATCAGTTCCTAACATTGAGTCAGGTCGGGAAATCCAACCCGACGTCCTGACTCAAACCCAAATATCTTGAAGTGATCGTGAATTAACATGATCTAGCTTTGAATTTGCATTGCAAAAAAAGTGAAAAAACATTGCAAAAAAGTATCAAATAAAACCACAGGGCCACCAAACATTAAGTATTATGGAAGCAAGTTTCAGCAGGAAATAAAACCCAAAGAATTGAAATTTAAATGGAAGAAAGTTAATTTAGCATTGCAATTTCTCTGAGTTACACATCCTAGAAGTATTGAATTCTGAATCAAACAGCTGCAAAAAAAGTGAGTAAATATATAAATGATGAACAGAAAATCATGATATAACTAGTATAAGAAAAATGAAAGTGGCTCCAATATTTATCCTGTGAGCACATTAATCATAAGAACAAACAAATTCAACATTCAACAGTAATTAATTATGAAACCGTATTTTATGCGATGAGGTGTCTGAATGTATCTCATGAAACGATTGTAAAAATAGAGGGATAAAATTAAAATTGGTATTGACATACTTTGTGGTTAACGCAGACAATACCTTGTGCTCTGCAATCACCTACTCTGCATCTGATTCAAATTTATCAAACCAAGACACTGGCCTTAGGTAAGGATTAGGGAAAGATATTACGTCAATAGGATGCTTTCCGTAGCTTTTTTAGCTAATGGAAATATTTCCTCTTAATGTCTGCAGTAACATGTAGAATTTCCAACTTCTTCAGAACTCCCCCACTCTAAGTACATGTAAACAAGTTTCCACCAATACAAAGCTTTTGTTTGTTTCTACTAATGATGTGGCAATAAAAAATTTCCATGTGTACATGATACCTGCAGTTTTCCAAGATATTTTAATTACAATACAATAAAATATGCACTAAGCTAAATAATCGCCTTCATAGAATATGTATACTAGAAATATCGTCTGCCTAACAATGTAAAAGGGTACAAAAATAGAAGCATGTTACACTGAAAATATTGCACAATTTCAATTCATTATTAATTTCCAAGAAATAAAAAATAAACAGTGTGCAGTACAGTTAATAAATGTATGAAGATGCAATAATGAGAAAGAAATTTTCAGATACCTTGATAACAACAAAGGACAAAAATCAAACCTTGCAGGGCAAAGTAACTGGTCCTTGTAATGACTCTGCACGGGTAAATGCAGAAGGCAGATTGTGGCCTGTTCAAAGATACCCTGTACACAAAAATGAACTCATATAGTAAAACATAGTTAAAGCATCAAATATATCAATATATATCACAATGCACCTTCAGCAGTACGAACACCCAAAATTCTTAATTGCTTAAAATAACTAGAGATAACATTGATCTGCTCAACATTTTCAATTTGATAATCCACAAGTTGACCTCAATAGAACATGGAAGCCAACCAACTCTCCATAGGTGAAGACTACTAAGGTTACAGAATGCAGTTGCAATGGATAGGGATATCATCATGAAAATTCAGGGTAACCTGCCCATGATTCTCAAATATGCCGGGGAAAACATACAGAAGTTCTCTTAGCTCTCTTAGGGCTACCTTTTTTTTCTCTATTTTTTTTTTTTCTTAGTGCTACCTTGAAGTGACTGAATTGAGTAGCCATTGTGCATTTGATGCTCACACACAACCTTATGCGTGGGGACTCTTCGTTGTGTATAAGCAAACACCACTTGATAAAATCCCAAAACTTGCCATGCACATCCAAGACCCCCGGACAACCTTTCACAATTATTCTTGTGAATGAATCCACATCAAAGTTCAAGTACAACTACAAAGAGCCCAAGATAGAGCCGGCGCAACATGTCATGAAGCAACGTACTCAATCTATTACTTGGTAGAACCCCCATCCCCCACTGCCTAGACGGTCATGTCCTCCGTGTCATAGTCATGTCTGGGAAACCATTTCAAAAAAGTGAATCAAAATCTTGCCATCCAACAACCATCTACATATAATTGAAAGAAATAAAATAAATAAGTACACTTACCAAAAGTGTTGCAACGGAGCAACAGCTTGATTCAGAGATAAACCGGGATACCCAATCCGTCAACAATGCAGATATATGGGGTTTGAGAAGGTCCACTTGGATGATTGTCAATTCGAAATATTGAACAGATCATTGTTATCCCTAGTCATCTAAAGCACTTAACAATCAAGCAATGTTGACACTAATGATGCAATGTGGTATAAGAATTTATTTGATGCTTACCATAAGGATTTTGTATTAAATACGTCGTCCTTCACCTATGCTGGCCCATTATTGCATGGGTTCACATTAATTTTACAAAGGATTGAAAACAAAAAATATACAAAAGTATAGGAAGTTGGCTTAAATGCAAAATTATGGTAAAATGGCATTTAAAATGCAAGTTACCATAATTTTTGAAAGACAACTTCATGTTTTACTATTATATGTATATATATTTCTTTAACTTCTGCAAGATGTCACCACGATGGGAAACCTGTTTCGTGCAACTTTTATTATTTTTTTATTTAATTTAATTTTTTTTAAAAATTATAATATTTAATATAATTTTGATTTTAAAATTAATATAAATTAAATGAATAATATTTATATTAAAAAAAATATTGGTAAATTACCTACAGTTCCGCCCACTTTGGAATTTTTTTCTTACATTACAAAGCAAACCTCATATGTAAAAATATATTATTTTTTCTTACAAAAAATCACATCCAATGATTATTTAAATCAAAATCCAAAATAGAACACCAAGCAAACACACCCTATATAATCAGGTAGTTTGAATAAGATATTAAAGGTGTATTCTGTGTTTTGTGAATATAAGATAGAATAATGGATAGATGTGATGTTTTATATTTAAAAAAAGTGTTGGGCATGATTTTATGAAAAAATGAACAGTAAAATTTGCTTGTAAACACAAAAACGAGTATGTTCATTTAGTGTTTTTAATCTATATAATTCCCAAAACTTTTATCCAAAAATATAAAATATAATATACAATATATATAACATAAAAATAGAAGTCAACAAAAAAACAAAAAAGCTAACAAAAACACACAAAACATAATTTCTTATAATACTTTTACAATTCCCAACTCACAATTCTACTGCAATGTATGAAAAGTCGCGTAACTTCACAATTCTGATGGATTGGATACTAAAAAACGTCAGGTACCCAAACACATAATAAACACACATATGAACATTAAATATTTTTAATAGAATATTAGCCTTGACTCTTTGTATGACTCTGTCAAAATAGACATGAAACACATGCATTTAATACATATGACACAAAATCAACATACTATAGTTGTCTCCATTAAAAGGGCATGAAACACACTGAACCACATGTATAATTAACTGACAAAGCAAATGTATTTAGAGAAAATCAAAAGAATGTGATAGGGTGTCTGAATGAATTTCATGAAATGATCATAAAAATAGAGGGATAAAATTAAAATTGGTATTGAAAATTTGACATACTTTGTGGTTAATGCAGAAATTACCCTTGAGCTCTGCAGTCACCTGTTCTGCATATGATTCAAATTTATCAAACCAAGAACTGGCCTTATGTAAGGATTAGGGACAGAGATTTCGATGTCAAGTGGATGCTTTACATGGCTTTGCTGACTAGTTGAACTATTTCCTCTTGTAACTTCTTCAGTCACATGTGGAATTTCCAACTTCCTCAGAACTCTCCCACTCATAAGTAAATACTTCAGCAGCTGAAGTATATTTCCTGCACCAATTACATGGGAAAACCGAATGACTTGGACCTAATAGAAACAGGCACCCTATATCCTAATAAAAAGTTTCCACCGATACAAAGCATTTGTTTGCTTCTACAAATGCAGTGGCTATAAAAAAATTCCCATGTGGACATGATACCTGCAGTGTTCCAAGATATTTTAATTACAAAACAATCAAATATGCACTAAGCTAAATAATGGCCTTCATAGAATGAGTACTAGAAATATCGTCTGCCTAACAATGTAAAAGAGTACAAAAATAGAAGCATGTTACACTGAAAATATAGCACAATTCAATTCATTATCAATTTCCAAGAAATAAAAAATAAACAGTGGACACTACAGTTAATATATGTATGAAGATGCAATAATCAGAAAGATTATTTCCAGTTACCTTGATAACAAAAAAGGACAAAAAACAAAGTCCGAGCATGATTAAGCCCATCAAACCTTGGAGGGCAAAGTAAGTGGTGCTTGTAATTACTCTGCACAGGTAAATGCGGAAGGCAGATTGTGGCCTGTTTACAGATACTCTATACAAAAAAATGAACTCATGCAGGGAAACATAGTTAAAGCATCAAATATATCAATATATCACAATGCACCTTCAGTAGTACGAACACCCACAATTCTTAATTGCTTAAGATGACTAGAGATAACGTTGATCTGTTCAACATTTTCAATTTAATAATCCACAAGTTGACCTCATGTTCATTATAATCACTTGAGAATATATTCTAAATAGACCATGGAAGCCAACCAACTCTCCATAGGTGAAGACTACGAAGGTCACGGAATGCAGTTGCAATGGATAGGGATATCATCACGAAAATTCCGGGTAAGCTGCCCATGATTCTCAAAGATGCCGGTGAAAACATTGAGAATTAACTGAATAGCCCCCGTTGACAATGTACTGTCCCTTAGCTCTCTTAGCTCTACCTATTTTGTTTCTTTTTTTATTTTTTAATTTTTTCCTTAGCGCTACCTATTTTGTTTCTTTTTTAATTTTTAAATTTTTTCTTTAGCGCTACCTTGAAGTGACAATGGGGTAGCCACTGTTCATTTCATGCTCACACACAATCTTATGCATGGGGACTCTTCGTCGTGTATGAGCAAACACCACTTGATAAAATCCCAAAACTTGCAATGCACATCCAAGAACCCCGGACAGCCTTTCTCACTTATTCTTGTGAACGAACCCCATCAAAGTTCAAGTAAAACTACAAAGCCCCAAGATACTTCCATCTTTTTGGCAGCACACAGGTCATCATCACATCAGGAAAATCAAGCCAAGATAGATTCGGCACAACACATCATGAAGCAATACTCTCAATCTATTACTTGGTAGAAACCCCACCCCTCACTACCTAGACGATCATGTCCTCTGTATCATAGCCATATCTGGGAAGCCATTTCAAAAAAGTGAATCAAAATCTTGCCATGCAACAACCATCTACATATTTTTGAATGAAATAAAATAAATAAATAAACTCACCAAAAAGGTTGAGCAGCAGCATGATTCAGAGATAAACCGGGATACCCAATCCGTCAACAATACAGATGTCCGGGGTTTGAGAAGTTCAACTTGGAAGAGTGTCAATTTCGAAATGTTGAACAGATCATCGTTATCGCTAGTCATCTAAAGCACTTAACAATCATGCAATGTTGACACTAATGAAGATGCAATGTGGTATAAGAATTTATTTGATGCTACCATAAGGATTTTGTATTATATACATCGTCCTTCAACTATGCTGCCCCATTATTGCATGGGTTAACATAAATTTTACAAAAAATTGAAAACAAAAAATATACAATGGGAAGTTGGCTTAAATGCAAAAGTACGGTAAAATGGCATTTAAACTGCTAAGTTACCATAATTTTGGAAAGGCAACTTCATGTTTTTACAATTATATATATATATATTTCATTAACTTTTGCTAGACGTCAGCACCGTGGACACCATATTTCCGGAAACTTTTATTATTTTCTGGTTTAATTAAATGTAATATATATTTTATTTTTAAAAATATAAAATTAAATGAATAATATCTATAAACAAAATATTGGTAATTGTATACAGTTCAGCCCACTTTCGAATTTTTTTCTTATATTACTAAGCAAACCTCATATCTAAAAATATATTATTTTTTCCCACAAAACATCACATCCAATCATTTTTTTAAAGCAAAATCCAATATCAAACACCAAGCAAACACACCTTGTATAATCAGGTGGTTTGAATCAGATATTAAGGGTGTATTCTGTGTTTTGTGAATATTGAGACAGAATAATGGATAGATGTGATGTTTTATATTGAAAATAAGTGTTGGGTATGATCTTTTTAATAAATGAACAGTAAAATTTGTGTGCAAACACAAAAAAGAGTATGTTCATTTAGTGTTTTTAATCTACATAATTCCCAAAAATTTTATCCAAACCCATAAGATATAACATACATATATATACATGAAAATAAAAGTAAAAAAAAAAACACAAAAGCTAACAAAGACACACAAAACATAATTTCTTATAATTCAAAATTCCACATTCTCATATAACACAAACGTATAAACACTAAACAGACTCAAGAGAACAAACAATAACAAACTTTCAGCAGTACTTTTTACTATTAAAAATTCCTGTTGCAATGCATGATATGTCATGTACCCGACTTCACTATTCTGATGGATTGGATACTTAAAAAAGTCGAATACCCAAACACATAATAAACACGCATGAACATTAAATATTTTTAATAGAATATTAACCTTGACTGTGGGATGCCTGTTTAGGATATTTACTTTGTATAATTGTGTCAAAATTAAACATGAAACACATGCATCAAAATCTCGTTAATACATTTGAAACTAAATAAACATACTAGTGTTGTCTGTATAAAGAAGGCATGAAACACACTGAACCACATATAGAATCAACTGTCAAAGCAAATGTATTTTGAGAAAATCTAAAGAATGTGATAGAGTTCCTGAATGTATCACATGAAATGATTGTAAAAATAGAGGGATAAAATTAAAATTGGTATTAACATACTTTGTAGTTAATGCAGAAATTACCCATGAGCTCTGCAGTCACCTATTCTGCATCTGATTCAAAGTTATCAAACAAAGCCAGTGGCCTTATGTAAGGATTAGGGAAAGAAATTACGTCAATAGAATGCTTTATGTAGCTTTGCTGACAAGTTGAAATATTTCCACTTAACGTCTGCAGTAACATGTTGAATTTCCAACTTCTTCAGAACTCTCCCACTCATAAGTAAAGACTTCAGTAGCTGAAGTATATTTCCTGCACCATTTAAGTGGGAAACCTGAATTACTTTGACCTGATATAACAGGAACTCTATATGCCAAGGGATTTCTTTATTTGCAATAAATAGGAACAATGAAATAATTAAATACCATTTTGGTTCAAAGAAATGCATCATGTAGTTTTGAATTCTAAGCCTATCTCAGATCTCTTTGTACATAGCACATGTAAACAAGTTTTCACCAATACAAAGCTTTTGTTTGTTTCTACTAATGCTGTGGCTATAAAAAACTTTCCATGTGGACATGATACCTGCAGTTTTCCAAGATATTTTAATTACAATACAATAAAATATGCACTAAGCAAAATAATCGCCTTCATAGAATACGCGTACTAGAAATATCATCTGCCTACCAATGTAAAAGGGTACGAATACAGAAGCATGTTACGCTGAAAATATTGCACAATTTCAATTCATTATCAATTTCCAGAAATGAGAAATAAACAGTGGACACTACCACTAATACATGTATGAAGATGCAATAATCAGAAAGATATTTTCAGATACCTTGATAACAACAAAGGACAAAATCAAAGTCCCGGTATGATTAAGTCCATCAAACCTTGCAGGGCAACGTAAGTGGTCCTTGTAATGGCTCTGCATGGGTAAATGCAGAAGGCAGATTGTGGCCTGTTTATAGATACTCTGTACAAAAATGAACTCATGCAGGGAAACATAGTTAAAGCAGCAAATATATCAATACATCACAATGCACCTTCAGAAGTACGAACATCCACAATTCTTAATTGCTTAAGATGACCAGAGATAACGTTGATCTGTCCAACATTTTCAATTTGATCATCCACAAGTAGACCTCCTCATGTTTATTATAATCACCCAAGAATATCTTCTAAATGTATCATGGAAGCAAACCAACTCTCCATAGGAGAAGACTACTAAGGTTGCGGAATGCAGTTGCAACATGGATAGGGATATCATCACAAAAATTCAAGGTAAGCTGCCCATGATTCTCAAAGATGACTGGGAAAACATAGAGAAGTAACTGAATAGCCCCCATTGACAATGTACAGTCTGTTAGCTCTCTTAGCGCTACCTTTTTCTTTTTTTTTTTTTCTTAGCGCTACCTTGAAGTGACTTGATGGAGTAACCATTCTAAATTTTATGTTCGCACACAACCTTATGAGTGGGGACTCGTCGTCGTGTATAAGCAAACACAACTTGATAAAATCCCAAAACTTGCAATGCACATCCAAGACCCCCGGCCAACCTTTCCCACTTATTCTTGTGAACTTACCCCCATCAAACTTCAAGTAAAACTACAAAGCCCCAAGATACTTCCATCTTTTCGGAAGCACACAGGTCATCATCACATCAGGAAAATCAAGCCAAGATAGATTCGGTGCAACACGTCATGAAGCAATGCTCTCAATCTATTACTTGGTCCAAACCCCACCCCTCACTGCCTAGACGATCATGTCCTCTGTACCATACCCATATCTGGGAATCCATTTCAAAAAACTGAATCAATATCTTTCCATGCAATAACCATCTACATATTACTGAATGAAATAAAATAAATAAACAAACTTACCAAAAATTTTGAGCAACGGCTTGATTCAGGAATAAACTGGGATTTCCCAATCCGTCAACCATACAGATGTCTGGGGTTTGAGGTCAACTTGGAGGATTGCCAATTTCGAAATGTCAAACAGATCACCGTTATCGCTAGTCATCTAAAGCACTTAACAATCATGCAATGTTGACACTAATGAAGATGCAATGTGGTATAAGAATTTATTTGATGCTACAATAAGGATTTTGTATTAAATACATCGTCCTTCAACTATGCTGCCCCATTATTGCATGGGTTAACATAAATTTTAGAAAAGATTGAAAACAAAATATATATAAAAGTATGGTAAGTTACTAAGTTGGCTTAAATGCAAAAGTATGATAAAATGGCATTTAAAATGCTGAGAAACTTCATGTTTTTACTATTACAGATATATATATACATATATTTCTTTAACTTTCACAAGAAGTCAGCACGGTGAGAAACCTATTTCCGGCAACTCTTATTATTTTTTGATCTAATTCAATTTAAAATAATTATAATATTTAATATAAATTTATTTAAATAAATATATAGATTTAAATAAATAATATTTATATTCAAACAAAATATTGGTAATTGTATAAAGTTCAGCCCACTTTGGATTTGTTTGTCTTACATTACTAGGCAAACCTCATATGTAAAATATATTATTTTATGTCAGAAAACATCACATCCAATCATTATTTAAATCAAAATGCAAAATCAAACACCAAGCAAACACACCCTGTATAATCAGGTAGCTTGAATCAGATATTAAGGGTGTATTTTGTGTTTTGTGAATATTGAGATAGAACAATAGAGAGATGTGATGTTTTATATTGAAAATAAATGTTGGGTATGATCTTTTTAATAAATAAAAAGTAAAATTTGTGTAAACACAAAAAAGAGTATGTTCATTCAGTGTTTTCAATCTACATAATTCCCAAAATTTTTATCCAAACCAATAAGATATAATATACAATATATATACATAAAAATAAAAGAAAAAGAAAAAAACACAAAAGCTAACAAGAACACACAAAACATAATTTCTTATAATTCAAATCCCTCATTCTCACAAAACACAAAACTTTCAGCAGTACTTTTTGCTATTAAAAATTCCTGTTGCAATGTATGATATGTCATGTACCCGACTTCACTATTCTGATGGATTAGATACTAAAAAAAGTCGACTACCCAAAACATAATAAACACCAATGAACATTGAATATTTCTAATAGAATATTAACCTTGGCTGGGATTCCTGTTAAGGATATTAACTTTGTATGATTATGTCCAAATAGACATGAAACACATGCATCAAAATCTCGTTAATACATATGACACTAAATCAACATACTAGCGTTGTCTGTATTAAAAAAGTCATGAAACACACTGAACCACATGTATAATTAACTGTCAAAGCAAATGTATTTAGAGAAAATCTAAAGGATGTGATAGGGTGTCTGAATATATCTCATAAAATGATTGTAAAAATAGAGTGATAAAATTAAAATTGGTATTGACATACTTTGTAGTTAATGCAGAAATTCCCCTTGAGCTCTGCAGTCACCTATTCTGCATCCGATTCAAGTTTATCAAATCAAGACACTGGCCTTATGCAAGGATTAGGGAAAGAGATTATGTCAATAGGATGCTTTACGTACCTTTGCTCACTAGTTGATTTATTTCGTCTTAACGTCTGTCAGTCACATGTGGAATTTCCAACTTCTTCAGAACTCTCCCACTCATAGTGAAAACTTCAGCAGCGGAAGTATATTTCCTGCACCATTTAAGTGCAAAAACCAAATGGCTTTAACCTGATAAAACAGGCACCCTATATCCCAAGGGATTTCTTTATTTGCAATAAATAGGAACAATGTACTAATTAATACAATTTTGGTTCAAAGAAATGCATCATGTACTTTCGAATTCTAAGCCTATCTTAGATCTCTTTGTACATAGCACATGTAAACAAGTTTCCACCAATACGAAGCTTTTGTTTATTTCTTCTATTGCTGTGGCTTTAAAAAATACCCATCTGAACATGATACCTACAGTTCTCCAAGATATTTTAATTATAAAACAATAAAATATGCACTATGCTAAATTAATTGCCTTCATAGAATGTGTACTAGAAATATCATCTGCGTAATGTAAAAGGGTTCAAAAATAGAAGCATGTTACACTGAAATAATTGCGCAATTTCAATTCATTATCAATTTCCAAGAAATAAAAAATAAACAGTGGACACTACCGTTAATATATGTATGAAGAAGCAATAATGAGAAAGAAATTTTCAGATACCTTGATAACAACAAAGGACAAAAATCAAAGTCCCGGCATGATTAAGCCCATCAAACCTTGCAGGGCAAAGTAAGTGGTGCTAGTAATGACGCTGCAAAGATAAATGCGGAAGGCAGATTGTGGTCTGTTTAAAGATACTCTGTACACAAAAATGAACTCATGCAGGGAAACATAGTTAAAGCATCAAATATATCACTATATCACAATGCACCTTCAGTAGTACGAACACCCACAATTCTTAATTGCTTAAGATGACCAGAGATAACGTTGATCTATTCAACATTTTCAATTTGATAATCCCCAAGTAGACCTCCTCATGTTTACGGAATGCAGTTGCAACATGAATAGGGATATCATCACGATGTAGTGTTCCCGTAGCTCTGTTAGCGCTACCTTCTTTTTCTTTTTTCTTTTTCCCTTAGCGCTGCCTTGAAGTGACTGAATTGAGTAGCCATTGTACATTTGATGCTCACACACAACCTTATGAGTGGGGACTCTTTGTCGTGTATAAGCAAACACCACTTGATAAAATCCCAAAACTTGTCATGCACATTCAAGATCCCCGGGCAACCTTTCACAATTATTCTTGTGAACGAATCCACATCAAAGTTCAAGTACAACTAGACGCCGCAAGATACTTCCATCCTTCGACAACACAGAAGTCATCACCACATCAGGAAAATCAAGTCAAGATAGATTCTGCGCAACATGTTACGAAGCAATGTACTCAATCTATTACTTGGTAGAAACCAGTCCCTCATTGCCTAGACGGTCATGTCCTCCGTATCATAGCCATATCTGGGAAGCCATTTCAAAAAAGTTGATCAAAATCTTGCGATACAACAACCATTTACATATGATTGAAGGATTAAAATAAATAAGTACACTTACCAAACGCATTGCAATGGAGCAACGGCTTGATTCAGAAATAAACCGGGATACCCAATCCGTCAACAATACCGATGTCTGGGGTTTGAGAAGGTCCACTTGGATGATTGTCAATTTTGAAATGTTGAAGAGATCATCGTTATCGCTAGTCATCTAAAGCACTCAACAATCATGCAATGTTGACACTAATGAAGTTGCAATGTGGTATAAAAATTTATTTGATGCTACAATAAGGATTTTGTATTAAATACATCGTCCTTCAACTATGTTTGCCCATTGTTGCATGGGTTCACATAAATTTTACAAAAAATTGAAAACAAAAAAATACAAAAGCATGGTAAAATGGCATCTAAAATGCCGAGTTACCATAATTTTGGAAAGGCAACTTTTGAAAAATGTATATATATATATATATATATATTTCTTAAACTTTTGAAAGATGTCAGCACGGTGGCAACCCTATTTCCTGCAACTCTTATTATTTTCTTATTTAATTTAATTTAAATTAATTATAATATTTAATATAATTTTTATTTTAAATTAATATAAAATTAAATGAATAATATTTGTATTCAAAAAAATATTGGTAATTATCTGCGCCCACTTCGGAATTTTTTTCTTACACTACTATGCAACCCTCATGTAAAATTATATTATTTTCTTTCATAAAACATCACATTCAATCATTATTTAAATCAAAATCAAACACCAAGCAAACACACCCTATATAATCAGGTACTTTGAATCAGATATTAAGGGTGTATGCTGTGTTTTGTGAATATTGAGATAGAATAATGGATATCGTGATGTTTCATATTGAAAATAAGTGTTGGATATGATGTTCTTTAAAAAATGAGCAGTAAAATTTGTGCAAAAACAAAAACGAGTATGTTAATTTAATGTATTTAATCTACGTAAGTCCCAAAAATTTTATCCAAAAATATAAAATATAATATACAATAGATATTACATGAAAATAAAAGTCAACAAAAAAACACAAGCTAACAAAAACACACAAAACATAATTTCTTATAATACTTTTACAATTCCCCAACTCACAAAACACAATCCTATAATCACTAAACAGACTCAAGAGAACAAACAATAACAAACTTTCAGTAGCATTTTTTGCTACTAAATATTCCTGCTGCAATGTAGGATATGTCACGTACCCGGCTTCACAATTCTGATGGATTGGATACTCAAAAAAGTCGGGTACACGAACACATAATAAACACACATATGATTATTAATATTTTTAATAGAATATTAGCCTTGACTGTGGGATGCCTGTTTAGAATATTAACATTGTATGGTTGTGTCAAAATAGACATGAAACACATGCATCAAAATCTCGTTAATACATATGACACTAAATCAACATACTAGTGTTTTCTGTGTAAAAAAGGCATGAAACACCCTGAACCACATGTATAATTGACCGTCAACGCAAATGTATTTAGAGAAGAAATGCAATACATATATGCTAGTGATAAGCAAGTTTCTACAAAAAAATGGGTGCATGGATCTGAAAATTGATAGTTAGGATCCCCAAGGCAAGATTGCCCAAACTCACTGATAAGGCAAACGAATATGCAACAAGAGACCAATGCAAGTCACCTTGCCCATTCTTCAAAACATGTTAACTACAGGTTACAGGATTCATCTACCGTGTTCTACTCTAGAAACACCTTCTATTACCCACGGAATAATCTATAGACCCAAGAGCCATAAAACATCCTTCAAATATAATAGAGCAAAAGATGCCATATAACTATGTACAAATCTCACATAACTTCAATAACTCGAGTTTAGTAATAATAAGTGATTTTTCCATGAACGCTTCCATACAAATTTCTTTTTATAATAATGAGTGAAGGTGGGGTTTAAACACAAGAGTTCATCAACAATTATGTCGGAAAACAAAATTATCAAGAAGCACCTTTTTAATGATAAAACCTTGAGGCATCCAAAACAATTCTAGGGGCAATTGAACTAATAGAGCCACATCATGTGCCTAAAACAAAGTAGAGTCTATATTTTACAACGAAACACAACTCAAACATTGATATCCTAGAATTTAGATAACTTCATTAATGTTCAGATAACTGAAGCAATCAAATAACAAACATACCTTGTGGTCTAAATTTTAACTTGCAGCCAAAATCCATACGTAAAACCGGCATTTTTTTATATACATATCTCTCAAAGCCAAGAGTGCTGATAGGATGGATACAGAATGAACTTAAAATGCTGGCTGGACTGCTTGCACTGCATAATATGTTTAGACCCTGCAATTTCCAATGTGATAGTATGTATATGCAAAGACTCCATTTCACATGCCGCTAGACAGCAGATGGCTTTAATAACCATCCAGATTGATATATAAACACTGTAAGCAAACTCTAAACCAACTTGTTATAGTTTTAAATCCGACAAAATGACGTGGTAACTAAGTAATCAATCAGATGCGCTCAATATCCCTATAAGACAATGGGGAAAGATTTATAATATAATAGGGCTGAAATAAGCACCACACATGACAGTGAGGAGATTTCTACTTGGATTTGGTTAAACTCATAAGCTATGGTTTCTCACGCTGCCCGACTGACCTCTCTCATTTATATCTATTCTCCATGATCCTTGGACTATGCAATCATCACCAACAATAATCCATTTTACTCTCCAAAACAGCACATATGATAGTTTTTTTAATATTCAGATACCAAGTAAATAGTTAGAAATATTGAAAGAAGAAATTACAAAGAATTTTTTAAAAATAAGAGACCTTGAATAATAAAGTAACAAAACAGAAGCATAAACAGAAACCTATATAAAGAAATTCATTAGATATACAAAAATACTTTATGTTTAAAACAAACTAAAACTTACCATTGGAAGCGATCTTGATTAGAAAGAGCTCCATTAACCAAAACAAAAGGTCATTGGTTCAAGTCCTTGCTTCTCCAAAACGTTCCTTAGGATTGTCCCCATTAGGTTGCATTTGACAACACCTCAATGAATTAATTTTGGACCTTTCATACAGGACTAGGGTTACCTGGACATCACCCAACAAAGAAAACAGAAATGATTATGCATCACAAGCAACAAACAAACGTAACAATGATGAATAGCAATAATTTGTTTTTCCAAAAGAGGGAATGTTGAGAACAATAGTACGAAATTTTGGATAATAAAAGAACACGTGTTACTAAAAAGAAGTTCCTCATTAATGATTTTCATTTTAATATTTAGTAATTTAGAATTTAAAAATATTCATTGTGTTCCAATAGATTTTTGCGAACTAAAGATACATGACCCAACAAAAAAACAGAAATGACATGCATCACAAGCAACAGGACAAACATAACAATGATAACTAGCAATAATCGTTTTTCCAAAATAGGCAATGTTGAGAACAATAATAGGAAATTTTGGATAATAAAAGTACACGTGCTACTAAAAAGTTCCTCATTAATGATTTCATTTTTAAATTTAGTAATTTAAAATTTAAAAATATTCATTGTGTTTCGATAAATTTTTGCCAACTAAAGGTACATTTAAAACACTTGATTTACTTCCCCTTCTTCCTTCCACTTATGGTTTACAAGTTCCCTTATTTTCAAAGGTTTGCTGTCTCACCCAATAGTCCAACTCTATAAATCTCTCTTTTTCATTTTTCCTTTTTATACAGCGTCCTTTCTTTTTATATTTACCATCAAAATGCATACTTTTTATTATTTTATGAAAAGCTTAATAAAATGTTTACATTTACTTACTTTCAAACTTTATAATAAATGAACGTGGAATTGTTCTTGTTATTTCTTCTATAAATTAGATATAAAGGTTGAATACAAGTAACTTGCAAAGAACTTTACATTATATTGTTTTTACTAAAAATATATACAATTTGTGTAACTTGGCTGGACTTTAACAAAACATAGTACTATCATGAGCCTTTACATTATAGGGCCTCACGAGACATTTAAAATGACGTGGGTATACAAGTAATCATATGCAAATGGGGGGCTTGAAGTGCCCATTCCATCACAAACTAATGGGAGGTGCTTGATATGATCAAAGCTTGTGATCTTGGATGAATTTAACCAATGCTAGGAGAAGTCTCTAACACAAACCTATTCATAAACCCGGACAGATCCTCAAGCCTTATCCTGAATCACTTAGAAATCAAGATCAGAGGCTTATACGAGAAGACTCAAAAATTGGTCGGAAAATGCATCTTACAAATTGGGAGATCCTCTGCTCGATGAAAAAAAAAATGGAGGGCTTGGCATAGTGTCCCTATGGTATATTAACAAAGCTTTGCTTGCAAAAGAGCTTGACATCTCGGTGAAAATGATGCGCTAGGGCTTAGCATATTGGACTTTCTTGTGTTTGGGCTTCCATCCACAAAATATGGTCTTGCACTCAAGTAGCAAACAGTAGATTGGAAATGGTAGCATAATAAATATTTGGGACGACCTATTAACATCTCTTTCCCTCTAAACATGGCTTTTTGGCCGTTATCATATGGTTGACGACTTAAAAATGGATATAATCCAAAAATTCAGGCATTGTAATAAGTCTTTGGACTAAAGTTATTAAGCTTCATCGCGAACTCTTTGATTTGAGGAAAAGGTATCATGTATGGATTTTGAAGAGCTATTATCCAATGCTTTACTAATTGAGTCAAACTCCGAAAAGTTACTTTAGAAACCAAAGTCAAATAGCACATTTACCTGACAATCTATCGTCAAGTTCGGAAATCAAATAGACTTACATCGTGGGCCCTTAGGCCGTATATACGGAAGAAAAATCCTTGCATAGTCAATGCATTGGTTTGAAAACTATGAATGATGTCTCTGTTAAAGATGTTATGGTGTCTCGATTCAAGTTGTCCAAAGGGCCGGGCCAGCCCAAACTTGCACTAGCCAAGTCCACTTTGCCTATGATTGGGTCTAGGTCTTAATATGGCCCTATCTAGACTCGTTCATTTAAAACCAATCTGGGTCCGTCGCAGGTTTATTTTTATTTTTTATGTCTCCAAGGGATCTCGTAGGTTTTCCTTTTGTTTGGCCACGAAGTTTGTATTCAATAAAGATACCTTTCAATTTCCAACATGTACCAAGGATTCAATGGCCTTGCAAGTGATTTTTTGGGAGTTACGGAAAGTGTGCAACAGGATCATTCTTGGATGATTGGGTTATCTTCTATTCTTGAGTTATGGTTTGGCGTTGGAACAGAGAAAAGTTTCAATCCATATACAATCCCCTCGCTTTTTTGGTCAATAACCTTCAAGAAATTTTTCACAATCTAGCAACTACTTTTAGGAGAACTATGGCGGGCTCTAAATATAAATTGGTAGGAAATAAATACATGCGGTTCAACAAGCCCGGGCTAGCATGTATTGATAAGGTAATTAAAGATCATTAAAAACTTGTCTTCTTAACTTTCACCAAATTCAATGGTATCAAATAATGCAAATATCTTGGCCATTATTCAAAAAGTAAACTTCATCAACACAAACAATGCTCTTTGTGATTTCCCCGGTTTAGAGCAATTTTCATATTAATTTAGAAGAATACGGTAACATCTCAAAGACATAGCGACCCATGACTTTGAATTTAGAACGGCTAATAACAATGGGTTGAATGTGAAATGGGGTAATATAAGGTATTCAAAGAGTTCAATTTAGTGTTGATGAATTTTATGGAGGTGGTTTTGAAATGAAAGAAACGTATGGGTCATGGGGCCTAAAGAGGATAAAAGAACAACACCACTCAACATTGATGGGCTTCCGAAGTTTGGTGGTTTTGGTATATCTTCCATGCCCATTGGTGAAAATATGAGATTAAGGTTTGAGGTTTTCAATTTTACGTATTTTTCTCCTCAAACCCAAGAAAAATATGTAATTTGGGTAGATCTTGGGAGGAACATGTAAATTCCCATGTAGTGTCAATAGCATCAACATTAACCTTGCTTTATTATACAAGTGGCTCTAATACAATTAAATTTTTCAAAGATTATCTAAAGAACTTTTTCACAAACATTTAAGCAACTATTCAAAATCACCAAATAAATATTAGTATTTAATTGGTTTTTGACATTGATAGTCCCCATCAAGGTTGTCACAGCACCTTTTTGCGGGGCAACGCCTGTGGACCGCCATGGCGACAAAATGGTGAACACAACGTATTGTGCATAAAATTTACATATATATATTATATCTTATAAGTATTATATTATAGAATTTCTAGTAATAAATAACTATACAATATAAAATAATATAATAAACTAATACTATAATAGAATAAATAAAACAAAATAGCACTAGTAAAGTGGAGGGAGTGGGGTTCTAGCACTAACTTAGATTAGAAGTTTAAAAATATTTGAAGTCAAGTGTCAGAATGATGCAGTGAGACGCAAGCCCAAAGAGATTTGGGAAGAGAGAGGAACAGATCTGAGAGAGCAGAGGCATAGGGGTTCGATCAAGTTCAAAGGTTTAGGGGCTAAGGTAGGTGTTGCTTGGGCCTGGGCTAACCTGGAGACTCGCAATGTTCTGGGCTAGCCAGAACAGTGCTATGGCGTCGCCATGGCGTCATTAAAGGGTCACCATAGCGTTGCCAATGCATTTCCACGCCCCTTTGTCTAATGAGGCGAGGCGATGAGTCCTGGCGCATCCAAGAAAGCGCCAAGACGCCATGGCGCCCGCCATGGCGACGCCATGACAACAGTGGTCCCCATGCATATATATATATAGACATATATATATATGTAAACATAGATAGATTTCTAGTCATTTATATCCTTGTCACCTCAAACATTACACAATTATAAACAAAGCAAATCTGAATATAGTCTACCAAAGGGGATGCATTATGCCTAACATAGTTGCATGCATTATCCCAATGAGATTCTGGTTTTGATGTTTTAGGTAAAAATAGTTGTGGGAGTGATATTCTGTATGGAAAATAAGTGTGGGTTGTTATATTTTTTGAGGAAAAGTAATAGATTGAATAGTTAATGTAATGGTTAAAAAATAAAAATATAAAAGAACACACCTTAAGTATGTTTTTATTAAAAAAGAGTAGGGAAGCAACTAGAGTGAATTGCCAAACTCTAATAAAAAAACATTACAACATACAATGTATGTTTTGTAAAAGGACTTCTAAAATAGGCATCAAAAGACTCAAGCATCATATAGGATAATATTTGGATAATAATATGTTGATTTCATATTATTTATATATACTTATGGTGAGTAGCATGCCCCATTTGCAAGTATGATCCAAGATCAAACTACTTTGTGCATGTTTGCTAGTTCAAAAACATGCTCAAGCCAACTTGGACTCATACATGGAGCTCAAACAACGAACATTCAATTCAGTTCAGCTTTTTATTGTCTCTATCCTTGGGATTTCCTCGTTAAAATAATTTGTGCTATCATGCAATACTTTCATAAATATAACTCCAAAGGAAAAACTAGATGGTAGTATGAGTCATAAAATGAAGTGTACAATATAATATCATAATTCTCATTAATGAGAAATCTAATATACACACAATAGTTGATATTTTTATAATGCTATCCATGGAATTCAGTTTACTCAGATACTAGACTAGGTAGATACTTTATAAAATGACATGGTTTTTTCCATAATAAATTTTGTTATAGCTAAGCATCACAAAATTTTAGTTTCCCAAAATGGCATTTTTAAATTGCAAGCAACATATCTTTAAGCCATATTTTATGAACAAGATTGTACAATACAAACTCATGAAAGTACAATATCACAACAAAGACACAGTTGCACATGACGTCACCTATATCTAATTAAGTAAATCAAATTGGCCAAACATTTAATAACTTATTCCGAATATGAATGGCTGAGAAAAGAGGTTTAGATGCAGCACATGATATTCTAAGCAAATATAAACACATTTCAAATAGAAATCCACAATAAAACTAAAACATAGATTGCATAATTAGGAATAAGTTCACAGTACCTTTAAATTGTTGTACCAAATATAGCAACATCAGCTTCTTAATGAAAAACTGTCATAATGATCCACACATGAATAACATAAAGAACAAAGATGAATTAGAACTTGCATTTCCCTGAGATGTTGTCTTCCATGATCATTTGTCTTCTGAAACACATTTCCTGAAAACAGCAAAATGTACTCACTAGTATCAATGTAAATGAAGCATATGACCCAGAAAACATTTTATCATAATCAATAATAAACATTGGAAACAAGTGCATAGCAAGGAACATATTAATACACACATTGACACCTACTGAAATGTGAGATAAGGAAAGGTAAAGGGTTTATTGTATTGAAACTGTGCCAAAATGGACGAGACCTGAAAATGTCTTGTTGGCAATCATAATATTCCTTGCATAATTTTAGGAGTGGGCAACAAAGGGAGGTTTTCAGGTTGAATACCCAAAGATTTGGGAAACAGTTCACTGAACCTGGTTGGAAAGATAGGGTATCCAAAATAGTTCATATCCAAGATTTGGGGAAAGAGAGAGAGTTATATGCAAAGGGGGAGAGAGAGAGAGAATCTGAAAATGTGAGAAGGTGAGTGCGCAAGATGGTGAGAGTGGGTCAAGGCTTACATCATATTATATGGGCTAGGTAAAAATGTTTCTCCTGATTCAAGTATCCAATCAGGTATCAAGTTATCAGCCTAAGACCTGACACCAACCTGACCCAATATTTTTTATATTAAACCACCAATAGTTTTTAACATTGGGCCAGGTTGGGATAGCCTAAACCCAACCTGAACTCCAACCCCTAATATCTCGAAGTGATCATGAATTAACATGATCGGGGTTTGAGTTTGCATTGTAGAAAAGCATTAATTAAACCCACAGAAGAACCTCCAGTTTTTAAGTACAGCAGCACAAGTTTCAGTAGGCAATGGACCCAAAGAAAATGTAAAGAGTAGAAAAATCAATTTAGAATTGCAGTTTATTTGAGTTCACATGCTATAGATATTGCAAGTTGACTCAAATATACGAGATAAAAAGAAAATCATGATATCAGTAAAATAAAAAACTGGTTCCAATATTGTATCCAGCAAACACAATTTAACATTCAACAGTAGAAAATTAACTATGAAATCATATTTTATCTGAAGCATTGAACTGCTTATGAAGCAACACTAAAATCTAATTTTGGTTATAATTTATAATATTTTGTACCAGAAAATCCAAGAATGTCATGGGGTATCTGAACGTATCTGATAAAATTATTGTAAATTGGGATGGAAAAAAAAAAGGGAAGGGGTGGGGCAGATAAAATTGACAAACTTTGTGGCAAGAGAATGTACATCCTGCAGACATTAGCACTTTAATCGGGTAAGGATTTAAATTCCAGACAACTGAAGGGAAAAAGGAGAACAGTACCTTGATCTCCGGAATCACCTATTCTGCATCAGAGTCATATTTATCAAACCAAGGAACTGCCCTTATGTAAGGCTTGGGGAAAGAAATGACAACATCAGAGGATGCTTTATCTAGCTTTGCTGACTTGCTGAAATATCTCCTCTTAACTTCGTTAGTCACATGCGGAATTTCCATCTTCTTCAGAACTCTCCCATTCAGAAGTAAAAACTTCAGCAACTCAAGCGCATTTTCTTCACCATTTAAGTGAGAAATCCGAATGACTTCAAGCTGATGAGACAAGCATGGTATATCCTCCACCCTTAATACCCAAGGAATTTCTACATATCCTATAAATAAGAACAATGGAATGATTAGATAACCTTTTGGTTCAAATAAATGTATCACGTAGTTTTGCTATTTTAACATGAGATAGAAATGCATGCCATGATAGAGACATATTGAATTAATAGCCCTATTCATAGTTCTCCAGCTAATTACAATATAATTGCAAAATAAATAGGAATGTATTAGTTTTGGTCTTCTAATGTGCGAAGGAAATCCATGCCATAATACAGAGATATTAAGTAATAGCCATAATAATAGTTCTTTGCACCTGGTAACAATATAAGATACATATATATATATATATATGTGTGTGTCTGTCTTCGTGTGTGTGCACATAGATACACCACTTGGCCATTTTTCCCCTAAAATGCTTGAATCATGAACCTTTCAAAAATAAAGTACCTTTCCTTTTCCTAGTCCGTGACCAACCACCCCGCTTACCCTTCAAGAAAGAAGCTAATAGTGTTAGTCACTGAAATTCAAAAAAAAAAAAAAAAATCAATCTGAGCAACTGGAAGAAATAGGCTTAAACAGTTTTACCACTTTAAATCTGATAAAAAGTGTTTCAAGGTTTGGCGTGAACTTCATCAAGTTGACTAGCCCATCAATATGAAAGGCACTGTATTTTATTTCCACCTCCAGACTGGTCACTTTGTCCAATATAAAAGAGTCCCATGAAACATTATTATATGCTCGAGAGAAGTGCTGCAGGCATGAAAAGGAACTTCATAAGCAGAATAATAATCAGAACACGGCATACATATAAAGGAAACTATATCTAAGTCAGTTTGGATATGTATCCCTCTCCAAATCACAATATATTTCCTATCAGCAATGCACCGGTTCAACAAGTTTACAGTCATTACAAGTTACTCTATCAAAATATTTACAACTTGGTAATACATGAAGAAACACTCAATCTTTTCAACATTTATTCCCCTTCACTTGCTACATTAAATTTGAGAGAAGATGGAAGCATAGTCTTAAATCATTACCATCTAGGCTTATATCCCACTATGCGGGGCACTAGGATGCATATTCTTCTCCTGAATTTAATATGAAGTATCTCTTCTAACAGCTTCCACATATAGCCTTACATATTCAAGAAAAAAATCACTGAGCCAATCATAGATCTCTTTGTACATAGCACATGTAAACAAGTTTCCACCAATACAAAGCTTTCATTTCTATAAAATCCTGTGGCTATAAATATTTCTATATGGACTTCATACCCTACAACATTTCAAGATATTATATCTACTGTACAATAAAATATGCATTAAGCTAAATTGATCGCCTCCATAGAATGTGTACTAGGAATAACATATGCAACCAATGCAAAAAGGGCTATTAAGTACAATACTTTGGAAACATGTTACACTGTGAAAATGATGCACCAATGCAATCCATTAGCTATTTCCAATAAAAAAACACAGCACATTACGACTAAAATATCCTTTGTACCATGTAAGAAGACCAAGAATGAGAAAGCAAGCTTCAGATACCTTGACAACAAAAGAGGACAATATCAAAGTTTTGGCATGATTAAGCCCAATAAATCTTGCAGGACAATATAAGTGGTTCTTGTACTGGCTCTGTATGGGTACACGTAGAAGGCGGATTGTGACCTTATCCAGAGATGTAGTGTCCTCAAAGACGAGCCCACGCAGCAATGGGCCAACATAGCTAAAGGACAACAGATTTGGCGCAGAAATCTTGATCAGAGTATCAAATGAACCTACATACCACAATGCACCTTCAGTAGTGCTAACATTAACGATAGTCATGTACTTTAGATGACTAGCGATAATGTCGATCTGAAGTACATTTCCAATTTGACAATCTTCCAGGTGGATCTCCTCAAGTTTAATACAATCACTTGAAAAGATCTTTGAAATAGCACATGATGGCAAGCCAACTCTTGTTAGGTGAAGACTAGTGAGGTTACAGAACTTGGATGAAACATGGATAGGTATATCATCGCGAAAATTCAGGGTAAGCTTCGTCAGTGATTCGCAAAGATGACGGGGGAAGTTCAAAGGAGTAACCGAATAGTCTCCATTCAGAATCTGGAGTTCTCTTACCCGTCTCTTGCCAGCAACTTGAAGGAGCATATTTAATTGGGCAGCCATTGTACAGTTGATACTCACACACAATCTTGTGAGTTGCGACTCTTCGTCGCGCATAAGCAAGCACCACTTGATAAAATCCCAAAACTTTCGATGCAAATCCAGAGAGGCGGGAAACTTTCCAGTATTATGGCGGTGAAACCAATCGACGTCGAAGTTCAAGTTCGGCGACGATGCCCAAAGATACCTCCATCTCCTAGACAGCACACATGTCCTCACCACATCAAGAAAATCAAGTCGGGACAGAATTCGGTGCAGCACGTCGTCAGGCAAAGCGCTCAATCTATCATCCTGCGGCAACCCCGTCCGCCGTCGCCTGTACTGCCATGTCCCACCCGTCGGGTCCATATCTGCGAAGCCATTTCATACAGGGAATCAAAATCCAGGCACGCAGCAACAACCATCCATCTACATATAACTCAAACAAGAAAAGAAAACACAACCACAATTTTGGATTCATCAACACAATGCCAATCTATTATCTAAACCGTGGTTCTTTACCATTTCTCATCTCTGACTCCCTCCCATTTCAAGCAATCAATAAAAATAGAAGGTACGCAACGCAGGCATGCGTCAAATGCAGATTCAGCGGAAATGAGACTAATCAGGCAGAGAAAATCGGAAATGGAAATGGAAATGGACGCTTACCAAGGCGCCGCGACGGAGAGAAAACCTAGATTGATTGAGAGAAACCCTGAAACCCTAGATTGAGTTAAGAGGAACCCTGAAACCCTAGATTGAGTGAGAGAGGGAAGCGCAGATGCGCAGTCGGCCGATACTACCGATGTTGGGGTGGGGAGGGTTTTGAGTAGCGGGCGGCGTTAATTCCTAGTTTGGATGAAGTTTTGGCTTTATATATGAGTACATCGCTTTCGTTCACTACGATGCTACTGTTACACGTTACTATCCAAACGCTACCTACCCAATAAAAGATTCCTTCAGAATTAACTGTTTCTGACACATATAAAAATGAAAATTACTATTATCTCCCTCCCGAAACCGTTCAGGCATTATTTAAAATAATAAAATTTAAATGTTTCTGACACATATAAAAATTAAAATTACTATTATCTCCCTTGTCCGAAACCGTTCAGGCATTATTTAAAATAATAAAAATTTAATTGTTTCTGACACATATAAAAAGTACAATTACTATTATCTCCCTGAAAGACATTATTTAAAATAATAAAATTTAGTAAAGTTAATTATAATAATACTTTAAAATTATAAATTTTGAATTTTAAAATGTGATTAAATTTATATAATTATATTTTTAAATAGAAAAAGATAAATTATGGGATATATGAAAATAGAAATAATGAATAAATTAAGTGAGATAGAGAAAATTTTTATTTTTTTTTTTATGTGGATGGTATTATTATTTTTTTTATAATAAATTTTAATATTTTATATAATTTAAAAACATTAAATATATCTTTTAAATATTATATTTTAATATTATTTATTTATTATTAATATAAATTATTTTTTTTGTGTAGTATGGAGAACTATGTTAATAATATAAAAAATAATATTTTGTGTTAAATATTTAAATTTTTATGAGTGGATAATATATATCATATTAATATGTATGTGTATTTGTATAGTTTTAATAATATTCATGGGCAAATGTCCTTTTGGAAATGCTATGTGAATCAATTGAATACACAAAAACTAAATGTGACCGCTAGAGTCGAATGAATATAGTAATATTTTATTGGTTAATAGAAGTGTATAAAAAAATTGACATTTTTGTCGTATAATTTTATGTATAAAGTAATTATATATTCCCTCTATCCCAATACAATAGTCTTGTTTACCATTTTTGTCCGTCCCAAAACAATAGTCTCATTTTCATAAATAACCATATCACTAGAAAATTACTCTTACTTTTTCATTATTATTATACAATTGCCACTATTTTTTATACTAATACACTCAAAAAGACAAAAAAAAGTCTTTTACTCATACTTTTTACCCACTATCAATATAATATCAATATTATTTAAATCACGTGTCAAATAACCCAAACTATAGTTTTGGGACGGAGGGAGTATATAATAATATATTTGTAAATTGAATAAAAGTTGATCGTATTTTAGTATTAGTGTAGGGTCATTTTCTAAAATAAGAAATAATATATACTTTGAGTGAGACAAATAAAAATGATTTAATTTAAGTTGGTACATAATGATATACTCCCTCCATCCACCGTTACTCTATCCATTTTACTATTTTAGTCTGTCCATCGCAAATGTATTCATTTCCTTTTTTTTTTTAGTAAATGTATCTTCTGCTAAAATATAAAATTATCCGACCCTTTATATAATATTACACAAATATCATCAAATAACACCACTTAATATCATAAATATTGAGGAATATAATAGTCTTTATGTATATCAATTGTACCACATATCAATATAATAATTGTATTCAGACTTACTTTATATCAATATAATAGTACTTGCTAGATATAAAAATCAGCATATTTAGACTTACTTTATATATTGTGTGTTTAATTAGGCTTTGGATTTTTACTAACAAAATTTTAAATTTTAACAGTTGTTTAGTGTGATAAAATAAGTAGGTATTTTTAAAATTTTAAATCATTTTTTTATTATTATTTATTCCGTATGATTTTAGATAAAATAAAAAATATATACATTCTTCATCCGGCTCCAAGGATTACATTTTTTTTATTTTTTAATATTAATTATTATATCAAAATATAATAGAAATCAAAAGAAAGTAACAAAAATATTTTTACTATTGTCTTATAATATTAATATAATGACATTTATACAACAAATTATACAAATATAAAAATATTTTTAATATTAAATACGACAAAACGTAAAAGGTAAATATTATCCTTAGAGACGGATGAAAAAAATATTTTTTTTTCACATAATATGATATCAAACTACTATTCAAATTAAAATCCAAATAATCATTACAATTTCAGAGCAAAATATGCCCTTGCTTGTGGTGCTTTGGATTTGATATTGTATAGCAAAATTTTAATTTTAAATTAAATTTATTATAATATAATAAATGAAAATTTAATATTTGATTTAATATTTTTTAAAAAAGATATATAATAGTTGAAGATAATAGAAACCCCCACAAACAAACAAGTATTTGTGAAATATTTGGAATATAATATTAAAAATATTTTTTTAATTTAATATTTTTTAAAAATGGAATATGAATAATAAAAATATTATAAACCACCAAGCGAACCCAACCTTTGAAATATTTGAATAGTACGTATGTTTGAATTAGTATAGTGAATAAATAGTAATTAAAATTAATTTTAGAATTTTTTACAAGAAAATGAAAAGTAAGGAAATATAAATATTTTTATTTATATATTTATTTTAAATTTTAAATTTTTTATAATGTTTCGTTATTTACTTTACTTCTTTATTAGTCTTATATACATGTAGATAAAAATAAGAGAAATAAAATTTAATTTGCAATAATACTTGTGTTTATTATTTAAATAAAAAATTAGACTATTTATTTTGTATTATTTAAAAATATATATATTATTTCACTCTATAAAAATTACATCAAAATACTATTTAAATAAAAAAATTAAATCACCATATCAATTTCAAATCAAAACCAAACTAACTCATGTGTATGCTTTTTAGATTAATTAATATTATAATTTATAATTATTATTTGATAAATCGAGTCATGCCTAACCCGGAATGATTTGCACAAGCACAATCCTTATTTTCAATCGGACTGCCGATACGAAAAATATTTCATGCCTAATTTTTAGGTTCAAATTCTCATTTTTTGTGTTGTGTTTCAAATTTTCGGATCATATTTATTTTTATCGCTCTAAATGTAACCAACAAATATTTTATAAAGTCATTATAAGGACTCAAACAACTTCACCCGGCTTTAATGTGTGATAGATTTTGATTTTACTATTCTAATTTTTTATCTTTAAATATATTAAATCAAATACTTATTTTTTTTCTTATTATATTTATTAAAGTTTAATTTTACATTAAAAACATTGCATCGCGACATATTTATATCATACATGACAACTATTTCAATTCAAATTTTTACTATGCAAACCTAAATTCAAAATCCAATCCCCACAAACAAACACACCCTAAGAATTTTGTAAGAGCTGGTTTGGTTCTTCACAAAAATAATTTATTGTAATGTTGGGTAAATAGTACAATTACTAAAATAGATAGATTGTTAAGGAACGGAGAAAGTATACATAAGTATAATTTTAATATAAAAAGTAAAATTTTTAAATTTAAACATGTGAATTGTCCTCCCAATTCATGTCTATTAGTATTTTATTTTACTTTTTATTTAATTATTTTAAATTTATAATAATTTATAATATTTTTAATTATAAATATATTATATAAAAAATACAAGTTTTGTTCTTCTAAATGATTTCTTTTACTGATATAATTTCTATGGAATATAATATAAATTATATTTTCTCACAAAAATCAACTTGGAATTGTATACTAATCATCAAAATTTTTTATTTAATATCTACTTTTTCTTTTTTATATTATACTAAAGATTAATTTTACATTCAAAATATCACACAAAACCTATTTATATCACATCATACAATTATTCCAATTCAAAAATTTTACTATTCAAATCCCAACTTAAAATCCAAACCGCCAAACAAATAAATACTAAATATAATTTTTTATATTACAATCTTCTATATCTAAGATAATATATATATTATATATTTCAAACTAAAATACTAAACAAACACACCTACAATTTTTTATCTAAAATATTAACCCTACACTATCTTTTTTCTTTTTTCTTTTCCTCCATTCTTTTTTGTATCACCCTACTATATTGTCAAGGGATATTGAAATTGATAAGATGACATGAATCGATGAAGTGAACTGATGAACATGTTTTTCAAAAAACACTTTTGGTTCAAATAAAACATGATGATTCATTTTATAATTTCAAATAGGATGAATCGGATTGTTAAAAAAAACTGGACAATTTTGCCCTCCCGGAGTCTCCTAGTTGGTTCCGTCACTATATACATATTTTAACAAAACAACACATCAATACTAATTTTTAAAAGTTTTCAATTTTTTTTTTCCAAAACTCAAAGAGTCTCTCTTAGCAATTTTCAACCATGGAAAAGAAACCACCTTATTAAAGCATATTTGGCTTGCAACAATGGTACACAAAACTTACAGAGCCATATTTGAATTGTAATATATTTTTATGCCTTAAAAAAGAAATATTATCTCCGTTCCATAACTATGTATCCATTTACTTTTTGTATGGAGTTTTAGAAATATTAGTATTATATTGAGATATAGTAGGAATAAAGTAGAAATGACTAAAATGACATTATTAGTATTGCGTGATATAAAGCTAATAGTATTTGTGTAATATATTGGAAGTTGTAAGTGTATTTGTAATATTAGGTAGATACAAAAAAAAGGATACATTTACTAAAAAAGGAAATGGATACTTTGTCATGGACATACTAAAATGGAAAAATGGATACTTTGTTATGGAATAGAGGGAATATTAGTTAACTCACAATCAACTAATAGCAGCCACACAAAATACATAATATTCTCCTAAGCAAGTAAATTCATTCCTATCGATCGATCGATCATCATTATCGTACGTCTACTCAAATCTTCCAGCAAAATATATGTCTAAACTAGTATCTTAGCAAGTTTCCTTACTTCCTTTCATCAATAATCAATCAATCAATCAATTGAGCATCGGAAAGCAAGTGGAAGACACAAAACCAAACATAACACGAGAGAACAATGCACTTAACATAATAGATTATGAGAGTCTGCTTGTAGAAAACATTAATTCATACCTTAAAAAAAAAAAAAAACAGCCGTGCGAGAACTACTACGGCTATCCTTCCTAATACTACCGACTTAAGAGGATGTGAGAGGGGAGGGCTTCAAGACCCGTGAGGTCGTCTTGGAGAAGCTCATTCTCCAGCTGACGACTGGTAGCTTTCATTACACTCTGCAATAGGAAAACACAAAAGGGCTCTCGATTGAAATGTATATTGTAGTATAAGCTACGAGTGATTTGAAAAACGTACGTTGAAATCCATGTAAGAAGCATGCATGGCAAGCCATTGATGATCCATTAGCTTAAATGCGATGCAATACAGAAGGTCAAATGCCGACTCATTTTCTGTAGAGAAAAAAGGGAATCCATTAAATAATTACAATGAAAATATAGACACCTAGTAGGTGTATTTGGTTGGGAGATTTTTACCCATATTTTACTATCTATTATTTTTTTTCTCCAGAAATATCAAATTAAATACCTAGGGTGCATTTGTTTTGTGAAATAGTTGATATGAAATTTTTTTTATGTGAGATAGAGGAAATTGTATAGAGAGTATAAAAATGATAAATGTGTGTAGTGTATTAATTTTTTGGGAAAACATGTGAAGAAAAAAAATAGAAAGAGCAAACCCATATTTTTTACTTTTTTATATTATACTACTTTCATCTCACATATGGTGAAACATTTGATTTCCGTCACGAGAATTTAGGTGGGTAATATTTAAATAAAATAAATTAGAAATTAGGTAACATGACGAGAAAAAAATCTATATTTTTTCTTTTAATTTGAGTGATGTGATTATTTCATATTTTGATAATATTGCAGTATGTGAAAAAAAGCTAAGATGGAAAATATAATGTAAGAAATGGTGGACGGAGGGAGTACTAATTATCCAATTTACTTTCAAAATATCGCGTCAAATATATTTATATCACATTATATAACTATTCAAATTCATTGTTTTACTATTCAAAACTCAAACTCAAAATTCAAATATTCAACCAAACACACCTTTTTGAACATAGAAAGTGCAGTTATACCTGTAAGAAACTTCAAAAAGGTTGCTCCAACAAGCGTTCTCGGCTTCACTGCAAATATTGACAGGATATGAGAATGGGAATAATTTTTCACACGTCCCTACTAAGTAAAATGATCCAAAAAAATAATTACAAAAAATACATTCAATGCATTTTAGCAATATTCATTTGGGACAATTACAAGGCCAAACATCAAAATAGAGTAATATAGACATAATAACAACATCTACAAAACATACGAAAAAATCACCTGCTTCAAGATCAAGCATCTGAATAAGCATGAATGTGATGTTGACACCAGCTACAGCAAATGGGTATTCCCACAATGCTCGGTCACCTTCCTTCTTCCGAAGAAGATCGTGAAAAGATTTCTGTGAAATAACAATTGGTAGTATCATTTAACAAGAGAAAAGTACATACAAATACAGAACAAACAAAAGAATAAAAACATATAAAACACATTTACAAAGGAACAGAAGAAAACGAGCAAGTGCATTACTGCATTCAAGTATGTCATTTTGGCAATTTAACGTACGATATTGAGCAACTGCTGCACTTATAAGTAGAATAGTTTCAATGCATTGTTGGATATGTCACAAGCAACTTCTTCCTTTCTATTGACATGAATAAAAAGCAAAAAGTACATATACCGGGAAGTTCTTAGCGAAGTATAACAAATTTTCCAACGATATGAAACCACCGCCCCTGAAACATTACAAGTCCATAATTTAAAGACCAAAAGAAATTATGGGGGGCTAAAAGTTAAGCTAATTTAATGAAATGAGTCAGCATAAAAATATGGAGCATGATAGTGCACCTAAAATCTGTGGAAGGATCTTTTCCTTGCCAACCCATTTCCTTCCATTGCTCAGATATTAAACCACAGAATTCTTGATCAGGAAAGGAAGCCCGCCACAACAACCTTAGAGCTTCCTGTAAAGAAAAAACAAAAGGTCGTGAGTTATGAGAAATAGAAGTTGATACTAAAAATGGGATTCCATATGCTATTGGCACAAAATCAATGTCAAGCAGCTTCATTAGCTATACCTGATGATCGGGAATAGAACTATCGTAGGAAATATCTATCCGACTCTGTAGCTTCTGAAGGCATTCTTCCTGATAGATAACAAATTTAAACATAAACACATTAAGATCTAAAACCATGTGCAAAATGGGGGGAAACCGGTGTGTGTGTGTGGTCATTACTGTAAATGCAAGCTATCAATATGGAATTATATGATTTATCCCTGTTGCTTAAGTAAATATGTCCATGTTGCTGGAACATGCAACAATATATATATATATATACATGAAATCTAAATTCTATAATCATCGGGTTAGCCCATCTGAATCCTAAATAATGTGCGCATCATTTATCAGACAGATGATTGTTTATGGAATTTTTCCAAAAATGTACTATACATCAAACATTTTTTCCCAAAAATATTTATTTTTATATTATACTAAAAATTAATATTACGTTCAAAAACACCATCAAACTTCTATGTATATCACATCATATAATTATTCCAATTCAAAATTTTTACTCTTCAAATTTCAATTCAAAATTAAAACCATCAAACAAACACACACTAAATCCCAAGTTAATTAAAAAGTATCAAATTAAATATGTGTAATGCCTGTGGGATTACTTGCTGATAATCTGGCATTTGAACAATGAAAGCAAACAAGCATAGGAAACAAAAGAATCACATGAATTCAACCAAGTAGCGTTTCACTTTCACCTGTGCAGCTGTCAAATCAAATGATGGGCGAGCATCATTGTCTGTCCTTTGAGCACAAACACATGAAAGTCCTCTGCCTAGCCAAGCAGCAGATCCTGCCACAACCTCCACTGTAATCAAAGAAAAGAACAAAAATTGACAAAATTATACAGGAAAGGGCCGCAGCATCAACATTGTGATTTCTATAATAAACAAAGATTAAAAAGCTTGTAAAATAATAATAATAATAATAATAATAATAATAAAGATAATTGACTTCTTGTGTAGTCTACATATGAGTAACCTAAATTTGGAAAAAGAACAAGAAAATTTAACGCCCCAATAAATCACTAAAATAGAGAGAAATCGAAAACGATGCAAAATTTGAGAATGGGGGAAATATGAAAGAAACAGGTATTTTGCAATTGACAGAAACAGAATACGAATTAAGGGAAAAAAGAGAATTGTATATCAAATCAATACGAAGAACACGGAGCAAAAATATTGCACAAGAATTTAGGAACAATAAAACAAAAACTAACCACAAATTGCAACGCAAGCCATCAACCAATTAACGTAAATAGACACTCATAAGGAACCACTTGAACATTCACTGTACTCGTTTATACCGAATTGAATAAACACCAAAAATAGTTAAAATTACGAGATATAGTTACGTAAAAAGGTCAACAATAGAAAAGATAGATAGAGAGAATGTGGAAAATACAAAGACAACGGATAGGCCAGAAAAAAGTAAAAAAGAAAAAGGAATATACCAGAGGTAGAATGGCATGCGGTTCCTCGATCAAGCCCCTGCGAAATTCGCCTCACTGCAACGAAGGTTCCTTCTCTATCATCCATTCCTTTGCTGCTGCTACGTCTCCAGTTTTGAATCCCTCCTATCCGAGGTGAAAACAACGGTATATTCCTCACCTGCTTTCCGATTTAAATTCACTAGCCGAAAATTGAGCACGAATCCAAATCTCAAGTAACCGGAACTGAAATGTGGAAGAAAAATTACATAAAAAAAAACATAAATCAAAACTATTATTTTAAAATTAACCGAGAGATTTCTTCACCGGAGCTTCAAGATCCTCCATACATCTCATCCAATCACAAAAAAATAGAAATCAAAATAATAAACAAGAAACAAGAACAAAATCTCGGAAATCACCCTTGCTTCTAACTAACTTCATCTACCTCCGTCTATACATGCACATTACATCTATAGCGACGGCAACATTAAGATTGAATATGGACTGATATTGATTGTTGGAACATTCTACATGGAATGAGAGCATCAGAGAGAGGTTTCTGAATCAATTGATTGGAAGAAAACTCCTCCTACGAATTGAAAATCTTCTGTTCATCTGTGTAAAAATGTTTTATCTTTTCAACGACTAATGATTCGTCAATTCGTCTTCTACTTTCTCTCTCTCATATGATTAAAATCGTATTTTGTAGTCTATCGAATCTCATTTACAGGATATTATGTTCGCTCCGAGTTTACTAATGTGATAGCGACTTGCGAATTTTTAAGTCATAAAAAAAAAATAGTATTTTTTCATTAAAAAAAATTAAAATATATTAATAAAAAATTATTACATAATAAAAATAATTATGAATTAAAATTAAAATAATTAAATAATTAAATTAAAATTATAAAAATTATAAAATTTAATTAAAATGTATAATTATGTAAGACAAAAATGAAAAAAAAAATTTATATAAAATAAAAAAAGTATTAAATAAATATAATATATATTAATACAATAAATATAATTACAGTCTGCTTTGAGCATGGCCCAAAATTCTTTAGGCCCTTAAGGGCCCTTTTTATATAAATAATAATAATAATAATGTATATATGCAATAATATTATAAATATATGTATAATAGTAAAATATTTATTTTAAAATTTTATTTGATTGTATTTTAATTTAAATATTTTGATATAATATTTTATTAGAACTAGTAATATTTATTTTTATTTTAAAATAGAATCAAACAAACTGAAAGAATTATTTTAAATAATTTAAAACTATTATTTTTATATTATTAATATATAAATAAATTAAATAAGGTCCATTTTTATTTTTCTCCTGGCCCATCATAATCTAGAAATCGGTATATAATTAATAATTTTAATATAAAATATTAATTTTTATATTATTAATACAATTTTATATATCTAATATGAAAAAAAAAACTATTAAAAATATTGAAATTAGTATGTTTGTTTTGTAAAATAGTACAAAAAAATATTTTTTAATATCAAACAATTTTTTTATTATTATTATTATTTTTGTCTCTCAATCAAAAATATTTTATTTCAATTATAATAAAGATAATTATATTCAAATATTTAAATACTTCTCATTTTTACAAAATTATTATTTTTTTTAAAGGTAAAAATATTAAAATTATCTTATACATTTTCGCTAGTCAATAAAATATTACTCCCTCTATCCCATAACAAAATATTTATTTTTTCATTTTAGTTTGTCCCATAATAAAGTATCCATTTCCTTTTTTTAAGTAACTGTACTATCTATCTAACATTACAAATACCCTTGCAACTTACAATATACTACACAAATGTCGTTACCTTTATATCATACATACTAATAATGTTATTTTAATCATTTCTATTTTATTCTTACTATATCTCAATATAAGACTAATATTTCTAAAACAACATAGAAAAAACAAATATATATTTACTTATGGGACGGACGAAGTATTATTTTTTAATCTAATTAAAAATCAATGGTATATTGAATTACGAAAAAAATAAATATTTTATAAGAACAAATTGTTTAATTTTATAGAGATTTATGATAATTTAATAGTAAAAAAATAATAATAATTTTCATGTAAAAAAAACCCTTAGTTATACTAAACTAATTGTGATTTAATATATTTTTAATATTGTTTTGTGAATTCAATATAATCCGTAGTCCCACTAGAAAATATATAGTTATACAATTATTTTTTAAGGATAAATTATTTTTTTAGTCCCATAGATGTATTTTTTTATCATTTTAGTCCCGTAAGTAAAGTCTGTCGCAAACTAGTTTCGTAAGTGAAAAATTTTAACTATTTTAGTCCTTCGACGCCGAAGACGTCCGCGTGGTTCGCCGGAGGCCAAGCGCGATTTTATTTTATTTATTTTCATTTTTTTTAAAATTTATTTTTAGTTTTATTTGTTTTTTTTTTTAATTATTTTGTCCAATTGAAAAAAAAAAAGAAAAAAATAAAATCTACGTGTCCGCCAGGTGTCGCTGACCCGGCGGACACATGGCTTCCGGCGAAGCACGTGGGCGTTCCCGGTGCCGGATGACTAAAACAACGAAAATTTTTCACTTATGAGATTAATTTGCGATAGGTTCTATTTACGGGATTAAAATGATAAGGGGTTCAGTTATGAGACTAAGAAAAACAGTTTACCCTATTTTTTATTATTGTATTTGACATTAAAAATATTTTTATATTTATCTAATTTATTATAAATTTGTCCTTATATTTGTATTATAAGATACTAACAAAATATTTTTTTATTTGTATATTTATTTTTACTATATTTTAATTTAATAATTAATATTAAAATAAAATCATAAAAAACAAAACTACTTTTCTGACTTAACCACTACCAAAAAAAATTTGTTGCAAAATCTGCCCTGTAAAATTAAAAATATTATATATAATTAATAATTAAAATTAAAATTTCAAACATTGTTAAAGAAACCCTTGAGCCGCCCCTCCTCCAATTCTCCTCTATTTACTTTTTCTTTTTTCTTCTTCGCTACAAGAAAATTGTTAATTAGTACTGATGTTTGAGAAGAAAATTAAAGTAGTTATTTAAGGGTGTGTTTGTTTGGGTTCTGGATTTTGAGTTGAGATTTGAATAGTAAAAATTTTGAATTTAAATAGTTGTATCATGTGACATAAATAGGTGTTGATGTGATGTTTTAAATGTAAAATTGATTATTAGTATAATATAAAAAATGAAAAATAAGTGTTTAATTTGATATCTTTGGAAGAAAAAAACGGGATGAACAGTGAATTCAAAATCCAATCCCCCAAACAAACACACCTTAATTATATTAATATTACTTCAAAAATTAAGTTTACATGAAATTATCGTTGACGTTACTATTTTAGGGTTTTAAATTGAAATTAACATTATTCATCCGGCCATCTTTTAATATTACTCCAATCACCGAACAAATCATCACTTTCTTATAAGCATTTATTATCATTTATTGTTCAATTGAGAATGAATTAGATGAGATAATGACTTGAGTTTGGCTTGGGTTTTGATTTGGGCTTGGAATTTGGTATATATATATATAGTCAAGATTGAGCCTTGAGCGTCGAGCTTCATGGCCGAGCCCAATAAAAAAAGTTTCAATTATTTTAAATTTTATTTTATGTAATTAATTAATTTTGACTATTTCAATTTTTAATCGAAAAAAATTATAAATAAAAAATTCTGCTCTTGACTCTCTCTTTTTCATTTCCTTTTAATTTTTCCTCCAAAAACTTCTACCGTTTCTTAGTTCATTATGGGATTATAGGAGATCGCTTGACGCGAAATTCGAATCTTCTTAATCAGATCTGTTATCTGATTTTGAAATTGAAGTATCTCGATTTTCAATATTACATATTTACTAACACTTTCATCGATCCAAGGTGGGAAGATAATCCTCCCCACCAAATATTGGGTGCGTTTATTTGTGGAATTTTGATTTTGGGTTTTGGTTTTAAATAGTAAAATTTTAAATTAAAATAGTTGTTTGATGTGATATAAAATATGCATTGACGTGGTATTTTGAATGTAAAATTGAGTTTATATAATAAATGAAAAATATGTGTTTTGATTCGATATTTTTGGAGATAAAAATATTTGGAATAGTATAACCAAAATCAAAATTGCGCAAACAAACACACAATTGTTGTCCAGAAAGAATGGGTAAAAGGAAAAAATAAAAATGAGATGAGTAAAGGGAAAATAAAAACTCACCGGAAATTTCTAGCCGTTGGCGGCGGCGGCGGACTTTGCCTTCGGGAGAAAGGTGGCGGCGTAAAATGAAGTGGGGGATGGGGAAGGCGTGGGTAGGGTGGGTTTATTTATGTATTTATAATTAAATTTATATAATATATTCATTTCTTTTTTCAATTTTGTTTTTATTCTATAAATATTGTTTTAATAAGGGTGTGTTTGTTTGAGGTTTTGGATTTTGAGTTAATATTTGAATAATAAAATTTTTAAATTAAAATAGTTGTATTATGTGACATAAATAAGTGTTGATGCGATATTTGAATGTGAAATTAATTTTTTAATACTCATTCCGTCCCAATACAATACTCTTGTTAACAATTTTTGTCAGTAAAAAAACAATCGTCTCATTTCCATAAATATTCCTTACCATAAAATTATTCATATTTTTTATTATTATTACACAAATATTACTACTTTTTACACTAATATACTTATAAGGGCAAAAAAATAATTTATTCATACTTCTTATCTATCGTCAATATAATATTAATATTTCTTAAAATCTAGTGTCCAACTCAAATAAGATCATAGTTTTTCGAACGAAAAAAATATAATATAAAAATAAAAAATAAATATTTGATTTGATGTTTGTTAAAAATATATATATATATATATATGAATATTTAAACTCCTTCTATATCTTCAAAACAAACACACCCTAAAAATATCACATCAATTATTTTATCGCTATTATAAATTAATTATTACACTAATATATATAAATCACATTAATAATATTATTTTTTAAAAAATTTTACACTAAATACTTATTTTATTTTTTTATTATTCTATCATATTGAATATCTAACTATTTGTTATTTCAAATTTGTCCCAATACAAAAAATTTGTTTAAAAAGGCCTTTTCACCTAAAGTTTTTATATGAATTGATTTTTTAAGTGTGGTATGAAAAATTGTGTCAAAAATATAAAATATAATTATTTTAAATTGAATATTTTTACTTTTTATTTTTTATAATGAGTATTGTATTTTTATTTATTTTTTACTTTTGGACTTTTATAAAACATACTCCTCCGTACCAGATACCATGTCCACGTTTTCTTTTCTTTCCGTCCCACATACCATATCACTTTCTTTTTTGGGAAAATGATTACACACTTTAATCTCATTTTAAATTTTTTATTTTTAATTTTAATTAAACTAATTATTTATCTTAATCTTAATTTATAATTATTTATATTTTAAGATAATTATTTTCACTAATATATTCTTAATTATCTACTAATTACACCCCTTCTAAAATACCGTGTCTGCAGTGTAGCAGACACGATAGCTGGGACGGAGGGAGTACTTTGTATTGTTTATTATTATTTTTGAAAAATTACAATTGAAAAATAATATTCGGTAAACAAAGCCTTTATGAACTGATTTAATTTAATTTAATTTAATTTGTAATGTTTGAAGTATATATATATATATATATATAAGTGTTACATAAAATAATTACAATGATTGTTGTATTTGTAAAGGATTGGGACTTTCTCCTCACACGAGAATTC